TTTTTTACTTAACCAGGTAAATGTTTTTAAATTTATTTAATCTTAAAAATTCATCAGTTTTTCAGTGCATACAGTGTATCTCAATAATCTCTTTCTTCCACACGGTAGTCCACTTAACACCCAAAACACTTTACAGAAAGTTGCTACCATTTTTTCACATTCAATATTGTCGGAGATATTAAGAATTGCTCAAAATTATCAAAAAAATTGTATAGATGGTCAACATTTCTGTCAATTTTGAAAATTAATAAAAAGGAATACCTATTTAGATAGCTCAGAAATAACAAAATATCCCCAAACAATAATCTTTAATTTGAGATCCTTAGCACGAAAAATGCGGACGTTTTGACAGCTGAATCTTGTTTTCCTTTGTATTTCACGGATATTGTTCTAATTTCAAATTGGTGGAGAGTCACTTTAACTATTTTAAATGTAAATGTGTTTAGTCCTTGTCCTGACTACGTGAAAGGAAGTGCTGAGATTGCAATACAGATTCATCAGAGAGAACATGTTGGAGACATTCTCATCTTTCTCACAGGTTGGATTTCGTCTTCACATATGCATTGTACCCTGTCAAATAGGCGTTGTTTATATTTTCTTAAAAAATAATTGAAATTAATCCCTCCTCCCCATAGGAGTTATGAAAAAGAGTGGAAAAGGATTAAAAAACTAACCTTTTAAAATAAATTTTTTCATTTTTTCCACATCTGATCTTTACAATTATTTTTTTTCAGGGATGGGGGGGGGATAATTCTGAAAAATATATTCCCCTGTAATCCTCGCCTTGTGCAGAATCATTATTCATCATGATTTCTATCTAATAGTAACTTAATGTACTTCTAAAACACTAAAATTTATGTTTGACATTGGATGGGAACTTTTGTTGAAGAATCGTTAATCTTGAACGCTTGATCTAGATAACCAAATAGGACACTTTTATATTTTAGGTTAAATGCTTAATCCCGAGATTAACAAAATTTCTGGCTTCTTGACTTTTTTCCTTGATCACTGATCAGGGACTACATTTTTTTTGAGACTTTCAGCCTTCAGGGGCACATAGGAAATCAACCTCCTTCTCCTCTTTTCCAAAATAATTTTTCAGGCGTTTAGTGTTGGGAATCCCGAGCTCGAGCATACATCTAATGAAGGCTTACGGATCAATTTAAATACTTCTCGATACCCCGTATCTTGCAGTGTTAAGTTTATTTGAGGGATTAATCATTGATTGATTGATTAATTGGTTATTTATATCAAGTTTTCAAGATGAACGATACTTCGCACAAAGCTTCCCACATTAGAAATCATTACTTTAGTATTGTCAAGCATTGATCTCCATCTGATGCAGATCTACGGATTAACTTAATTCCTTTTTATCATCCCGTTATACCCTTTAATTGAGAAATATACCATTAATTCTTCAACTTTAAAGGTGTCCACATTTGATATCGAGATCAATTTGTGTATTTCAAGGTATGGATGAAGTGGATGGCTGTGTAAATATTCTAGAAAAATACAGGTTTGTGAATTATTATTATTTTTATTATTATCATTTTTATTATTTTTATTTTTTATTTGTTTTGTCTGAACTTATTCTCTGGTCTTTGTGTTTCCCTGTATAAACTATATTGCAGGCTTACTCTTGATAGATTAGTTATACTGCTTTCAGGCTAAACAATTTATCTAGATAGGATGGATAGGATGTATAGGAGGGATAGGTAGGATAGGATGAATAGGATGGATAAGATATATGAGTAGAACGGACAGAATGGATAGGATATATGAATAGAACTAATAGGATGGATATATGAGTTGAACGGATAGGATATACAGGATAATGAGTTGAACGGATAGGATAGATAGGACATATAAGTTGAATGGATAAGATGGATAGGATATATGAGTTGAACGGATAGGATGGATAGGATATATGAGTTGAACGGATAAGATGGATAGGGTATATGAGTTGAACGGATAAGATGGATAGGATATATGAGTTGAANTTAGTTTGGTTTAGTTTGTTTTAGTTTGGTTTAGTTTGGTTTAGCTTGGTTTAGCTTGGTTTAGCTTGGTTTCCTTTGGTTTAGTTTGGTTTAGTTTGTTTTAGCTTGGTTTAGCTTGGTTTTCTTTGGTTTAGTTCGGTTTAGTTTGTTTTAGCTTGGTTTAGTTTGGTTTAGCTTGGTTTAGCTTGGTTTAGTTTGGGTTAGGTTGGTTTAGTTTGGTTTAGTTTGGTTTAGTTTGGTTTAGTTTGGTTTAGTTTGGTTTAGCGTGGTTCGGTTTGCAAGCGTTTTTGCTTTTTGTAATTTACAGTTTATTCTGTATGGTTTATTACAATAGACTTTCCAGTTTCCATGTCCTTATTATTATTGCCTATATTTCTTTTATAATCTAAAAGAGGTTTTGTAAATGAAGATAAGAATTTTCTCAAAAATACTTCAAAGAACTCCCACAATATTATAGAAATCATCCATTTATATTTCTAAATCTCGTAATTCAATCAAATCCGATTTTTTTCAATAGTCATAAACTCCCAGACTTCTTCTAAGGATTACTGTTTAAAAGTACTTCGGTTTTTTCTCACCCCACCNCCGCCTAGTATATTAGAAATGTCTGCGCAAAGTTCTAGAAAAATCCAGGTGGATTCTGCTTTAAGGGAAAATAAACAACGATGTGGGTAAAAAGTATTTAAAACGGGGAATTGTTTTCAATCAACTCAAAATAATTTTACCCCTTCTTCTTAATATATTTTCCTAAATGTACTTTCCTCCAGGTTCTACCGATGTATGGAGCTCTTGCCCCAAATCGTCAGCTGAAGGTTTTCCGGCCACCGCCAAGAGGATTCAGGTAAACACCCCTGCTGTATCACTTCAAACTATCTACCCCCCCCCCACCTGGGTCCACTTTTCCTCCGGGATAAGGGGTTTAGAGACGACCTTAGAAATATCTTATTTTTATACTATAAAATTCTTTTAACAATTTGTTATTTTATTAATTTTATCATTGATTGGGTACAGGTAATACAGAAGTATTCTACCCTCATCATTTCCCCTGTAGAATTAATATCAAAAAAAGGGTTGTTTGATTATTTGAGCATTTTTATCCTAAATTACTGAGGTACTACAGGGTTATCCACAAAAGATGAGACTTATAGTTTCACGACCCAAAACTCTAAAAATATGTCGATTTAAAGCTTTTGGTTGAGCATTGTAGTGGTTCACTGAATGATTAAGCATAGAAATCTGCCAGTTTTTGGTCTTCAAGGAACCCTGAATGCAAGAAAACTAACTTAATAAATTCCGTACAATCGTCTCTGAAGTCTCATCCTTTATGGGTAACCCTGTAAATATATAGATTAATTCAAATCTGAGTAATAAGCATCTACGTCAGTTTTAAAAATGTCGGACCATATTTAAACGTACTAGCTACATAAAGATGAAAAACAGCGGCGGATCAAATGTTAAAAAAAGTCCATATTTTTGAGTCTCTAAATTAAAACTTCCACGTACACTTATCAAAAAATGTTATTTTTGCGGACTCCGTTATTAATCCAAAAAATTGACAAATTCTCTTATTTTAACTTAGAGCAATTAAAATTTTATTTAATTTCATTTCACCAAAGCTGAAAACTTTAGAATTGTGGATATCAAGATCAATGCTTAATTTTCTCTTTTTGCTAATTTCAAGATTAATTTACTCTTAAGTTTTTATCAACTGAAGTGTAAAACTCAACCAATTGAGTTGGGTTTGGTGAACAAATAATTACCAAAAAGGAGTAAAAGTCTTGGGAGTTGATATTTTTTTATCCCTCATAAAAATCTCGAAAAAAACTTTAAAATATATTATTTGTTAGGAAGGTTGTGGTAGCGACAAATATTGCTGAGACCTCTATAACGATTGATGGAATTATTCACGTGATTGATTCATGTTTTGTCAAGATGGCCTGGTTCAATTCAGATACATATACAGACTCTCTTATCATTACAGAGGTATAGATAAAGATACATATACAGCATATACAGACTCTTATCATTACAGAGGTATAGATACAGATACATATACAGCATATACAGACTCTCTTATCATTACAGAGGTATAGATACAGACACAGGCTCTTATCATTACAGAGGTAGACTCTCACAAAGGTATAGATACATATACAGACTCTCTTATCATTACAGAGGTTTAAATAGAGACACAGACTCTTATCATTACAGAGTTATAGATACAGACACAGACTCTCTTATCATTACATAGGTATAGATAAAGACATAGACTCTTATCATTACAGAGCTAGGTATAGATACTGACACAGACTCTCACAGAGGTAAAGAGGTATAGATACAGACACAGACTCCGGCAGAGTTTTAGATACATACACTACACAGACTCTCACAGAATACAGAGGTATAGAGACATACACAGATTCAACAAAATGTATAAACACATACACAGACCCTCTTAAAGAGGTAAAGATACTGAAATTTGAAATTATACATTTCGATGAAAAATATTCCCCTAACTCTTCCAACCCCCCCCNACAATTTTTGGAGAACAAAAATTAAATTTGGGTTAAAATATTCTGTTGCCTTTTAATGTCTAATTTGTCTTAAAAATGTACACTTCTGTAATTCTAAGTAACTTAACGTCCCTTTGATTGAGGAATCATAGGTCAGTAATATTGGTCAAAAGGTGGTAAATATATAATATATTTAGTATCGGACGCTACCTGTAGGCGGTCTGGGTTGCCCAAGCTGGGGCTTCTTTTACAGTTCCAATCCTCTTATAATCCTCTTACCCAGGAATTCATCTCTGATTTACTGATTTGTTTATCCAGGTATCTCAGGCTAGTGCTGAACAGCGAGCTGGTCGAGCTGGAAGAACTGCACCTGGCAAGTGCTATAGAATGTGCAGGTAGTAATTAAGCAAGATTAAACGAATTTATCCTGACTTTCACTTCTTAAAATCAGGGGTCAATATAATTCCATCCAAAACGATCCCAAATATTGATTGATTGATATTAGGGGCAAAAATTAGTTCCAAGTTCCAAGCTTTTCCAGGCATCTGAGAAGAGAAAGTTCTGTAGCTTGTCATCTTCAACTGGGAGCAGGAGCAGTAGAAGCTGACTAAACCTATGATTGTCATAGACCTTCTGGGGCTTGGGAACCTAGAAGCATATTCTCCTTTTTTTCTTTTTTAGGAATTTTCCTAGAGCTTTGTGTGTGATGTTTAGCCTCTTTTAGATCAAAATGGCTTCTGGAGTTTTTAATATTTCAGTTTTCGTCAGTTTAGAGTTTGGTGCTTTGCCATTTTCAGATCAAAATGGCTCCTGGAATTCTCATCCTTACAGTTTTTGTCTTGTCTTGATTGCTCGGCAATTTGATTAATTCTAAGTGAAAGGATCAGTATACACCTAAAGTGACTCTTTCTAAGAGGATCAGCATGCATAGATTGATTCTATGTGATAGGATTAGTGTTCACGTTACATGATTCCTTGGATAGGAGAAGTATTTACTGCAAGATTCCTTGGATAGGATCAGTGTACATGTTGCAGGATTTCTTGGATAGGATCAGTTTACACTTTACAGGATTCCTTGGACAGGATAAGTGTACACTTCGCAGGATTCCTTGAATAGGATCAGCGTACACTTTGACTGATTCATTGGAAAGGATCAGTGTACACTTTGAAGGGTTCCATGGATAGGATCAGCATACAGTGTGCAGGATTCCTGGGATAAGATCAGTGTACAGTTTGCAGGATTCCTTTGATAGGATCAGTATTCACTTTGCAGGATTCCTTGTATTGTATCAGTGTACACTTTTAAAGATTCTGTGTGAAATGATCAGTAAACATTTTTCACTTTACCCTGAAGCTGCACACTGGTTAACAGTTGTTTGGGGGTATTCAAGGCAAAATTATTAGCCAGGTGGTTTAAAGAATGTGTGGTCTTGTATGTATGGACTTCACCAACTAGTAGATGACTAATGTGTTCATCTCCTATATGAGAATGGATGGGCAGATTGCAGTTCAGTATGCCCTGGCCAGAAATCATGATAGTGTCACACTAGTTTACCACACTAGTTTACCACACTAGTTTACCACACTAGTTTACCACACTAGTTTACCACACTAGTTTACCACACTAGTTTATCACACTAGTTTAACACCAGTCTTGGCAACAGAAGGCCAAATAAGTTTTAGAAGTCTTACATTCACTGTGCCTACTGCTTTTAGGTGTCGGACAAATAAATAGCCCACAATCTGACGCTGATGCATTCTCTCTGAGAGGGACATCCTCCGGACAAGGTTGATGTAGTCATATCTGGGTGGGGAATGGGGATGGTGTTGATGCAGGTGTTATTAAGAATGTATACTGCAAGGGAGTTTTTATGTTTCTGTATCCAATCAGTTTTATCTCTTTTATTGATTACTGTTATTTACATCTTTTAAAACCCCAAATGCAGTACACATTACTCAAGTGCAGTACACAATGACAGTCTAAATGGCACAGAAAGTGTATTTTCATGCCCCTACATGTACTTTTAACCTGGATCCCCATTTGGGATCAGAAATGGAATTATATGGACCACTGCTTAGAACCCATAACGTTTTATGCAGATTCTGATCCTGGTTTTGCCTTGATAAAAAAGGATCAGGATCCAGAGCATGAGCATTTCTTTAAGATTTACTGATTGTTTTTTTTACATTTAAGAAGTTTTTTTGCTTTTTAATGTTGAAACTTGATGAATAATTCAGATAAATAGAAATTGAAATTGTTAATGATCTCTCTTTTTTAACAGTTCAGAGTTTGGTTTTGGAACAACATGTTTTTTTTTATATTTTTGGGCTGATATTTTGCCTCTGGGAACCGGGGATCCGCATATTTTTGGACCCAGATCCAGGAAGCAAAAATGTTACGGATTCAATGGATCCATATCCTAAGCACTGATAAATTTTTTCAATCAACCAATCAATGCTTGTTTCCGTGATTAATGTTATTCCTGCAGAATATGACCAAAACATGATAAGGAAGAAGAAGTAATCCGTAGGCAAGTCCCAGGAGGCAGGGACTTAGCTTGTAATAACCCTTTTGAACTGTAATTTATTTTGCAGGATATTTGAAGAATAAAATATCAAAGAATTCATTTTAAGGGACTGTAAGCTTGACTTCAAGAGACCCTCCATTCAAAGATGTCAATGCCCAATTTGCAATGGTATCCATAGGAGCTTTGGTTGATCAATTTTACTTATCAATGTTTATAATTTTGAAAACTGATCATTTCCAATTGTGGCTTCTTTACAAAAGTGACTTGAGCATTTCTACTGCTGGAAAACATAAAGAAATTATAAGAACAAACAATTTTAAGCTTAGAAAAAGATACCATATTATTGATCAATGTTTATAATTTTGAAAACTGATCATTTCCTATCGTGGTTTCTTTACAAATGTGATGTGTGCATTTCTACTGCTGGTAAACAAAAAGAAATTATTAGAATCAAACAATTTTAAGCTTAGAAAAAGATACCATATTATTGATCAATGTTTATAATTTTGAAAACTGATCATTTCCAATCGTGGTTTCTTTACAAAAGTGATGTGTGCATTTCTACTGCTGGTAAACATAAAGAAATTATTAGAATCAAACAATTTTAAGCTTAGAAAAAGACACCATATTTTTGATCAGATAAAGGTTTTAATGAAACCCTTGTGAATGGCATTGCCCTCTTTTCAAGGAAAAACGAACCACAATTTGCAAACAATCCCTTTAATATTCACTGGAGTTGACAGTTTTGTTTTCTTAGGGAAGAGGATTTCTTGAAACTACCTTTAAATACACCACCGGAGCTTCAGGTATATGCTCTATAATGCATTTTATTTGTAGGAGCTTTTTAAGATTTTAGGATTTATAAAATTATAAATATTTAATTTTTTTTCTAGAGATCAGATCTTTCCCTGTCAGTTCTTCAGTTGAAAGCTCTAGGAATAGACAATATTGTAAGGTAAAATATATTCCTAAAACATCGCTTTTCTGTTGCTTTTTGAATTCAGAATGTTATTGAATTTTCAAGTTTTATGGAATTTGCCTTTATGTGCTAATTTTTAGAGCCCTCAGAATTATATAGAATTCAACAAAGAAAATTCTGGGATTTCTGGGATTTTGTGAATCTTTAAATTTTACGAACCATGATCCTAACCACATCTGGGACTTAACTAGTCTAGGCACCTGAAATGTATTTGATTGTTGCGATTTGTAAAATATGAATTTTTTCAAATAAGACTCCATAAGAATTTCTAATTTTTGGTGCCATATCTTCTACTACCCTACCTAAGATACCTGAAATGACGGAAACTAAAATGCCAAGACATAAAACAGTGCACAGTGCTGCATTATTATGTGATTTTATTTCCAAGGTTTGAATTCCCAAGTGCACCTCCGGCGAGAAATCTTATCTGTGCAATGGAACTTCTCTTTGCTCTCGGTAAGTTTCAATATTTATATTCTCACCCCTAATATTTGATTATTACTGAAATAATAATGGTCTACAAAGTGACATAGCAATATTTTTGTATTTGATTATTACTGGAAGAATAATGGTCTACAAAGTGACATAGCAATATTTTTGTATTTGATTATTTCTGAAATAATGATGATAATACCCTCCCTAGTAATTTCTTTGTATTTGATTAATACTCAAATAATGATGATAATACAAAGTGCCCTGGTAATATCTTTGTATTTGATTGTCACTGAAATAATGATGATACTACAAAGTTCCCTGGTAATTTCTTTGTATTTGATTAATACTCAAAGAATGATAATAATACAAAGTGCCCTAGTAATTTCTTTGTATTTGATTGTCACTGAAATAATGATGATACTACTAAGTGCCCCAGTAATTTTTTTGTATTTGATTATTATTCAATTAATGATGATGATACGATGTGTCCTAGTCATTTCTTTGTATTTCATGAACACTGAAAGAACGATGATACTACAGAGTATCTTTGTAATATCTTTGTATTTGATTATTACTTAAATAATGATGATACTACAAAGTGCACTAGTAATTTAGTTGTATTTGATTATTTCTGAAATAATGATGATACTACAAAGTGCCCTTGTAATTTCTTTGTATTTGATTATTTCTGAAATAATGATGATACAACAAAGTGCCCTTGTATTTATTTGTATTTGATTATTTCTGAAATAATGATGATACTACAAAGTATCTTTGTAATTTCTTTGTATTTGATTAATACTGAAATGATGATGATACTACAAAGTATCTTTGTAATTTCTTTGTATTTGATTAAAATATCTTTGTATTTGATTATTACTTAAATAATGATGATACTACAAAGTGCACTAGTAATTTAGTTGTATTTGATTATTTCTGAAATAATGATGAAACTACAAAGTGCCCTTGTATTTATTTGTAGTTGATTATTTCTGAAATAATGATGATACTACAAAGTATCTTTGTAATTTCTTTGTATTTGATTATTTCTGAAATAATGATGATACTACAAAGTGCCCTTGTAATTTATTTGTATTTGATTATTTCTAAAATAATGATGATACTACAAAGTATCTTTGTAATTTCTTTGTATTTGATTATTTCTGAAATAATGATGATAATACAAAGTGCCCTTGTATTTATTTGTATTTGATTATTACTGAAATAATGATAATAATAAAAAGTAACTTGAGGTCTGAACTTGTATATGTGCTTAAAATAATGCTTGTCTGTTTAGTGAAATTACCTTACAAATTAAAGAAATTGCTGATTGAAAGAAAGTAATTACCGTACAAATTAAAGAAAAAGCCGATGGAAAGAAAGTAATTACCGTACAAATTAAAGAAAAAGCCGATGGAAAGAAAGCAAGTAGTTGAATCACATCAAATCGTAGACCCCGACTTTATTTTTAATTTAGTTCAGTCATCTCGAATTTAAAGTATGGACCTAGAAGTTTGATTTGATTTATTTTGATTTGTTAATCCTCCACTTGTCTCTGAATTTCCTATCTTATCAGCATCCACATAAAATCAGCCCTCTGCTAATAAATGAGTGGAAAAAAGTTGGCCCTTTAAACAAATAAACAATTGATCTTTTCAACTTTCAAATTCTGGTCTTATTTAACCTCTGAATTATGTGATATCTGTAATCATATTATTAAATTGACTACAACTATCTATTCTAAGTTCATTAGTCATAAATCTGAATAACTGTATGTTTGATCTCAATTGAATTAATTGTTGCCTATCCATGTAATTATTCCATTAAGAGCTCATTACATATATAATCATATAATCATGATAACTGTTTTTTTTTTTGACATGTTTAGAATAATATTTTTTTATTCCATTGCCAATTCGTGACTGTCCGGTTTCTATCAAACATGCTGGATTACTGAATTACTGAATTACTGGAATATTTTTCGCTGGGAGGTCACTTTTGTGACATATTCAGCAAGTCAAAATATCTTTTTTGTTTCTACTGATAGTGCAATAAGTTAAACCAGGAATCTGGGCGCCCCTGACACCTTCACCAGGGATCTCAGCGCCCCCCTGACACCTATCACATTGAAGAAATGTGTTTGTTGTACATATTCTTAAAACTAATTAATGAGGTGGCATTTTTAATGTCTACTGGCAAACTGTTCCATCCTTTAATAACTCTCAAGCTAAGATTCCTCCTAATATCTAGATTGCACAGTTTTTAGTTGAGTTTCATATTGCATGTCGAAAACCTTGTTTTTCACTGAGCTGTGTCGACAGACCTTGTACACCATGTACCTTCTTTTACATTATCATGTTTATGGAAAATCTTCCAAGTCTGGATTAAATCCCGTCTTACTCTTCTTTCTTCCAAGGTGGTTTAGTTGACCTCCTTTAGTTGATTCAGGTAGAAGGTACTATGGAGGCCTGAATTCATCTTTAAAACACGTTACACTCTCAAGCAGTTCAATATCTGATTTAAGCCAAGGTGACCAGGCCTCAACACAGTACTCTAGAAGAGGTCATACATAAACTTTTTAAAGCCTGATCCAGGTATACATTAGCTTAGTCGTTTTAGCATGTCTAGTTCTTATTAAAAGTATTTTATTCCTTGAGAAGAATAGTTCTGTTGAGCAAAGGAATTTCCTCCTTTAGCTTAATCTTGACATCTATCAGCTTGGTGATGGTGTTATGTGTTTAGGTGGAATAGATGAGGATGGTGAGTTAACTAAACCCCTGGGGGAACAGATGGCAGAATTACCCATTTCACCAACAATATCAAAGGTAATTGTAAGGGTGCATATTTTGAACGGAGCGCCAGACATTTTTTTAGGGGTTTATTCGCTGAATTGGGGGGAAAAAAGTGATTTTTTGGGAATTTTTTTTTTGGGGTGTGAAGTATCAAAAAGGATAAAAATAAACTTGCCTCTTGATGTTATTTTTCAGTTTCCCCATAGATCTTCACAAATCACCTGCACAATCTGATCATTAGTCGTTGTATTCCATATTTTTTTTAAGGACTACTAAAGAGAATCAAATCAATGTAGAAGTAAAATCTTTTTGTTAATCCCAAGCAATAATTTAATCTTTTGCATTAAGTCGGATTAGGTTAATTCCTTAAAAAAAAAACATGTGGACAAACCATGGACTGCCCCAGGTGTCATCAAATGGGTAACTATAGAGATAGGGCTGATGGCTGGGATTGCCGGGAGCCAGGAACAAGGCCAGCAATTTTGTTTAATAATAAAAACAGGACATATTTAAGATCCGTACAATGATCGCGATAATCCTAGTTGCAAGTAGGTTGTTATTTATGTGTTTGCGCCTCAGCACTTCAAATTAAGATTTTTTGCTTAGAATTATAAGTTTGCGCTTCAGGACAGAAATGCACTTACTCAGTTGTATCTAAAATTTCCGACACCAGAAGAATTGCAATAATAAAATAATTGTTTAGATGTTGTTGGTATCTGGGGAACAGGGATGTTCCAAGGAAATTGCAACAATTGTGGCAATGCTGCAGGTTATTTAAAATTATTTTTATATATTTTTGTTCTCCATAAAGGGACTACTGACGTGCGTAAGTTAAACTGATTTTCCATTTAAAAGGGGTGTGCAGTGTGCACGATTTGGTACCCGAGAAACCTTTTTTTGATCAATAATATCGGTTATCTAGTTAAAAAAGTTTTTAATTTTTATCAATCTTACTTTTTTAATATTTTTTTTGTAATTCTTAAAGGGAAATGTGCAAGTCACTTTGCAGAAAACCCACAATTAAAAATAATCATTTTTTAAAATTAAAAATATGGATTGATCAGACAAAGCTCTATAATACAATTGGGTTGAGTGATGACGCTTTAAATATTCTGACTTTAGTCCCTTTAGACGATAAACATATTAATTAGACTATGATTTTTTCCCCTGATTAGTTGTTTTGTCGAAACCATAATAAGAAATTTTCCGAATTTCTCTCAAAAGATTTTCGGGAAAAATATATTTATGGCATTGGCTGTTCTTGTTTAGTTTTTGAATTATATTAAATCAAATCATGCACTCTTCTCCCCCCTCTTCAAAATCTGTTTTCCTCGGTTATTTATTATTAATGAAATGGTTTACAGCACTTCATTGGGGAGAAAAAAAATATTTTAAGGGATTAAGAAAATAAATTTATCTTTTTAAATGAGAAGAAAATTTGTTGAAAAAAATAAGTGTTATCTATGCTTTCTCAAAATCTTCGACTATCATCATCCCTCACCCCAACCTACCCCTTAATCGTCCGCTCTTGCAGGATATTCTTCAAAATTCTTTCCCTGAAAATAATACGACCCTGATGTCTGGAAGGAGACTTTAAGTGTGTCTGTTTATTATGAATTCAAATTTTTTATTCATCGCTGAGATGGGGATATGGAAGTCTGTATAACATTATAACATTAAACACAGCAGAGTTTTAGGGTATTAAGAATCAAAAAGGGGAAAAACTTAATATTTAAAATCCAACTTTTCTTTTTTTTCCTATTATTTTGAAGATCATTTCTCCGCCTTCCCTCCACCAAATGCAATGGGGAGGGGGGATTCTGCAATTAACCTAAGGACAAAACTTTAATGACCTGAAACCATTTAAATATGACAAATGGGTGTTGCCCTAAGTATAATCTTTAAATGAAATTTTCAAACAAGATTACAGCTCCATGGATCTTCGAATATAAGAAATGGAGTGGAAAAATTCCTCACAGTCGCCTCTTAAGTCTGATCCTTCGTAGGTAACCCTGTATATCCCCTAAAAAGTAATAAATCCCTAATGTGTAGTAGATTGTGTAGTGATTTTAGTAGTTTTTCTTCGTTTTTTGTGGATATTTTCCGTCAGAGTCAAAATTTGGCATTCTCAACATTTGCTTTTTGTATTTTTTTTTTGGTTCTTTTAAGATTTTATTAGGGTAAAGATATAGCAAAATTTAATAAAAGCAAACGTTAACAGAATATAGTTTCGAAGTGTGGGAAGTAAAAAATAAAAAAAAAAACTAAGCAACACGATTAAAGGGACTATAAGCGTCAACTCAAGGAACCCTCATTGCAAGATAGCTATTCCCGATTTACGGTTCCCTTGAAACCTTAATCTGATTAAAATAACGTCGTTTTTTTTACTCTAAAAGGGAATATTTCGCTGAATTCTCCTGACTTCTTAAATCAAGAAACTGCAAATGAAAATAAACAATTTATTCAAACAAGAACAAAGATATCTAATCCACACTTTATCAGACAAAGCTTACAAGGGTACCATAATAAATCGTGCATTGCTATCTCTGCATGGTATGTAGAGTCACTTGAAATTACGCTTACAGTCCCTTTAGCTACACAACTAATCTTTTTAAGGTAGAGAATGTATTTGTATCTGGTCGAAGTGACAAGGTGAAGGTAATGAAAAGAAGGTTTGAGGTCGAGCAGGGGGACTTCCTCACCCTCCTCAATGTGTTCTACGCCTTCGAGAAGTTTGGGATGAAGAAGAATTGGTGTAACAGTAACGCGCTCAGATATAAGGCGCTTAAGCGCGCGGCAGATCTCAGGTAAGGTTAAAATTAAAGGGACTGTAAACGTAATTCGAGTGACCCTCTATGCAAAAATGACGAATTTTTATTTTTTTATTTATTTTCCTGCAGTAGAAATGCGCAATTCACTTTTGTAGAGAAACTGCAATTGACAATAATCAGTTTTCTAACTTAAAATCAGACAGATCGGAAAACTTTAGAATTGGATACCCTAAATTCCAATAGCTTAATCTGAGTATCCATTGTGGAACCTTATGATTTTCTTAATCCTCTCTTTTTGTACACTCTGATTTGTCGATTTCTAGCACTTCAATGGATTGATATTATATTGATCTGAAGATTAAAGAAGAGGAGATCAAGCATTGATCTCAATATCCGCAATTCTAAAGTTTTCAGCTCAGAGCTTTTAAGGGCACCGTTGTGAATCGGGAGGGTCACTAAAAATTACGCTTACAGTCCCTTAAAAAGTTAAAGTATTTTACTTTCATTAGATAGTTTACTCTTTTTTATTAAAGTTTGTTTACAGTTGTTATTAAAAAACTATGGTATAATTACTAAATCCCTGACGATGACGTGTCAATTATCAAAAGAATGAAATGAGATGACAATCTTTCCACTTTCCATTGTCCATGATTAAAAGAATTTAAGTAAACGTGATTTCTTCGGATTGATGACTGATTTGTTTTTTGTTTTCCTCCGCTCTTTTTTCAAAATTAATTTTTCTAAAGATGTTTTTGTTGAACACTTAAGTTTTTTATTGTTTTTTTTTAATTTTTACAGGGATCAGTTGTTTAAAACTTTGAGACGATTAGAAGTACCTCTTACTTCAACCTCAGGTATTTAAATTAATTAGGAGGAGATTTGCTGGATGATTCTATTCAAATGTAACTTTTTATTCGCTGTAAAACAGTGAAAAAATGGTTTAGGAAAATGACACCGTTTAGTACCTAATGGTCAGGGGTTCTGCAACAGATTTTATGGCAGGTGTAATACTGAACATAGTGGGAGATTTATGGTTGTTGTAATACTGAACTTAGTGGGAGATTTCATGGCAGGTGTAATTCTGAACATTGTTGGAGATTTATGGCAGGTGTAATACTGAAGCTAGTGGGAGATTTTATGGGCAGGTGTAATACTGAACTTAGTGGGAGATTTTATGGCAGGTGTAATACTGAACTTAGTGGGAGATTTTTTGGACTACATAGGGATTGTTTTTGCGTTATAACTGCTGTACAATTTGTTTAGCGGTGTTGTTTTTGAAGTAGCCATTGCTTCACAAACTAAGGTTCGCACACCAGAGAAGTTTGTTACAACTCTCCCATGTCCTTGGCAGCATGAGTTGTACTGATCACTGGAGGTTTATATACATAATAAACATAACAAATAATAAATATAATAAAATAAAAGTATGTAATATGTAGCATATTCTGCAGTCGAGAACAGACCTCAGTGAAGATTGGTCCGTGAAACATTGTGTATGAGGATGTTAATCTGTTTTTTTGATTGAATAATAAATTGTGTAATATGTATATATACAGGGTGAGTCAAAAAAAAGTGTAATTTGCGGCACCTTGTGCAAATTTGTACCTTTTTTGTGCTACTCTCCTGTATGGTGTTTTTTCAATAATTTTTTTGAAAATTTGTAATTTTATTTGGTACTCTAATGGCCCAAAAGAAAATCCGCGAACCTTTTTTTCTCTCAAAATCAAAAGTTCAGAAAAGCAAAAATGCGTATATAATTTATTTCTATCGAAATCTAAAATTTTTAAAGATTGCATCAAAGAATCACGGAAAATTCGCAAGATTATGATAAGAAATTTTGCAATTTTTAGTTCTGGTCTGATTTTTAAGGAAAAGTTATTTAAATTCTCTAGTTCTTTTCTTCTTAGTATATTCTAAAGTATTAAATATACGCTGTTCAGTTGAAACCTTAAGAACCAGTGAAAAACAATTTTTCCGTAAAAATTATATTAGAACTGTAAATTGCGAATTTTCTAATTACAATTTTGCAAATTTTCTGAGATTCTGTGATTTAATCTTTTTAAAATTTTAGATTTCGATAGAAACAATTTATTTAGACATTTGTTTTTCTAAACTTTTGATTTGAGAGGAAAAAAGATTCGCGGAGTTTAAATGAGTCCCTTTAAACGAGTATAATATTGTTCAGATGAGGACTGTGTTCTGAAATGTATAGTGTCTGGTTTGTTTCCCAATGCCGCGTATCTTCACCATTCCGGAGAATATAAATCTATCAGGCATAAAATCATATAATTTGTAAAAAAAAAACTCCCCACCCCCTCCCCAACGTCGGTCATATAAAAATGTTCAGTAGTTTAAATAGAAATATTTAAAATTAAAATTAAGTTTTCATTAAACGAGACCCAGAAAATACCAAAATAGAAAGACAATCTTGAAGACTTAAGACAATATTTTTAAATATATTCTTATGAACATAAAACATAAAATTTGCATAAATTCATTTTAATGGTAAAATTATATGCAAATTATAAAATTATTAAATGCACAATTGATTGCTTTAATGTCCTATTCCACATATTTTATGGTTCCTACTAAATGAAAAATTAATCTGCCAAAAACAAAAAATGTATTTAAAGATCAGGAAAATAACTGATTCTGAAATAAAAAATGTATCCTTTCATCCTTATTAACTTTATACTGAAGACCTTTCATCCTTATTAACTTTATACTGAAGACCTTTCATCCTTATTAACTTTATACTTAAGGCCTTTCATCCTTATTAACTTAATAATGACCTTATTAAATAAAAACTTAAATATAATATGATTTATGCAGAGGCGACGTTCCCCTGAAGGTTCATCCTACCAGTGTTCTATTCACAGGTTATTATCCAGGGGTTTATATTTTCTCGAAAAATTTTNTGTTTTGAAACTCTTTGCAATTTATCTTATAGAAATCTCTCAGTCAGGACTTGAAACCCCAGGCTGTAGAATGGAGCCTAAAGCTTTCCCTAACACTCATGATTTGATTTGATTTATAGAAATCAAAGACGATTTTCATTTAGTCTGTTAATTTCCATGTTTATTGGGACAAGTTGTATGATTAAACAGAGAGAGAAATATAACAGATTGTTAGATTTCATCAAGTGTTTAAATGGTTTAAGGAAAATGAATGGGGGTGTAGGGCATAGGCTAAAGCCTAGAAGTTTAGGAGTTGATCGCGACCAATAATCGTTCTGTCTGATGTCCGTGTCTCGAGAAATTGATATATAACTGTGTCCGAGCTATCCGAAAACACTTTGCTCCTAGTCCTATACCCCTTTTATTTCACCTTAACAGTCCCTTTAATGAATACTGTTCTATTTACAAATAATAGATTTACTCGGGAAACTTAGAAAAAAGAATACAATTACATCGTACCTGAATCATTTCTATTTTCCCCTCTACTTTTGTTTTTGTATTATTGTTTTGAACAAATTTATTTAATTAAATTATTTAGAAAAACATCCTCCGTACCTGGTCTATAACGAGATTAATCACACAAAGGTTAAACTGATCAACTATATCAAATCTACAGAATTTTATGTCCCCCAAAAGCATTGATACATGAATACTTACAGGGTTACCCATAAAGGATGAGACTTCAGAGACGACTGTACGGAATTTATACCTTATATATTTATGATTCTCTGCAACTAACAATTTGTTTCCTTGCCCAATCATTATAAATCTATATTTAAGTTAAAAGACTGTACGTAAATTTGCTAGCAAATCAATATTTCATTTGGAAACAGTGCGTATAATATTGATAAACAAACGCTTACCACCTAGCAGGCGTTTTTTAGCTTTGAAGTACAAATTTATTCCAGGTGCAAACAATAGTATGCCGCATTTTATGTATTGTCGATTGGTTGTCAAATCTATATTAAATGATTTAAGGTTTTAGCTTTTCCCTTAATGCATCTTTTTTTCTTATAAGTTGCGCTCAAAGGATTTTACTTTAATGCCGATCTAAAAGTCAAATTCAATAACCTGTGAAGATGGTCTCTGGAATAGTTGTAAAAAGAAAAAGTAAATATATTCCGTATATTCATGTTCCATCCTATTAGGTAACCCTGTATACATTTTGATGCCTTAAAACATGATTCGATGAAACTCTTATTTAATGGTTTCAAGGCCTAGAGGGATTACATAATTGAAGTTTCTATTGAAGTACCTGTTTTAAGTCATTAAAGTTTCCATTTGAAGTTGAGCATTAATTTGAAATTAATTAAAGATTATATTGAAGTTTCCTTTTAAGTTGCATGTGAAGTCTGTTTCATTTGAAGTTTTATTTGAAATTTCATTTGAAATTTCGTTTAAATTTTAATTTGAAATTATTTGAATTTTAATTTGAAATTATTTGAATTTTAATTTGAAATTATTTGAATTTTAATTTGAAATTATAATGAATTTTAATTTGAAATTATTTAAATTTTAATTTGAAATTATTTGAAATTTTATATTAAGTTTTATTTCAAGTTTTTGTTGGAAGTTTCATTTTCATTTGAAGGTTCTTGGGGAGCATTCATTTAAAGTTTAATTTGAAATTACATTGCAAGAAAATTTGTCACAAACATCGATTCCCCTTTATACTTTTTATTCTGAGAAGTTTTGAGACATTTTCTGATCTGTTTCCAGCATGTTTATATGCGAGATGTAACCGCCATTGATCCCTGCTGGTTAGAGGTCCTGGCCCCGCACTTCTATGAAAACAGGAGAAGAGAGAGAGAAATATTCTAGTTATGTACACGTACACGTAATTTCAAGTGACCATCCATTTATAGAGTGATTTGTCAGATTCACAACGGTTCCCTTAAAATCATTTTGTGATCAAGAATGAATGATATATTTTTGTATTTCCAGCTGAAAATAATAAAAAGTGACCTGCGGATTTATGCGGCAGATACAGTGAAGTAAATTATCAGAGTTTAACATGCTGTAGCGACAATACAGCCCTCATGTTGTTAAAATATATAGGTGTAAAGGGTACCAGTGTGAATCGATCATCCTAATATAAAGATAATGGGCCACTTTAAATTACGTCCTTATTAAGTACAAAACGTCTCCTTAATGGGTTAAATATTTTCCGGCTTAAAGGTTTCTTCAGCATTTTGAAAAATTTTTATCAAAAACATTTTGGATACTTTTCCTTTTATGTTTTTATCCGGAAATGTATTAAAATGTATATTTTTGTATTGCAGAATTTTTTTAAATTTGAAATCCATCTTAATTTCAGAAAATTATGTTCTAATGTATGAAGTTATAGACAATAATGAATTCTGGAATAAATAACGAGGTGAATTATTATTTATAATTTTTTTTTGATGTTCTGTACTTTTTATGTTCCCGGATTATCTATTAATATATTTATATATTATATATATATCCTTAATATTAAATTAAAAAATGTTACAAGGAAAAATGAAATGATGATTGAAAAGATCAGAAATAAATAAATGTAACAAGAAAATTTATGACTTTGCGAATATAAAGGGACCGTTCACTTATTTGGGAAATTCATTGGTATTATAATGATGAATGATGAATGATGAATAAATCCTATTTTCTAGATATCTGTTGAAGTAAAGGATCTTGATTGTGAGTTTCTCCCAATTATTTACGATATCATCAAGTGCGTTGAGAAGGACCCAAGCGAGGCATCATTAAAAAATAAGGTGCGTAAATACATTTAAATTATTTGCACATTTGTAAAAATTTCGCTTTTCATTATGATATATCTACTTTGTCGTGTGTTTAAAACTGTAAACTAATAAAGGAATGAGCTAAACTGATTCTTTTCTCGCGAGCAGATCAACTTATCTTTCATTCGTCAAATCAAAAGTCTGTCACCAATAGGAGAGATGAAGTTTAACTGATTCCGTCGATTCATAAAATTTCTAGTTCTGGTCATTTATTTTGATATTTTTCTTCAAAAAAGATTAATATTTTTCACACTGAAAAGAAAGAAAAAATTAAGTTTTAACAGAAATTGAGGCCAAACGAGAAGTAAAATTACAGCATGTTTTTAGATGTTAGTAAACTCTTAAAATGAAAATTTGTCCAGTTTGGATCCGCATCAAAATTGAAAGAATAAGCAAACCCATATTAAGACGAAGCCAATAAACATTTTAGTTTTATAAAACTATTGACAGGAAAGTCTTGAAGCTGCAAATAAGATCCAAGAACTAAACAAGAAGCTTGAGAAAGCCCGGGAACAAGTTCGGAGTCTGAAAGGTGCGTACAGTTGTCTACAGATTGGGGTTTGTGGAACCTATATGTGGCAGACCCATAAATTTAAATGATGTTTTTTTTTAATTCACTGTCATTGTTGGTGACTTTCCATATGAAGTTCCTAAAATTATCTCTGACTGATTGGTTGATTGAATGATACTTTTTAACTTTATTTATCAATCTAATTGATAGCGTAGAAGATATTCTAGCTGATTCTAGCTGAAAAGTGCCAAGATCTGGCTTAAAAGTTTAATGTGGCTCAAGACGTGATTTCATGATACCTTCATGTGTAATGACATGCCCGATTGACATAGGTGCCCTTAAAAGCTTTGTCGAATAAAGAATGAATGAGCTTTTCATGTTTTTAACTCTGAAATGTGATTTTTTAAGAATAAAAGTGACACTTCTTTTGTTAGAGAAACGACGATATCTTCCCCACTATTGATATAATGAAGATTAAAATGAAAAAGGTACTGGAGTAAACCGGGCATGCATTTCTTTAAATCAACGGTCACTTAAAATTACATCGTCCTTTTAAGTAAGCATTAAACCTTAGTATAAAGGCACTGAGTTTTTACCACAAACTCTGATCATGCCCTATATCTTTGCAAACCGTTGGTGCAGATCTATGATATTTCAAACATTAACTTAGGCTGTTAGATTAAATAGATGAAATGCAAATTCATATTTTCTTAAGACACCTGTCACAAAGCTACTAGTCCATATCTATTTCCTGATTAAGTAAGTTCATCCTGGGCATTCTTTGTGACTAGTAGAACTCCCAAAGACTCTGATTGATTGATTGATATTACAACATTGAAATATAAAAATTAGAGATTAAAATTAAGATTAATTAAGATTAAAAAATTGTAGTTCTCAAATTTGTTGTATTTAGAGCATGTAATAATGTATAAACCCTTAAAGACGTAGAAACTTATATGCAGATTAGAGCATTTTTTTGGAAAAACAATTTCAATAGAAGCACTAAGCGTGAATTTGTTGAAATATTTAATATTTATTAAGTAGTAGTTTATATAGAATCACAAAGTAAAATTTTCAAAAAATTCAATTTTGAAATGATAGCTTATCTTTTGATTCAAAGATTTTTTATCTGCCCACAAAAGATTCCTGAAATTGGCCTCCGTATCATCAACAGATGAAATTCAATATCTAGACAAAATTATTTTCACAAAGTTGAAGGAGTAAAGATTACGGGGGGTAAAAATGGCTTTAAATAATTGGTCAAAATAGCCATGGGGAATTTAAAAAAAAAAACTAAAAAATAGTGCGTATCGTTTTTAAATTATTAAGCTACAGGTCTAAATTTACATTTTTGAAAAGCCCTTGTGAAAGTATGCTTATACAATAAACATTAAACATGGATCACATGCTATAAAAAATTAATTACGCAGTTTTTGCAAATTTTTAACCTTTCGAGCAAATCAAAATTTTAATATTATTTATAACCCATGCCAGAACATTTGTTTGACCAATGAGAGTGAAAAGGTGCTACAGGGGGTGGAAGCCATCCTTCAAAAGTTGGGTCTTAGCCACCCCACCACCTAGTGAATTTTATAGGGCAAAAACATGGAAATATTTTTTCATGGTTTGTTGAAAGTTTGCTTATTCTCTCCAAACCAAAAAACCTAATTGTGCCATTGACAAAGATATCTTTGATTTGAGCCAATTTGTACCAAAGATTATTAATTCTAGGAATTGATTTAAATCCAGAGGAACAGAAAGCCCAACTTCAATCTTTGAAGAAACAGCGTGCACTGAAAAAGGTAAAATACAATGTAACAGCAGATGAGATATATTAGAAGCACCGTCATTGTTATTTTAAGTTATCTCCATTTCTAAAGTAACAAGCTCGATACACAGATAATGGGTTAACTTAATGGGTACCACTGTACGTTAGGCATGTCACTTTTTAAAAGGAGGTTCACTAGACACTAGTAAACAGTCCCTTTGAGACGAAATCAAGATTATTTCCCTTGAAGAAAAACTTTCATTTCTTATCTATTAGGAACTGGTACAGAAATACGAGAGCCTGGGTTCCGTTGCAAATTTTCTAAATTTGGGAAAACTTAACGGAACCTCAGAATAAGAAAACTTAACGGAATCTCAGAAAAGGAAAACCTAACGGAACCTCAGAGCAAGAAAAAATCAACAAAAGGAACAGTAACAACTACCACTGCTAAGCAACAACAATCCTTTAGCAGTAACGCAATTTCATTGCAAGAACAAAATAGCCCAGAAACAACAAGAGCAATTTCTTGGCAACAACCACATCAATAACCACTTAAGAAACTTAGTAACCTCTACTGCTGAATAACAAGAGCAGCAACTATTTATTTGCTACCAGAGGGAAACATAACTAATAAACAACTGCAACAACAAGCTATTATCAACAATGACGACTCCTCAATATCAGAGTTACGGCGGAACAACCGCACGAAGCAACAGTTCTCCAGCCTCTCGTTTAGATGTTTTCAAGAAACCACTAGACCCTAAACTACTGGCTCAGGTATTAAAATAAATCTTCTCTAGGTTGCTTTACGGCTTATTCAGTAATTACTTAAAGGACTGTGATCATAAATTTAAGTGACCCACCGTGACCGTGTAAAGATGGCAATTTCCGATTTACAATGATGTCCCTGAAACCTGATCAGAAATGTGGAAGATACCATCGATTTTTTAGTTGGAAAAATGTTAATATCTGATAATTTGTATGTGTTTTCCTGCATTTGAAATGCGTAAGTCACGATTATAGAGAACCAACATATGAAAAATAATCAGATTACTAAATGATTTCACATTGATATCTAATTCATACTTGATCAGACAAAGCTTTTAAGGGTACTGTTGTGAATCTGGCATTGTCATCTTTGCAGGGAAGTGGAAGGTCAACTGAAAAATTATGCATACTGTCAATTGTCAGTTTTTCCCCCTGATTTTTGGCCTTTTTCAAAGGTGTTTTATCGTAATCTATGAATTACTATTTCAATCCTGACTTTTCCAGACTTTGCGTGTCTTTATCATTCTGATTTAGTCCGCTGATGTAATTATTATTTTTGATTTATGTTATTATGTAACATACACCAACATGTTGATTGGTAGCTAGCATCTGGGTTACCTACTCTGGGACAAATCTCTTGGATAAAGGAGCAATACCAGGGTTCCAGATGAACGGATTTTAAGCGGATATATTCCACATTGGGATCTTTACTTATTTATTTATTTATTTATGTTGTAGGTTCGAAAGAGAAAAGTAAAAGTTCTCGAAGAAGACGAATATGTTGAAAAAGTTGAAAAAATTATCGAACGAGATTTCTTCCCTGAACTAGAAAAACTTAAGGAACTTACATTAAAAAAACTTAAAGAGTATAACATACATTACCAGTCTTGTTATCATTGCTAGGGATCAGTCATTGCAGGGAGTGAGGGAAGGCTCCGTTTTAATTTCTTAAATTTTCTTCTGCAATGCTTAATGCATCTCCATTTAATGTTTTAACATGGATTTAAAAACTTCCGGTAATTATGAATGTTGCCTTAAACGGGGAAAATTACAGTACTTTGGAAATAACTGGAAAAAATACCCGGAATAGAAAAGAAAGAGGAGAAAGTGTGACGTAATTTGCGGGTTGGCAGATAAATTAGTGCGGCAAGTTTTCCCACATTCGTACAGATATGCGGTCGTTGAAGTATTTTGTATGTCACAAAATGTTTCTATTTAAAAATTGCAATGTGACTTTAAACAAAATTATTTGAATTTAATTGTATGTTTAAAGGCGCAAAGTGATTATATTGAAGCTAAGGATAAAAATGATTACGTCACAATGAGCAGACTCCAGGTTAGTTTACAGTGAGCACCATGAAACTCTGGAATAGGAAGACAACTTTTCGACTCAAGTTGTTACATATTATAGTCGAATGAACATTAAACACAGTAATTGCAGTGCATTGTAAACAGACCAATATCACTTAATAAGTGCTTTTATTAGCTACTGTTAAAACTATTTGTTTTGTAACAACATCAATTAAAATTAAATATTGCTTTCATGTCGTCTTTCTATTCATAGTTTTCTATCTCTTACTGTAGTTCATTTCAGTCCGGAACTTTGAGTAAAAGTTTCACATTTTCTTTATCTTTCTTTCAGGATATGAGATGAAATAAGATATAGTTTATTGCTAAAAATACACATACAAGTTATACTGTTACAGGCAAAAATCTGCAACTATTTTCATATTGTTTACTATATGTATGTATTATAGCAATTAAGTGGAGATTAGCTTTCGCTTTTTTTGGTTATGATAAATATTAAAACGTTTACANGGCAAAAATCTGCAACTATTTTCATATTGTTTACTATATGTATGTATTATAGCAATTAAGTGGAGATTAGCTTTCGCTTTTTTTGGTTATGATAAATATTAAAACGTTTACAATATGATGAATATTACTAGGTTTTAAAAGTTTGCAATAAGTCAGGGAATATATACTTTGGGAAATAGCGATTTTTTTTAACTTATCCATTTTTTTTAGCTAATCAAAATTCTAAAGCTTCTTATCCAGTTTTTATCTGTAATTGATTCCATGGAAGATGTACATTGTACAGTGAGGTACAAGGGCCTAGCTATCATGATACAATGAAGTTTGAACGTTATTTTAAGTAGACCTCCATTTTATAAAATGGCATATGCGAATCCCAGCGGTTCCCTTAAAAATTTGAATCAATATTGCATAAGATCCATGTTTTCATGTTAAAAAATTTAATGTTTTTAATTGTGGTACAAATACAATGGAGGAATTGCTGGAATTAAAAACTTTTCGAAGCTGGAAAAACGACGATATCTTTCACATTATTGATCACTAAAAAGTATCGTTGGTAATCAGGCATCGCCCCCTGTTTAAATGAAAGATCAATTTAAACAGTCCTTTTGAAAATGCAATTGTTTCATCCTTAAGGAGAAGTATAGTGGGTGCAGGCCAGGTACAGGGCTTCGTAGACTGACCAGCCCGGCTACATTTGAGACCCCAGAGGAACCAAGAAGGGATTTTGATCCAAGAAAACCAGAGGTACAGCTTTCAAATCCTACTTGTATTAAGTTTTACAAGTCCTACTTTGGATTGTACCGCCAATTTACATTTACTAAAGCGACAGAGGAGTTTGCGCGGGAGTCATTTCAAAACAACGCCAAAAAAAATTTGCTTTCTAAAAAATTTTAACCTCTTGGATAAGAATTAGTACATAATACAGAGATTAAGGAGAGGAATCTAGACAGGATTTTGATCCAAGAAAACGCTCGCAGATTTTTCTGTTTCGAAATGGTATTGTGGTAGTAGGACGTCACTAAAAGTCTGATTGGGTTTGATTTCATTTCATTTCATTAATGAATTTCCATAAGCCAAATATAAAAAACCTGAAAATCTTCTCTTTCAAATTTCATAAATTGTTTATTAATTATTTGATATTCACAAGAAGAAGAAAGGTAGGCCTTAACATTTTTTGTATTCTTTGTCGGTCATACAATTCGAAGAATTGACATTGGTGAAAGCATTTTAAAAAACGCTTATTTTTTAAGTATCACGATTTCAACCAATTTAAAGATTTAATTATAAAAATATTTTTGAACTAATAATAATCAAGAATTATATTTTGGTCTTCTTTACTTTTGACGAATACAAAAACAATATTTTGCTAATCTAGGGACGGGAATCCACCCCTGGGGTGGAGAAAGGTTTAAACAAGGAGGATGAGGAGGACGAGGAGAAGGGGAAGGAGGAGAACCTCGACAAGTTCCTCGCAAACCATACCAGCGAGGACAATGAGAGCTTTCAAGTTCTTCAGGTTTGGTTTGAATTTTATATTACATTAATATTAATAATTATAATTATAATTATAAAGAATAAATAAACAATAAACATATTATTTTTGAAGAATTTTGGGGGGATGGGAGTGGGGAAATGGATATTAGACTTCTACTCAAAAATTTATTAAGTTTTTTTTCAATTATCGTAAAATACCCCCAACAACATAAATAAACAAATATTGGAGATTTTTTAATTTTCTTATTTTATTTTTAAGATTGCACTGGCTCAAAAGAAAATCATCGCTGATCCAATAATAAAAATTTTGGCATAAAAAGAAATCTTAGATTAACAGCCTACGAAAAAAAAATATAAAATCTGTATATTTTTATTAAACTTCAAATTAAATTTGAATTATGAGACATTGAAAATTAAAAAAATCCAGGAAATTGATTTTAGACTTTTGCTTAAAAGTAAGAGGAATAAAAAGCAAATAATACACCTTAAAATAACTGAAATGTTAGCTTTTGAATGACACCTTTGTTGTAAAAATTGAATAAATATTGTTCCCTGAGTAGTGAGTACCCAATACTCCGTCTGAAAAGTTTTTTTTGGGACATCCTGTACATATCAACTGATTATGTCCTGTACACTGTACAGGCTGAGAGTGAGCTACGCCATCGTGTAAAGAACAGCTGGATGTATAAGGACGAACTCCTGTTCTTAGAAAACAAGGCAAAGCAGATGGAGCTACCGAGTATAGAACAGCAAGCAGAACTACCTGTTAAACCTGATGAGGTAGATGTTTGATGTCGGTTGGTTGGTTTGATGGTTGGTTGGTTGGTTTGATGGTTGGTTGGTTATTTTAATGGTTTGATTGTTGGTTGGTTGGTTTGATGGTTGGTTGGTTGGTTGGTTGGTTGGTTGGTTGGTTGGTTGGTTGGTTGGTTGGTTGGTTGGTTGGTTGGTTGGTTGGTTGGTTGGTTGGTTGGTTGGCTGTTTGCTTAGTTGGCTGTTTGCTTAGTTGGTTGGTTGTTTGGTTGGTAGTCTGGTTGGCCAGTAAGATGGTTGTTTCATTGGTGGTTTGTTACTTGGTTGGTTGAGTTTATAGTTGGTTGGTTGGTTGGATAATTGGCTGGTTGGCAAGTTAGATGGTTGGTTGATAGGTTGGCTGGTGGGATGGTTGGTTGTCTGCTTGTGTGTTTGCTTTCTTGGTTGCGTGGTTTGATGGTTGGTTGGTTGGTTAAGTGGTTTGTGTTATAATTATAAACTCTGTCTAACTTACTGATAAATTGATTTATTAATTGATTAAAAATGGTCTTTTGTTACTAATATTATTTTCCAGGTCGAAACCTGGACTTTCCAAAATATAAATTCAGTATTTCATAATCCGGACACTTTAGAACTCAGGTAATTTATTATTATTAGACTATCAGAGCTGGGAACTTTTATGTTGGATACTCATCATCCTGATTGCTTGATATTGATATCCACTGAGCTGTGGGCACTTTTAATTTGAGGATTAATGCTTAATTTCTTTATCTCAGATATACCGGCCTTAAGAGTTCAATTACACGGCAGATATCAATAAAGATTAAATTAATCTGCAGATTAACCTGCAGATTGAGATCTTGATATTCACAATTCAAGAGTTCCCAGCTCCGGACTATTATTGCTTAGTGATGATCGATATCGGTTTTTAGGATAGTTTATTTTTAAAATGATTAACAAACCTCATAAATGTTATGACATTTTAAAAAACATCTTCTCTCAACAATTTTTTTTTCCTCTTTTACTCTTAACAAGATATTGACCGAAACGACTTGTCAATACGATTTCAACAATAGTTTTCATGTTATACCCTGATAAAATTATTCTTAAAGGATCAAAATTTTGCACCAAGTCATATAGCAAAGCAATAGAGTAAAAGTTTTTGAATATACAAAACATAGTAGATTCTTGTGGAAATTCTTATAGTAAATCATATGTTAAAATTCACTTTCTTGGTTTAATATTTTTGAATATTTTGTTTATACAATTACTAATATATTTCAGCTATGAGGAAAAGCTTGATCTGGCAAAGAAACAGAAAATCATTAAGCACACAAATACAAGACTCTCGAAAACACCTTGGAAAACAGATAAACAGGTAGAAACCAGATAAATGGGTAAGCAACCATGTAAACAGATAGAAAACTGGATCATCTGATACAAACCAGATAAAAAGGAAGACACCCAGCCAAACCGTTAGTAAGCCAGATAATTTGATTGAAAACTAGATGACCTATAGAAAGCAAAATAAACCAATAGAAAGCAAGATAAACCGACAGAAATCCAGATGAACCTAGAAACCAAGATAAACCCATAGAAAGAACGATAAACCAATAGAAAACCAGATAAATTGAAAGTAAACCAGATAAACTGAAAGTAAACCAGATAAACCATATAAAAAAAATTATCTCAATATTATTTATGATTACAGATGGAGGCTTTAAGGAAGGAAGCCATCAGGCAGCGTGAAATGGCCGCTGGAAAAGTCGGTGCCGACGGCAAAGAAATCGTCCGACCCGAGACCCCAATCGTGAACGGGTTCAAGATGATATCCATGGCTCCAAGTCCTATGATGGGTGTGACGGACTCCCCCCTGATGACCTGGGGAGAGGTGGAGACGACCCCGTACAGGTTGGAGGGTTGTGAGACCCCACTCCTCTCTGTGGGGGCTGCTCATGTGTAATGACATGCCCGATTGACATAGGTGCCCTTAAAAGCTTTGTCGAATAAAGAATGAATGAGCTTTTCATGTTTTTAACTCTGAAATGTGATTTTTTAAGAATAAAAGTGACACTTCTTTTGTTAGAGAAACGACGATATCTTCCCCACTATTGATATAATGAAGATTAAAATGAAAAAGGTACTGGAGTAAACCGGGCATGCATTTCTTTAAATCAACGGTCACTTAAAATTACATCGTCCTTTTAAGTAAGCATTAAACCTTAGTATAAAGGCACTGAGTTTTTACCACAAACTCTGATCATGCCCTATATCTTTGCAAACCGTTGGTGCAGATCTATGATATNTGAGATTGATTTGATTTGATTTTGTGATTGATTTAATTTGGTTTTTATATTGATTTGATTTGATTATGAGATTGATTTGATTTGAATTTTAGATTGATTTGATTTGAATTTTAGATTGATTTGATTTGATTTTGAGATTAATTTGATTTGATATTGAGATTCATTTTGAGATTGATTTGATTTGAATTTTAGATTGATTTGATTTGATTTTGAGATTGATTTGATTTGATTTTGAGATTGATTTGATTTGATTTTGAGATTGATTTTATTTGGTTTTTTAGATTGAAATGATTTGATTTGATTTTGAGATTGATTTAATTTGGTTTTTAAATTGATTTTGATTTTGAGATTGATTTGATTTGAGTTTTAGATTGATTTGATTTGATCTTGAGATTGATTTGATTTGAGATTGATTTGATTTGGTGTTGAGATTAATTTTGAGATTGATTTGATTTGATTGTAATTTGATAATGATTTGATTTGATTTTAAGATTGATTTAATTTAGTTTTTAGATAGATTTGATTTTGGCATTGACTTAATTTGATCTTGCGATTGATTTGATTTAAATTTGAGATTGATTTAATCTGATCTAGGGAGCGTAAGAACAAAGCTCTGGCGCAAGTGAAAGTGTCGATGAAGGTCGGGAGACCAGGCTCAGGTCGACCTGCTTCAGGACTACCTGGACTCAGTCCAGCAGCTAAACGGCTGGTCAGCTCTAAACTAGGTAAATTTATCTCTCATTATTTCCGATTGACTTGAAGAGATTGTCGATGTAATTTCAAGTCAACCTCCATTTATAGACTGGAATGTTCGATTCAAAATGGTTACCCTAAAAGGTTCGTATGAAGAAGAGATATCAACATTTTTCTCTTTGTGGTTTCTCTTCAAGATCAAGTGACTTGCAAATAATGATAAAAAACCTTTGGATGAAGTTGTCAGAATTAAACTCTTTTGAAGTCAGGGAAACGACGAGTTCTATTCTCAATTTTGTCAATTAATGATACCTACAGCCGATTACATTAAATTCCAGTAGGGCAGATAACAATCATTATTCAATAGAAGTAAAAGCACTTAGAATAATGTTGATATCTGATGGTAGACTGGCACAATGTCGGAATGTTGATATCTGATGGTAGACTCGCACAATGTCGGAATGTTGATATCTGATGGTAGACTCGCACAATGTCGGTTGGCTGTTGCGAGAAAATTACATTAAAACATCTAAGTAATTCGTTGAATCATTGCAAATCATAAACCCAGGCTACAATTTCGATTTAGTAAAGTCATCATGAAAATGTAGAATGGGCGTAGGACAACCCTAAAAGTCTGATTTGATTTTTGTTAATTGGGCATGGCTCTCTTGAAATTAAAAGGACATATCCTTTAAAACTTTGATGATAATCCTGAACTTTTAGAGAATGCTTTACTGAACTGATAAAAAGGTCTGTATAGAAATACCTAAAAAATTTCTAGGGGCTATTATGATTTATTTCAGGATTTGTTTTTAAAAAGTTAGTTAAAAAAGTCATTCTCGACTTTTNCCATGAAAAAAATTCCCAGATGTGCGGCACATTGTTTAGAAAGCATTGGGGTAAAACTAGCTCAAATACTAAATTTTAGTATTTAAAAATAATTTTCCTAACTGGCCAAGCCATTTGATTGTTTTTCCCTTGGCCTTTTTAAAGCCAGGAGCTGCCGGGCAAAGCTAGTATCTTGAAAAGAAGGATGAGTAGTTCTTGCCAAGTTCTAGTCTCCGAAACTACTGGCTTGTTGATTTATCTAGTCTTGTTGGAGGATTTCTTCTTGTTACACATGAGTTTATTTTCGTGTCTCACAATTAGATGATAACTCATTTTATCCTACAAAATCTTTTTTTTAATTCAGTATGTGTATTAATGTATTAACATTGATATAAAGACGAAAGACGATTGTTTCGAATGACTTATGAAAAAAATAAAAATGTCAGCCCCGTAGTGATCAGGCTCGAGGTCCCGTCTACTTAACTTTAATGAATTACTGTACAGTGTACACTCACTCATTGGATCCATTTCATTCTGATGCGTATCCGGATCCTGGATCCGTTCTGAAAAAAATGGATCCAGATTTAGGTCATAAGCATTTCTTTAAGGGTTACTCATTTTTTTTTTCAAAGACAACTTTCAAATTTTTTGTTCTTTTTTTATGATTATTTTTATGCTTAAAGTCGATAAAACATTCAGAGATGGAAATTTTTAATAATGTTGTAACGTAAACTTGAATTTATAATCTCATCATGATTCACGTCAATTCTGTAAGCTGGAACGTTTCTCTGGAATTATTTTCCTCTTGCTAAAAACATCCTGTTTCTAAACTACAATTAGAAGAATTATTGATATTCATCTTAATCATTAAAAAATAACCATAAAGAATATAAGATCTACTTAAAAATAGTTTTATGAAAAGTTTTCATAAATTCTAACTATATCAGCTATAAAGGCAGACAGGATGCACTCAAAAATATTCCTGATGACAAACTATTAGAATTTGAAATTTGCAAAAAGAGCAAATTCCAGTTTTATTAATATATTAAATATTTTTCAGACGCCAACACTTATGGTTAAGAAAGCGATTAACCACATTGGCTAAACTTTAATTAGGCTTAAAAATATTTATAAATGATCGAAGTCTGGAGATTCAAGAGAAGTCCAACAAGATTAAATTTAAAATATTTCAAAGAAAGAGGTGGCTGTGTCCGATGACTAAAACTAAATCGCGGGGGGGGGGGCTAGTTGCTAATAAATAGATTTTAAATTCACAAGTGAAGACTTCATGGTTCTGTTGAATTTTGCCCTGTTGGATTTAGAAATCTGCCAGTTTTAACCCTATTTACAAAAGAAGACTGTCAGCTGTGCGATGAAGCCTTAGGTAGATTTTTCAGTTGTGTATTTTTACTCCCTCCCTAGAGAAAAAGAAAATATTAATGAAAAATTGGAAATTAAAAAGCATTTTTTTATTTTACATAATTAAAGTTTTATTTAAACCAAAAACTCATTTATGTCCCTATAAATATCATTTAATTTCCCCAAACTCAGTGAAAATGAAAAAAAGTTATATTTAAAAGTGGGAAGGGGGGGGGCGGGGTCCCAGGGTTCCAAAATTAAATTTACGTGAATCTAATTTTGAGCCTAACATAATTATTTGCAAAAGCAAAATAGATAAACCTGTTTTCTGGACATTCATCAATTATTTCAGGCAACATTTTTTTAATAAGATTAACTTTATAACTTCTAATCCCTCAAAAAAAAGCTTTCTAAAAAAATTTAATAATTAATGATAGCAAAGACAGCAAGAGAAGTAAGATAGATTTTGTTGCAATAATTTCATTAAGGGCACAATATCAAAACATGTCAGAAAATAATATTATTATTTTTCATTTTTTATGCATCGCGTCAAATTGATTTTAAAGTTCATTTAATTTCAGTCTAAAATCTTTGAGCACCATTTCTCTAACGAGCTGCAGAATTGCTAAAAAAAAACCTAACTAGCCTCAAGGATGTAATGCAAGGAAAGTTATTTCAGAAGTGTACGCATCTTTTGTTCTGCAGTGGACTGTCTCTTGGCGGTAATGTAAACACAAGATGGATGTTACAGCCTGACATGGGATCCATCTTTCACATAAAAAAATCAATGAAATATTCTGGTCATAGAAAACTATTATGTGAATTATCAAAATCATCAAAATTTAATGCTTTAAACCTCCTCGGATACTAAACGAACACTGATGCATCTATTCTTGTTTACAAATTCCGCCCAAAGAGAACTGGTTCCAATATGTACGCAGAGAAAACGCGACCACAGTTAACTTTCCTTGCATTATAACCTTGTTGACTAGCTTCAATTTTTCATTCGTAGAGTGTAAAATAAAACATAGAAGGCTACTTTTACTTATACGAGGTCTCAAAATAAGTCCAGTAGTTTGTTTTAAATTATGTTTACGATTACATCATTTACCATTTTAGAATAAGTTTGTGAAGCAAAATACATTTTAATTTGTACAGTATATAATCATGTCGTTTAAGCAATTATTGATGGATTTTGAATGAGATTAGATAAATCAACGGAATAGAAAGACGACTGTTAGTATTAAGTTATCATTTAATATTCCAATCGATGTGAAACCCAACAATTGAGCAGTGTTCAGAGACCCATTGATTTTCTATCAGTAGTGATAAAATTATTGGTCTGAAAGAAATACCCAGAAGATTTATTAAATGTCGTCTTCCTAATCCACGCTGTACCTGCCAGCTGTGACCAGCCTAGTTCAATAAATTCTCCTGAAAACTCCTCTCCATCCGTAGCTAGTGGAACTACACTCAACCCAGTCATATTCAAGGGGGTAGCCAACCTTCAAACATGTATGTAGTATGTATCATGTGTAGACGTAATTTCAAGTCACTCTTAATTCGCAAGTCTGATTCACATTTTGAAAAAATTAGAAAGAAATCGTCGTTTATCTGGAAAATGTATAATTTTGTTGAATCGAAGCTGGAAAAAATTCACAAGCCAAGGGAACGCATTTGAAAAAATAAGTTTGTTTTAAGAAAGAAAAAAACTATTTTACTCAGACAAAGGTTTAAGAGACATGTTGTGAATCAGAAAAGCTTCAGTGGTAGGCGATTATATAATACAATGAAGACGACTTTTCATTTAACTTTTGATTGTGAACAAGATTTTTTCGAATTACAATTCTAAAAGTAATCAAAGAGAGGCTTTTTAATTGACAACTTCTCTTGACTTCAATGTTTATGTGTATATCCATGCTGCAATTAAGAACTAGATATAAATCAAAATTGAAATCGAAAGTAGTCTTCGTTATATTGATATAATTCCCTTTACGTCTGCAGTTACTTTTTTAAATACGATCGTAAAAAAACTCAACAATCAACAGTGTTCATAATCTCCTTTCATTTATTTATCAGATGAACCCATTTTAATTATTTTTCAACCCTCAGTCCAATGTAAACAACAGCCATACAAAGGACACAGGTCCTTTTCATCCATGTATTCTGACTAAGTTTGCTTATATCAAACTTTAAAACAATCTTATTTTTTAAGAAAATTTAGGGAAAAACGAACCAAAAATTATAGTTTTTGTGCATTTATTCCTTTTTTTTGCACATATTTCTCTCATTACACATTATCAAAATTTGGCAAAGTGTGATGAAAGACAATGTTCAGAATAAACAATTTTGAATTTAGCAAAACTTGTCGTGATTTATGTGTTACCTTTAAATGTCTAAAAGCCTTTAAAGTTTTTTTTGAAAAGAACCAAGTTAATGTCATTCCATATAGATATGCTGTAAACAAGGAGTATGAAATAGAATGGAGATACAACTGACGCGGCACGCCCTACCATATGATTATACATGCTTTGCAGACGGTACTCCATTTATATAAGAATTTTTTTTCTATACAAATGTAGTTTACAAAGCATTCATAATCATATGGTATTGGTAGAGCGATCCAATCAGTTGTATATCTCCCTTCTATTGCATACTCCTTGACTGTAAACCCCCATCGGATTTCAGAAAAGAAACTCCATGGGTCTAAGCAGAATTAAAGGAGACAATCTGAGTCCTGAGAAACAGTCAATCTCAGGAACGGAACTTCAGATGAGCTTCTAGTCATGGGTTCAAGAAAGATTTGGACAGGAAACTCGATCCTAAGGGGCTAAATGGATTTCAAGTCCAGAGTACAAGAAGATATTCAGGGAAACCCAACCTGTGGATCTGAGGAAACTGTAGTAACAGTATATCTTACATCTCTTTAGTTATTTATTCTTATATTTGTTTTACTTTCAATATAAATGTAAAACTATTTTTTTTCTTTAATTGGTGCATTTAATAAAAACAGCTTATTATTAGCGAAAAATTAGCTTAAAATCCTAATCTTATAACTTAAATATAATTTTTCAAATTATTCATCAAATTTTCGAGAAAACTTAGAAATTTTTTTTATTAAAATATCTTATTTCTCTATTAATTTAGATATTCTGGTAATCTGCTAGATCAATTAAGATTAAGATATCAAATGGTTTAAAAGGGATGTCTTTGTAATCCTTCGTTCTACGAGTCCATACCCGATTTACAACTGTACCCTTTAAGCCTTTCTCTGATTAATAATATTGAAGATCCCTACTATCCCGAAAACCTAAAAATACTAATGCCTCTATAAATAGGTATACGAATTTTTAGATATATTTACGTAATTATTCGTATGATTAGCTTTGTGGTAAAGAACTTGAGTATATTTATGTATTTATAATACTAAGTGGGTTTCCAGATACGTATTTTTACGAATAATTGCGTATAATTTTTACCAGGTAATTTTTATAAGGTTGTATTTTTTAGGGTTGAAAAGTTTGATGCAAACCAAAAAATACCTATGTTTTCGGAAATTTCATACCAACTAATTTTTCCAAGTGTCAATATATTCACAAAACCTAAACTGCATAAAAATGCATTGTTAAGTTAGAATTTAAAAATATTTTATAATTTTTAAGAAAATTTTGGTGAATACAATGTTTAAAAATTTCTTTCATTTTGGAGTAAATTGATATTTTCATTTGAATCAATGTAAAGAAATGTTAGGATTTTTTCAAACCTAAAAATTTCTGATTCATTGGATTTTTTAGGTTTTTTACATACGTATATTTAGGCTTGTCATATTCGTATTTTTACGGACTAAAATACGCATTTTTACCCAGGAAATGGTTACGAAAATACGTACATCATACATAGGGAAAATACGTATTTTCACATATTCCAAACCTAAAAGTACGTATAGATACCAGTATCATACATATTTATAGGTTTTCCGGTTAGTAGGGACGTTTTCAAATTCTAGCAAATGCCTTAATTGTTTCTAGACCAGGAATCTGCAAATAAATCTAAAGAGAAACAACACTTAAATTTTGAAAGAGAAAAAATGGATATCTTTTTATTATTCGTCACCGTTACTAATCGGACATGCCAGTCTATAAATTAAGGGTTACTACTTGAAATTACGCATAGAATCTATTTTATAGTTCCTGAGTTTGATTCAAAATCTCGTCGTTGTTAATTGACTGATCGATTTCTACCTGATCAGAGCAATATCACAGCTCTGCTGTGCACTAAAGTACGGATGCCGGAATACACGTTCAACATGGCGAACCTTAAATAAAATAGATACAAGGATTTTCACCAGAGATTTTAGTGAAAAAAATGACAATTTGTATTAAAAAGTTATAATTTTTAGGTTTTTTAAAAAGAATATGTTGGCAACATATCTTTAACACACCTTTTGTTATTGAATAGTCATCAAAGATAAAGATCAAAGATTATCTTTAATTAAGTCTTCATGTTTTGTGGGACACCATGTATTTGAAAGAACTGACACGTAAATATTTCCACATAATCATTAAAATAACAGTACAACATTATCATGGGATCGATGAAGAATGTCTTTTTTTAGAATATATAATCCAAATCTTAAGATTTCAAAGTTTTGGAACAATTAAAGAGTTCTGCTGATCTTGTTTTGTTAAATGAAACCAAAAAAATTTGCTATCAATCTACTTTTTTTGTCATAGGCTTTCTAAAAGGCTATATACTGTTGAATTCCGGTAATATGAATATATGATTTAATCAGAAGTAAAATAGGTCTCAGAACTTAGGCAGTTTATAGCCTAAAACTATGACAAATTTCAGTAAGAAATTTCCAAAATGTTAAAAGACATACAGGCAAATACATTATGAGTTATGTCAAAAATACGTAGGGGGGGGGATTTGGAGCTGTCTCAATAAAAAAGGATAACATACAAAATCAATTTTTCAGATTAAAAGAAGTCTTCAATTAGATGACGTAGACCATATTTGACAAGTTGATTAGTTTTTTGATACATTTCCAATTTGCCATCAAAGAAGATCTTATCTAATCAAATGGGAAATAATCGATTAGAAATTAATCACTTTGGACATTCATTAGAAATTAATCACAATTGTGACATTCATTAGAAATTATGATTTTGGACATTCATTAGAAATTAATCACAATTGTGACATTTATTAGAAATTATGATTTTGAACATTCATTAGAAATTATGCTTTTGAATATTCATTAGAAATTAATCACTTTGGACATTCAATAGAAATTAATCACTTGGACATACGTTAGAAATTATGCTTTTGGGCATTCATTAGAAGTTATGCTTTTGAATATTCATTGGAAATTAATCACTTTGGACATTTAATAGAAATTAATCACTTGGACATACGTTAGAAATTATGCTTTTGGGCATTCATTAGAAATTATGCTTTTGAATATTCATTAGAAACTAATCACTTTAGACATTCAATAGAAATTAATCACTTGGACATTCATTAGAAATTATGCTTTTGGACATTCATTAGAAATTTACTTACTTTACTATTTACTATGTAGTTTGGACCCGCCTAACCAGAGTAGGTTGTTTTAATTGGTTGGCCAACTATAAACGAATGAGAATTGCAGATAAAAACAATGTACATTGTACATTTTAAACATAAGAATGATAATAAATCAGGTAAAAGGTAAGGAGGAGGTGAGGGAGTATAAAGATATTTATTAGAAATTATGATTTTGAACATTCATTAGAAATTATGCATATGAATATTCATTAAAAATTTTGCTTTTGGACAATAATTAAAAATCATCACTTGGAGATTCATTAGAAATTATCCTTTTGGAAATTAATTAGAAATTAATCACTATGAACATTCATTAGATATTATGCTTTTAGACATTCATTAGAAATTAATCACTTGGACATTCATTAGAAATTATTAATCACTTTGGACATCTATTAGAAATTAATCACTTTGGACATTTATTAGAAAAAATGATGTTGGAGATTTATTAGAAATTAATAACTTTGGACATTCAATAGAAATTAATCACTTTGGACATTCATTAGAAAGTATGCTTTTGGACATTCATTAGGAATTTTGCTTTTGGATGGAAAATGACCTCCTCATGGATAAAAATTTAGAAATAGAATATTAAAAAATTGTCAAGAATAAAAAATTATAAAACCTGTTCTGAATCTTCCACAGTATTCAAATCCCATTCTCCAGCAACCACTAAAAAATTAGATTTTTCATCTTAAAGTTTAAAAATTTGAGATTAAAAAAGTTAAAGGATTAATTTGAAATTAATGTAATAGAATGATTTCAGTTTTGACAGGCCGGGATTCCATCGAACTAATTTGCACCGGTGGAAAAATGGTTTTTACAATTTTGTTATTTCAATTTCTAAAACATCAAATGAAAACATATTCTGCCATTATGCGATTTTGATTTCCCCGTTTTTCATCTTTTACGAACGCTCACTTCAACTTTACAACCAAATTATATGGTACTATAGGCTTTTATACATCTTCTATTACAACTGTAAGCATTTTCTCTTTGTATACATTGTAAAACAAAAACAACCGAAAATTTCGTGGATTTTCAAAATTTTCAAAAATCGAATTTTGTTAGAGGTAATTTTTTTAAATACCATCATCCATTAACCTTCCCTGGGATCACGTGAGGTCCCCAAAAAAATTTGGGACCGATCTGTTAATCTGTTTTGACGTTTATTGGATATAAAAAAACAGACAGACAGACAAGCAAAGAGTATTATATAATCTAAATGACCCTTTTTAAATAGTTAGTAATGAATCACTCACATCACGCCATTTAAATAGTTGGTAATGAATGTTTGAGTCATGATAGTTTAGCTAATCACTTAAATCGGGCCATTTAAATAGTTGGTGATGAATGTTTGAGTCTTGATAGTTTAGCTAATCACTTACATCGTGCCATTTAAACAGTTAGTAATAAATGTTTGAGTCTTGATAGTTTAGCTAATCACTTACATCGTGCCATTTAAACAGTTAAGAATAAATGTTTGCGTCTTGATAGTTTAGCTAATCACTTACATTGTGCCATTTAAACAGTTAGTAATGAATGTTTGAGTCTTGATAGTTTAGCTAATCACTTACATCGTGCCATTTAAACAGTTAAGAATAAATGTTTGCGTCTTGATAGTTTAGCTAATCACTTACATTGTGCCATTTAAACAGTTAGTAATGAATGTTTGAGTCTTGATAGTTTATTGTTTAGCTAATCACTTACATCGTGCCATTTAAACATTTAGTAATGAATGTTTGAGTCTTGATAGTTTAGCTAATCACTTACATCGTGCCATTTAAACAGTTAGTAATAAATGTTTGAGTCTTGATAGTTTCGTTAATCACTTACATCGTGCCATTTAAACATTTAGTAATGAATGTTTGAGTCTTGATAGTTTAGTTAATCACTTACATCGTGCCATTTAAACAGTTAGTAATGAATGTTTGAGTCTTGATAGTTTAGCTAATCACTTACATCGTGCCATTTAATCTTTTAAAGGACACGTCAAAATTCACACTTTTTACTTGACTCACATGTGCCTTCTTTAAAAACAATATATTTACAGTGATAACCAGAAAACTCTAAAATAGGAAGACGACTTTTATAATAAAGTTATAACTTTAAAAAAATCCAATTCGCATGATAAATAGCAATTGTGCAGTGTAAACAGACTCTTTTAGTAAGTGATTTATTAAGTGCATAGTACAACTATTTGCTTTGTAACAACCTCAAATATGCTTGATTATTGCTTTATGGTGTTCTTAGTTCTTCCTATTCCTATAACTGTACCTACTAAGAAAATAATATACCTACAAAGTTATCATGGTCCACACTATCATCAGTATCAGCACAGTAGGCAATAACTATAATAATAATAATAATAATAATAATAATAATAATAATAATAATAGTTATTAGCTGACCGGGCCCGGTGTTTCCCGGCGTTGCCCGTGGAAAAAAATTCGAATTATTTTTTTAGCCGATAACACCCCCCGGCCACACATGAGTGTCCACAAAAAACTCAGTCCATTCGGTCCAGACGTTTGGCCGGCTATATGCAACATATATATATATATGCAAATGTCTTGTTTTATTATATTTATAACACTAATAATTAAGATACCTGGTATAAGTTTGCTGCGACTAATATTGCATCTTCAGGTTTATCACAAACAAAACCATGACATTCAAGTTGCCTAAACATTAAAACAAACAATGTAAGTAAACAAAACAAACATAGTATAAACGCAAACAAATGAAACATGCATTATACCGTGGCACCCACAAAACTGTGGACAATATTTAATTGTAATCTGTTGTGCATTCGATGTTCTTATAAAGCAAATAGTTTTAACATTATTTTGAAAATTAATTTACTACAGTGATTACCAGAAAACTGTGGAATAGGAAGACGACATTGAAGCATTATCGAAGTGCATTTNATAAAAAATTAAATATTGAAATTTATATATTTACGATTCAGTTAAAATAGCTCCAGCACATGTATGCCCTCCAAGCTCGGGAATCTAAGTAAGTTTGTAAGTAATTATCTATCTATATATTGTAATCTCTGTTTGTCTGTTTGTTTGTCCAATCATAACTCAGGAACCCCTTGACCGATTGGCCTCAAATTTTAGTTAGGGAACTCGGGAGACCCACTTTAGTAACCTTTTAGTAACCTTGGCAGGGCTGGGTTCCGAAACTAGTTTAATTATAAAATAAAACAAAAAATACAAAAATAAGGGTTTAAGGAGGAAATATGTAATTAAAAAGAAGGCGTTTTTGGAAACTAGGAAACCTACTCCCACCCTCACAATCCTTGTATTTAAATTCCAGATTTCTATTTAAGTTCCAGATTTGTACTAAAATTCCAGATTTGTATTAAAATTCCAAATTTGTATTTAAATTCCAAATTTGTATTTAAATCCCAAATTTGTATTTAAATCCCAAATTTTAATTTAAATCCCAAATTTGTATTTAAATTACAAATTTGTATTTAAATCCCAAATTTGTATTTCAATCCCAATCCACCCAAAGAAAAAGAAAAAAAAGACCTGAAGAGAAACTGTGAAAGGAAAAGCTCCAGGCTGTGTTTCTTCAATATTTCCCTGTGAAACAGAAACCTACAAAAATATTATTTTCTTATTTCTCCCAAAGCATATAGTTGTAATCTATGTTTGTCTGTTTGTTTGTCAGATCATAACTCATGAACCCCTTGACCGATTTCCCTCAAATTTTGAGTGGGGAGCTAGGAAGAACCACGGAAATGTTCTTAGTTTGGTTTTAAAATTCTAAATTGAGTAGGTCAACTTTTACAGGGAAAAATAGCTATAAACGTAATTTACCACAAAGCGTGGGTAAACGGTGGTACTAACATGAATACTCAGGGCAACGCTGGGTTCCCTTATTATAAAGTTACAAATACTCAATGAATATAAAATATGTATGAATATATAAAGCTGTAATCCCTATTTTGATGTCCGATCATAACTCAGGAATCTTATAAATTTAACTTACGAGGGTTAGAAACACAAATAAATTAAGCATTTTATTGTTTAGGCTTCCGAGTGAATAGATACAGAATAACTAACATTTTTATCTTAAAAACAAATAAAATGATTCTGTTAAAGAATCGAGATAAGCCCCCAAAAGAAAATCTAGGCTTCCACAGAGGGAGCTTCGCTCCTATATTTTTTTGTCATAATTCTAGCATTAAAATGATACTTTAATTACAATACATTTATCTTTGAATGCTTTTAAAAAAGATTGCAGGTTTTTCTGTTTAAATTGGTGGATTTCCCAAAAAATCTAAATTTTATAGAATTATTTCCTAGTTTAACCGGTTATAACCTTCCCTAACAGGGTCATGTAACTTAAATTCAGAGGCGCAACTAGCACTTTTGCTAGGGTGCAGGAGGCAAAATATTATTTTGTAATGGTCTGGTGGGGGGGGGGGGGGGGCTTGCCCTCCCCCTTTTGTAATTTTTTTTCATAATAAAAGTGCTTTTTGTAAGGGTTTAATGTCGAAAAAAAAAAAATTTTCAGTTGTTGCATGCAGATTTAGCTGTGTTCAATTAAAATCGATTTTTTTTCTTGTATTTTAAAAAGATTTATACTTTCAACAATTGTAAAATTAACGATATGAGCGGAGCGCTAAAGAAAATTTGTTAAGTATACCTTGTTTAATTACAGATACAATTAACAAGAAATAATCATTTATATATTCTGAAAAAAAAACACATCAAAATACATAAATAATTTTAATCATCTACATTGAAAAAGAACAGATAATGTTACGTTTTCTTCTGAAGTTATTGAAATTTTGATTGATCATTCTAACTAACATTCATAATCTTATTTCATTTTAGATTTTATAGAAGTTTTTTCAAAGCAGGTTACAGTTATTAAATATGATGATCAGTTAGAAGTTTGCCAGGTTCAGTCTCTGAATGCAGAATGATCTCTACTTATAGATTTGGAACTAAGTTTTTGCCATCAAACTCAGATATTCTGGAATCCCTATAAATCCTTGCACCGAGTATTGTAAACGTTTGATATTTCAGACTTAGAAAATTTTACCAAAATAATTCAAAGTTTGAATTCAGTTCGGAACTTTTTTACATTAAATGTTTACAAGAGCCAATTTATAGCCTTGAGAATTCAGAAAGATAATTCTTTTTAAAACTAACCATAAAGAATATACAAGTTCTCTTTTGGTTTTATTATTCCTGACTTCTGTGATACTGATATTCGCCAATATCTTTCTTTTCATTCTGCAGGGGGGGCGCGCCACGCCCTCTCAGAAGCTCGTGGAGGGCGCGCGCCCGGCCGCCCCCTACCTAGTTGCGCCTCTGGACTCACTTGATTGGGTTTCAAATTGCAGATAATAATTACAAATAAGTGCAGACAAGCACAAGATTTGTAGTGAAAAAACAATAACACATGGATTAATAATGGACTTGCTTATGGTGCATCATGCATGTGAAGTAGATACTGTTCATTGTAAGCGGAAATTTCCAACAGTGAATTAAGTAAAACTTTTACTCCTATCAATGCAATTGCGAATGTAAAATTTGAAAAGTAGAAGAAAAGAATTTTTAGTATTCTTACCATTAAAAAAAGTTTTTATCATCAAAGTTGTGTTATTAAAAACCAACATGTTTTTTTAATTGCTTTTTAGTCACCGAAATGATTATAGGTTCATCGACATTTATCTTTAATTTGTCTTCATAATTAATGAAAATGTAAAAGTGAAAAAGTTATATAGCTTGACAAGCTGGGGTGAAAATGTGTTACCGACTTTTGAATTAATTTCTATAATTTTCTTCTTTGATTATTTTTATTTAATTTCTATTCTTGAAATTCAAAAGAAAGAAGGTTTTGGCTCGATCTCTTCTTCCCTGAGCTGGAGTGTCCACCCAATTCTCCAGAGAGGGGGACGTCCCCCCCCCCCAATTTTCGCGGGGAAAGTCCTCTCCCCCCTTCTTAAACCGTGCCACTGATTGTGTGATGGGTAAGTCGGGTGAGGCGCTAAGATCCTATTTACTTATCCTAAGTAAAAAAATTCCCCCTCCCCTTTCCTGTCTCTAACTGCAATTATACGATCCATGGAGGGGAAAACATACCCCCTGCAGTTTTTTTTGAGTTGATACCCCTTCCATTTAAAAAGCATTATAAACGCAAAACGCTGCATATGTATGCTATAAATAATTAGTTAATTCGACTTTATTGATAAGAGGAATTTTCCTGTGACTAATTTCTGAAATGTCGTCTTCTTCTTCTGTAATATTTCAACATTCGGCAAACTTTTATTTCAAAGGATTATTTATATCAGCTATTATAATGCTATATTTTTACCCCTAAAAATAAAAAGAATGTTGTCACATAAACTTAACATTTTTTACATTAGAAATTTCGAAATTAATTTCATTATTTGAAAATGCGGCTCTAGCACAAAAAATGTAATGTTTAAAAAATAAAATTACCATTAAGTAAACAATTATCAATGTTAAAGATTTTCTCTCTGCAAATTTCTTGAACCATCCACAATTTCGCCATGATTCATAATGCATATTCCGTTGAAAAATGCGGGAAATTTAAGACGGTCACCGCAGCTTCATTGGTGGATTTTTCTACTTTCAATTGTATTCTTATCTCTGATTGGTTGGTTACAGGTTACTTCTTTCTGATTGGACCAGCCCTATCTATTCAGCGATATCATTGGCTGTTGTTTGAACCGCACCCGCTTTCACGTTTCACTCACCCTCCTACCTTGAACGAGTATACAAGCAATCACAAGATGAGAGAAATCGTCCATCTTCAGGCAGGACAATGCGGAAACCAGATCGGAGCAAAGGTAACTTCAAATTTAAATTTTTCCATGATGTTTCAGTTTGGTCATTTTGAACCTTTCTTCTCTTGCAAATGTCAGTATTAACTTATCTTTATTTCAGTTCTGGGAGATTATCTCCGACGAGCACGGTATTGACGCGACTGGATCCTACCAGGGAACTTCAGACTTACAGTTGGAGAGGATTAATGTTTATTACAATGAAGCCAGCGGTGGAAAATATGTACCTAGGGTAAGTTTATTGGTTATTCCTAGAGAACGATTTTTGGACCCCCCCCCCCCTGGGCCCTCCTTATCAAATATGTACATGGATCTTACAGATAGTGTCTTAACTAAACTTTACCCGTGGCCGCAGCGCTCGGCCCCTTTGCATTTCCTAGTATACGATTTTTGGACCCCCCCAGGCCCCCCCCCCTCCTATCAATTTTGTACATGGGTGTGACAGGAAGTTTCTTAACTTAACTTGACCCGTGGCCGCAGCGCTCGGCCCCCTAGCCCATCCTAGCCGCAGCGCTCGGCCCAGAAAGTATCTCAACCTAACCTAACCCTAAAAAAACAAAAATCGTTCTCTAGGAATAAACCTTCTTGTTGTCCAGATTAAATAATGCTTGTTCTCCTCTTGTTATTAATCTCCAGATTAATTAACAGATCTGGATCAAGGATATTCCATTCTAACGTTTTCAGCTCTGGTTTTGTTTTTTCCACTAATTTATTAGATCAGTAGGTTTTAGCTGTTCATGATAGATGGGAAGGATGAATAACTTAAATATCTTTTTCTTGATATCTTTAATTGTTCTAGGCTGTTCTTGTTGATCTTGAGCCTGGAACTATGGACAGTGTAAGATCAGGACCCTACGGTCAGATCTTCAGACCAGATAACTTTGTTTTCGGTCAAAGCGGGGCAGGAAATAATTGGGCCAAGGGACATTACACAGAGGGTAAGTTTCAGACTCTTCTATTATATTTAGGGTCCGTCCTAGTATTCGATTTTTGTCTCGTAACAAGTTTCAACTAAATTAGTAGTTATTTATATTTAGGGTTAGATTAAGATTTNACTGTATTGGAAAGGAATCTATTTTATTCGCCTTACCACAAAAGCCCTAGCGAAACCTTTTGAGGATGAAATATAAAAATTTACTGGCAACGCCGGATACTTAAGCTTTTATTTATTTAATCTACAATGTTTTAGAACCCTGAAACTATCTACCCCAACCTATGGAGATCTGAATCATCTCGTTTCCCTCACAATGTCCGGAGTCACAACTTGTCTTAGGTATGTTTTTTTTGGTTTGTAACAAGAAATTATATTTAAAATTTATGTAAATGCCAAAAATAAATGGTTTTCTCTGTAACAGTTGCGTAAATTATTTTATTCTTTGAGTTAGTCAATTAAAATTAAATTTTCTTGTATGTACAAAAAATTTACATTAAGGTTCCCTGGACAATTGAATGCTGATCTAAGAAAGTTGGCTGTCAACATGGTTCCCTTCCCCCGTCTTCATTTCTTCATGCCCGGCTTTGCTCCTCTCACTGCCCGTGGATCTCAACAGTACAGAGGTAAAATATTGAACATGATTATAGTTAGAGCACCAGAAACAAAGGAAGTAGCTGAGTCGCGTAGACATAGTTCAATCTTAACCAGGGTTAAGTTTTTTTATGTAAAAACTATCCTCCCTTCCTGGGATGATTTTTATCAAAAAATTATTATTTTCCATTATTCAGCGAAAATTCTAAATTTAGGTTTTCAGATATTTTGAATTTTAGAAAATATACACCTGGGTTAACCGGTTTTCGGGTTTAGTCCATTCATGTCTACGATATAAACTCATCCTATCTGGAGAGATTTTCTGTTCTATTTAAATTAATTTTACCAAACTTTTATTTGTTCAGCGCTGTCCGTCCCTGAACTGACTCAGCAGATGTTCGACGCCAAGAACATGATGGCTGCTTGTGATCCTCGTCACGGACGTTATCTCACTGTCGCCGCTATCTTCCGCGGCCGAATGTCCATGAAGGAGGTCGACGAACAGATGTTGAATATCCAAAACAAGAACAGCAGCTACTTCGTCGAATGGATCCCTAACAACGTGAAGACTGCAGTGTGTGATATCCCTCCCCGTGGTTTGAAGATGGCAGCTACCTTCATCGGTAACTCCACCGCTATCCAGGAACTGTTCAAGAGAATATCTGAGCAGTTCACCGCTATGTTCAGAAGGAAGGCTTTCTTGCATTGGTATACTGGTAAGACTAAAGAAATTGAATTTTTTTTCATCGGAACTTAAATGTAGTGAATCTTATGAGATCCATCTCGTGGATTATATTAATTCTTTCATTCCATGATTCCGTGGTGGTCTTGCCCTGCAGGGGTTAAGCATTTATTATAAAATTTGAAGATTTACATTGGAAATAGATTGAGCCTTTAAGATAAATGATGCTCTCAAAAGCTTTGATTGGTTTAATTGGCGTGCTTATGTTTATATCACGTTTCAGGCAGGGTCTTAACTTTATTTACGGTTTAAACCTGTACACATTGTTGACTTTAGTCAGTACACTTGACAACATTTTAATTTTTAACGTTCCTTCTTTCAGGTGAGGGCATGGACGAGATGGAATTCACTGAAGCTGAGAGTAATATGAACGATCTGGTTTCTGAATATCAACAATACCAGGTAAATTTTTTCATTTTTGGTCTACACGATTAAGGTATATCTATTATCTAAACACTGAATTTTAAAGCTTAAGATTTAATAGGTTATGGTCTTATTAACATAGGAACACATGTACCGATAATAAGTGGCCCTATATAATATTTTATCCGAGTAGCATGTCCCGACTCACAGTGGCTAGTTGGTAATTTTAAAATGTTTTCTCATCACGATATTTAATATCTTGCGTTAGTATTTTCCATTTTGATTTGTTTTGAGGGAGGTCGCTGTTGTGGCCTTTTTATTTTCCTTTTAAAATTGTGAATTACTCTAGGAGGCTACCTGCGAGGATGAGGAGTTTGGAGATGAGGAGCAGGAAGAGGAATTCGAGTAACCCCCCCCCCACACTCAACAACCTACAGTGATCTGCAACATAAGTTTTGGTACCAAGAACAACTAAAATTATTTTTGTGTAACCCGGTATATTTTATAGCATTGGAATATATTTTATAAAATAATCCAGTCTAAATTATTTGAAGGAAGTACATAAGAGATTTCTGAATGAACAGTTTGACTATGGCTGAATTGATTGGTCCGATATTTGTAACTAACATGACTATGGCTTATTGATAAATCTGCTAATTTGCAAGCTTTTATACATGAAATATGACCGCTGAAGAGGAATCGGTAAACGTTAACTGTTTGAGCCTTGTAAATGAAGTACTAATGCGAATTGTCGGGTATCAGGTCTGTATTAGTATTTCGGCAATAATTTAATCTTGTGCTGGTGTCAAATAACGGAGAAGTCAAAAATCTCGCAAAGCTTGGTAACGCTAACAAAAGAGAAACTTAAGTGGACAGTATTTAGCGTCTACTGACGCATCTTTGGAGACTCAGATTCCTCAGATTAGACTGAACAATTTTCGATATCGAAACTTAAGTGGACAGTATTTAGCGTCTTATGACGCATCTTCAGATACCTAGATTAACATATTTAAAAATTGCGACATTTTTGACTTTTGTTACGCTCTTCAGTCAGTTTTGCATGGCAATTTTATTTCTCTGAACATGTTATCGCATAGTTCAGATTATGACTATTCTCATCCTACATCAACGTTTAATTTGGAGATTTCAATGATAGATAAATGCTTAAAGAATATCTGATTTAATTGATAAATCATAAGGTTAAAACGGAAGTAAGCATCTGTTCTGTAATAACTATAAACGGGGAAAATGAATTTACTTAAAACTAAAATATTAGAAACTTTCTTTTGGTCAATTATTTAATACTTTTCAATGATGTGGCTAATAGTTGATATAAATTTTATATTTATACTCGTATGATTTCTCGAATGACTACTGGACAAATGGAATTTTAAAAATTTGGACTACGGTAACGGTTTTAATCAATGATGAGGTTGAATCTGTAGTGTTAAGTTTAGATTTTCTAGATCCGGACCAATAATGGAAAAAAATTTGCTCTAACCCAAAATAAAATTTGAACTGTTGAAAAAAGAGGATCTAAACTTCTTGCCTCGGAATCTATATTTTTAAAGATTTAATCTCTGTCTGTCCGGTCAGAACTTAGGAATCCATTGACCGATTTGCCTCAATTTTGACTGGGAAAATTTAATAACCACGGCAATGTTCTTAGTTCTTAATCTAGTTTCCCGGGAAAATCGACCACGCCCGGGAAGAGTAACTATGACTACCCTGTGCAACGCTGCAGGTTCCCAAGCTAGAGGATTATAAAGTTAACGTATAAAAATCGTAATTCGTAATTTATACATTACTAGCTGAAGTGCCAGGCGTTGCCTGTGGAATGTTTTTTTGAATTACAAACACTCAATTCTTAATTTTGAAAACAGTCGCAAATCGTTTTTTAAAAACTATCGTTATTCTTGTTTCCTAAAAGTTCAAAACGAGTTGGTCGTTTTTTAAAACGCGATAGTTTCTTCCCAAAAACGAAACAATCGTTTTTGAAAACTATTGAAAAAGGCAACAAAAATCGATCGTTTAACGATAGTTTAACGATCGTTTTCAAAACGATTAACAACCCTAATTGCACCGCGGTTTGGTAATTTTCTTTTTAATACAAACTGGACATGCCCACGGAATTTTAAAAATTGAATTAAAACAAAACTGATAATTTATTTAGCTTATGTCATCCCCATGAGTTTCCTGACTAAAATTCAGCCCATTTGATTCAGCCGTTTGGCCAGCCATAGCAAACACATAAATATTGTATAGAATAAAATTGTACTCCTACTCACAGCAGACACTTTTACAAAGCAGACAATACACTTTTACAAGTCATAATTATTTTCTGAACCTTTTCCTTTTTCATCTCATAGAATTTAAGTTTTATAAGCTTTTAAGTTTTTAATTTTCAAAAATGTCTTTTAACTATACTCATAGTTTAAATACTAATTATTACCAAGAATGCATTATTGATTATTACTAACATATATAACAGCATAATAAAGTGTCGATTTTTTAGAAACAATGCTTTTTTTGCTAGTTTTGTTTGAAGGACTAATATGAAGTTATAGTACTTGCAAGTTAATTGGACTTTATGATATTTTAAAGTATCTACAATTGTGCCTGATATCAATCAAAGAAGACAAATGTTTTGAATTTACAGTTCAAATTTTGCCCTCCCCCCGGGATTTTTTCTGTATCGCCCTTGTTTAAGATATTTCACAAATAATTTAGATTTAGAGTTTTAGGCGATTGCGCAAATTGAGCGCATTTTTACTCAATATGCCGGGAATGCCATAAGAAATAATCCATATCTCCACAAATTCATGATATTTTTAAATAGAGCTAGGTTATAACTTATAAAATATTTTCTTTACAGAAAAATGAGATAATTTGAAATCTAGAGTTACGCTTAAATTTGCACTGTAATTGCGTCATTGGAGCCAAAATAATATACATTTATAGCTGCCTACGCAATTTGGATATGCCATGCATGCAGGCGCGTACACAGAAATTAAGCCAGGTGGGGCAAGTCTTCGCGCGAAGCGAGAATTTTTTTTTTTGCCCTCCCCCTGGTCGATTGTTGCCCCCCCTGGCCTATTTTAAGTCTACTACATGTCCCCTAGGTGGCCCATTTAGTATTCAAGGACTATATATTACAATCCATTTGTACAGTTCTCTAGTCCCAATTCAAGGACTATTATAATGTATCTATCTGTATATGTGTTACCCTCTGAAGTCCTGAGTAGTCTCATGAGATTATTCCCCTTTCTAGTCCACTGTAGTCCCAATTCAAGGACTACATATTACAATGTATCCATTTGTATAGTTCATTGCCCTCTGAAGTCAGCTGAATAGTCTCATGAGACTACTCCCCTTTGTAGTCCTCTGTAGTCCCGATTCAAGGACTATATATTATAATGTATCCCTCTGTATAGTTCTCTCAATTCCTGAGACTATACTTACCTTTGTAGTCCACGGACTATATATTAAAATGTATCGATCTTCAGTATTTTCGGGAAAACATGCCAAACGCTTGCATAATGCATATAGCTATAGTTTATCAAGTATGCGGGAGATTTTAGATAAAAGGGAAATACTAAGGTAAATTTTGAAAATAAATGGCGCGAAGCGGCAAGAAAATTTTCAACTATACTTTTTAAAGGGAAAACACCCCTTTGATGATGAGGGCAAGCTCTTTTTTTACCGAGAACACCTGATTTTTACCTTTGCCCAAAAATCCCATGGGGGGGGCAAGAGGACTACTGCCCCCCCCCCTGTGTACACTACTGCATGCATGGTAATGTTTTAAAAAAGCCATTTTAAACGAAAGGTTGAATTTATTTTTGGGAAAATAAGTTTTGCAGTTTACATATGGAATTTTTAAAATATCACAATTTTAATTTACACTAATTTTATTGTTTAAAACCAAACAACTGCTGGAAGACTCAAATGCTAAGACTGTCCTAATAAAATCTGCTTTAAAAAAGAAAACTTTAGGTTATTAATATATCCCTGTTTTGTTATTTTAATGTGAAGAGGGTTATCCCTGAAGTTACCGCCCTGAGAAGAGTGTACACTTGAATCTGCTTTGCTGGCCTATGATGTGATGTCAGAATTACCTGCCCTGGAAACCGCAAAATCCTGAAACCTGTAAAAGTATCTGAAAATTCTGCCCGACCGGCGTGGTTGGGTACTAATCGGCCAATCAGTATAGTTCGTTCGCCAAAAATCTGGCATTTCTCTAATCGTCTCACTAAATTCGTGGGTCTGTCCTAGTATACAATTGAAAGAAATTTATTTTATTCGCCTTACCACCAAAAATCCTAGCGAAACCTTTTGAGGATGAAATGTCACAATATATTCGCATTTAATTGATAAAAATTTACTGGCAACGCCGGATACTTAAGCTTTTATTTATTTAATCTACAATGTTTAAGAACCCTGAAACTATCTACCCCAACCTATGGAGATCTGAATCATCTCGTTTCCCTCACAATGTCCGGAGTCACAACTTGTCTTAGGTATGTACGGGGGTCCAAAATTTGTTCTTTAGGAAATTTCGAAACAATACTTTACAAAGTTTTAATTGCAATTGACGTGTATAAAAATTAAATAGAAGCTGTTTATTTCAGAATTACCGAAAGATTCCGGAATACCGGATTTGAGGATGGGAGATAGTATGGATGCGCCACCGGCGGATTTACCGGACGTGGCTCAGGCTCCACCGGAAAAGGTTGTTGCCTATCTCAGGTATTTAAATGGTTTTTTTTACGATGTACACGCCCCTGGTTTGAAACAAATTCAAAATCCTTATTTTTATTAAATTTTATTTAGGTATAAATGTTTTAGCATATTGCATTTCATTTAATACTTTGAAATATAAATGTTTTAAGCAGGGGCGTTTACTGTAATTTGCCCGGGGGGGGGGCTGAATCCAATTTTGACACTTTATGAGGGGTGTCTTAAAACTTCGTCCAGAACTGTATTAGTCCAGATACAACCCGTCAGCTATGATTGTCAACCAGGACTCTTCAGTGATCAATGTGAAATCAATGGACACGATCTTATCGGCTCTGAATGTCACACAGGAACACAAGCGTAGCTTTCACACAAGCTCTCAATCGATCAATGCCAAATACCAAGGCCCGATGTCAGCCCGTCTGTTCTAAACACTGTAATCAAAGCGGAGTCTCTGTATTACTGATGTATTTGATGTTTATATGTTACAAGTTGAAGTTAATAGACGTAATAACAATTCCTATGTCGTTATCTATATCACATGATTGCCTTAATCATGTTACATATTACAGCACAGTTGAAATATGCGCAGTTAAGATGTACGTCATTATAAATTTCACATGATTAAGCTAATCATGCTGCGTGTTTCTTAGAAACGCAGTTCACATTAATATAGTTTTTTTTGTGCATAAGTTTACAAACATAGATAGTTAATAATGTACAACGTACTGCAGGTTTACAGAATATCGTGTAACCCGATATTTAAAAAAAGGGGTACCGGGGGGGGGGGGGGGTGCGAGTCCTTCCTGGAAAGCATTTCCGTCCTGTAGTGTACACGCCCCTGGGTTGAAATAAAAGATCAATAATTTTTTAATCAGAAAAAATGGTTTTAAGATAAGGCATTTGATTTTTTAATATTTTATTTTTTCAAAAAATACTTCTAGGCGGGTTGTCCCTGTCATCTTAGAGGACAACATAGAGGACGTGAGCGCCTTAGACGCCGTTCTACAGGACAAGAACACCTTAGAGTGGGTAAGGACATGTTCTTAAACAATTTTACACTTTTTGCGAAAAAAGGAGGCCAGGGGGTTACCTTTTTGTGATGTTATCTTCAGATAGCTTTCAAGAAAAAATCTCATATTTTGTTTTAAATCTTTTAACACTGCACTATGAAATAAAGGGTCAATTGAGATTACAACGACAGTCCCTTTAAGGAATATTTATTCCAACATACCACATAGTAACATAGTATACACTACAGTCCCTTTAAGTAATATTTATTCCAACATACTACATAGTAACATAGTACAGTCCCTTTAACGAATATTTATTCCAACATACTACATAGTAACATAGTATACAGTCCCTTTCAGGAATATTTATTCCAACATAACTACATAGTAACATAGTATACAGTCCCTTTCAGGAATATTTATTCCAACATACTACATAGTAACACAGTATACAGTCCCTTTCAGGAATATTTATTCCAACATACTACATAGTAACAGTATACAGTCCCTTGATGTTAGATTTGATAAATTCTTCTTTAGGTAAAAAAGTTTATTGGAGATGCCAGCTGCACGGCACTGCTCGTCTCTAGACATGCACTTAGAGAAGAGGTAGGCAATCATGTGATCTTTTTGATTAAAAATGTAGCAGGGATGTTTATTCTCCACCCCTCCCCCCTTCTAAAAAATAAATTTGTTCCCAGGAAGTAATTTTAGGTTTTTTAAAGTTGAATTTGGGAAGCAATTGATTCTGAAATCAAAAAATCTGAAAGGAGGAAAAACTTGTTTTTTGATTTCTAAATTTTCATTTTTTCCGTTGAGCATCAAAAATTAAATTCCCTTTTGAATGTTTAAACATGAATTCAATGTTTATATTTATGAATTTGATAAAGTCATCTATTTCCAATCAAAAACGAAAATTGAAAACATGTTTTGCTGATTTTCTTAATGGAAACTTTGTGGTATTTCAAAATCTGTTTTGTGTATTAAATTAATTAATGAACCTTGTGAAGGAGGAGGAGGGGGGAGAGGAGAAGGAGGTGGTCACCTATTCTGTCAGCAACAATGTTCAGTACACCCCAGGTTAACATCTTCAGGATTAATTAGTAATTAATTAAATGTGGAGCAAGGAATTACCAAATTATGTTCTTTTTCTTAAACGTTAAAATGTTTAAGATAGCTATTTTTGGGGTAAAAAGGAGAGCTAAAAAGCTTACTAGTTGGAAGTTCTGTCCCCCTCCCCCCGTAATCATCCAATTCCAGTATTTTTGACGCTAAAAAGCTTACTAGTTGGAAGTTCTGTCCCCCTCCCCCCGTAATCATCCAATTCCAGTATTTTTGAAATCATATTTAATAAATGACCCCCTAAATTCCAGATCCTAAAATTTACATGTTTCCCTTATTAAGGTATTAATTTTGTTGAGTTATCTGACTTGTATTGTAGGGAAGATGTCTAGCGTCGTCTGCTTGAAGAAGGGGCCCGTGGTGGAGGCTGAGAAGAATATACCCTCCCAACTCAGGAATATATAGATTACATTCAACCATCTTGTTTTTGTTCGCAAATATTAAATTTTTTTCCCTGCATTTGTTTTTATTTTCGTTTTTCTCTATGGGTCTCAAATATTATTTCTATAAAATTTAACTTTGGAGTCTTTTTTTTATTAAAGAATTTTCTTTCAATCTTATAAACTTGATTTCGTCCCAGGGTGATATCTCTGAGCGAGGGGTCAGCCTACGAGACCCTTCACTCCTACGTATCTGCTGCAATGGCGCCGTTCTTTAAGTCCTTTGTCAAGGTAACATACAGTGAGACCCATTAAACTGTGGAATAGAATGACAATATTTAAGCAATCTAATTAGCATTTAATGCTGTTATAAATGGGTCTGTGTACACTACACAATAGCTGTGTTGCATAACTTTGAATAACAGCGATCTTCAAATTCTACAATTTTCTGGGTCTCACTTTACTAAGTGATACTTAATACTTATAATGGGAGATTTTGTAAAGAAGAAAAAATCCGCAAAAGAATGCCAGGAGTTAATATTTACAAATCTCTCCGCCCCCCCCCCTCTTCCAGCCTTCTTTATAAATCAATGGTTCAATGATTTGTACATTCTCTTATTGTTCTTAACAGTTTGTCTAATTTTTGTTTTGTTACACTCTTTTATTTGAGTATATTAAATGCAGAAGACGGACTTTAACCTTAGCATTATGGTATTTTATGACTTCCAGTTCTTAGTAAGTATTCTACGTATTGAGTTACCTGTGACAGAACCGTGTTCTATTGTGCTAACCGCGATCTCTACCGTTAGATATATACTGTACTGAAAACTGCACTGTACTACAAACTGCGGACTGTACTGCAAACTGTGTACTGTACTGCAAACTGTGTACTGTACTGCAAATTGTGTACTGTACTGCAAACTGTGTACTGTACTGCAAATTGTGTACTGAACTGTAAACTGTACTGTATTGCAAACAGTGTGCTGTACTGCAAACAGTGTGCTGTACTGCAAACTGTTTACTGTACTGCAAACTGTACTGTATTTCAAACAGTGTACTGTACTGCAAACTGTTTACTGTACTGCAAACTGTACTGTATTTCAAACAGTGTACTGTACTGCAAACTGTTTACTGTACTGATAACCGTTTACTGTACTGATAACTGATTTCAGTACTGTTAGCCATGTACTGTATCAGCTTACTTTACTGTCAAATTATAATCGTGTAATGTACTGTTCAATTATTATCGTGTACTGTACTGTTAACCATGTACTGTACTGATAACTATGTAGGAGAGTGGGAAGGCGGACCGGGACGGAGACAAGATGGCGACTAGCATGGAGAAGAAGATTGCTGAACTAGAAATGGGCCTTCTGCATCTTCAACAAAATATTGATATACCAGGTACACAAAACACTGGGGAAATGTGAAAAAATGAAGAAAAAAACTAGGTAAATGAGAAAAAGATGAGAAAAGTGAGAGAAAAAAGAAAAAAGAGAAAAAAATCAGATGTAAATTAGAAATAACGTAAAAATTAGGACCAATAAAATAAAATGACAAAGAAAGCAGAATTATCTAAAAAATTAGAACAATTAACAAATCTAACCAATTTCACAATAGTATAAACCACTGGAATATTAAGTATGGTGATCTATTACGGACACGGGCAGTGGCCAACAAAAACAAAAACATTTTGAAATTATTTAACTTCTGTTTAGAAATCACCCTGGTCGTACACCCAACTGTATCCACCGTGATAACTGCCTGTAGCGCCCAGGGAACTAAAGCCAAGGTTGCGGATTTCGGGGATAGAGTAGAGGACTCACAGTTCCTTAACTCCCTACAGACTCAGGTATTATATAATCAAATATAGAATTATGTTTATTTTCAAATAGTCTGGATTCATCTACGAGTTAAATAAATGTCCATGTTTAGATTTTATGAAATACTCTTATACCTAATTCATCTATTTGATTCAAATAAATGGATCTATGTGATAATTTTAAGAATTCTTTAATCCCTAATTTATTTTGTAGGTGAATAAATGGATCCGTGAGATCCAGAAAGTGACAAAGCTGGATCGGGATCCTAGCTCTGGAACTGCTCTGCAGGAGATATCCTTCTGGTTGAATCTAGAGCGTGCTCTACTCCGGATACAGGTGAACCACATTTTCGTGCGGATCCGGATCCTGGATTTTTCTTGCATAAATTTATTCGGATCCGCATAATAAATATTTATATAAATATATACTTTGCTTGTCTTTCTGTCCGTTTTTATCCAATAAACGTCAATTAACCGATCGGGCCCAAATTTGTTGTGGGACCTCACATGACCTCGGGTAAGGTTTATGGATGCTAACCACTACAAAAGGTTCTGTCCAAAAGTTATTTATTTTTGTTAAAATTTGTAAATGCGGGAAAAAATATTATCATATCCACCAACTTTTTTTGCTCTTGTTTTATATTGTACAAAGAAAATATGCTCAGTGCTCACAGATACAGACACAATCAAAAGTTGAAAGTGGGCGTGAAGCGCTAGTAGTAAAAGCCTAGTTTTTATATATACGTCAAAACTTTGAAGTCGGGTTAAAAGCAAATGCTTTTGTTTATTATGTTGATATTTTATCCTTTGAATCCGCATATTTTTGTGAACTTGCATCCGGAACCAGGGAGCTGCGGATTCAGAAATAAACCATATAAGCACCACTGTCGGTTGGTTTGGAGTCGAAACAATTAAATGGCGATGGGAAGTTATTCATTATTTTATTCATTCCATCATCATTTATTCGTAAATTCATTGATTCATTTATTCATTCCTTAATTCATCCTTCCATTCTTTCATTTATTTCAATATTCACAATATTTAAAAATCATTCCGCGTACATGAAATTTAGTAATAATACCGAACTCTTTAGACATCACATAATTTGTTAGTTATAAAAAGAATAAAGATTTATTTTAAATTAAATTGACTTCTTAAAAAATAATCTCACTATTTTCTAATCAATTTCTACCTAATATGTTGTAAAACTTAAAAAGGCATAATCATATTTATATAAATATCTGTCAGACTTTGATTTATCCATATTCCATATCTTGATTTTCGAGATATGAATAAAATATATCTTATATCTCATTTCCTATCTATCTATCTATCTATCTATCTATCTATCTATCTATCTATCTATCTATCTATCTATCTATCTATCTATCTATCTATCTATTGATCCATCATTTCTGTTCAAACAAATATTCTTTACGTATATTGCCTACAGGAGAAGAGGGAGAGTGTTGAGGTAGCCCTTACCCTTGATATTCTCAAGCATGGGAAACGGTTCCACGCAACTGTCAGGTTAGCGCCATTTTTTTTATTTCCTTTTTTTGCGACGTTTTCTTGTGTTAGAAATTGTTTTAGGTGACATTTTTTATATCCTCCATTTACTAAGGTCTGTGTACAGTTCGTTGGCCATTTTGGTTCGTTTTGCAGATACCGTTTTTCATAGTTATCACAACTGTTTTGTTCGCAGCATGGGAGACCTTGTTTAACACTCAAGGTCATATATCCCCACCCTCTTCTTCCAAAATCTTTTTTTTTCTCTAGATATAAGGGTGTTAACTTGTTAAGCGAAAAAATATTTAAGGACTTCTTTTGCGAAAAACGGAAAATAATTGATGTTCATTNAAAGTGGACTAACTTGACATATATTTTTTCAAGATATATATATTCTTGTTATTATTTTTAAAATGGAAATATAATGTCTATTTATATTAGTTAACAGATATTCCTGGCTGAAATTCAGTTTCATTAAAATTCATTTAATTCAATATTTTTGTTTAGTTTTGACACTGACACTGGATTAAAGCAAGCTCTAGCTACAGTTAATGATTATAATCCTCTCATGAAGGTAAATTTAAAGATTTTATTAAAAAAATTTTTTTTTTATTTTTAAAATTTTTCCAGGATTTCCCTATCAATGAACTGCTGAGCGCTACTGAACTTGATCGTATACGCACTGCAGTACAGGTACAGCTAGCTCGAGAGCTTGTTTTTCTGTAAACAATAACAAAAATTGTATAAAACATGTTTTTAATATCTGAACAGGGCACGATCATCTCCAGTAAATAATCTAATGTGAGATAATTTTTTTTTGTTTAGGGTATTTTTAACCATCTTCGGAAGATCCGAAACACGAAGTATCCTATACAACGAGCTCTTAGGAACAGATTTAAACTTTTAAATTAAATTAAATTTTTTTTTTGTTTAATTGTTATGAACAATGTTCTGATACGTGGATCCGTATTTGTTTTTATTATATTTGCAATTAAAACTTTTTCCAGGAGTGAATGATAAAAAAGTGACACAAAAATAATTAAAAATTGTACATCTAACGGCATTTTTTTTCTCGCTCTGCGTAAACATATTTTACTTGTGGAATAAAAAATATTTTCAAATAGGGGGAGGGGGAATCCTAATTTACTGATACCCGCTACGTGGAAATTTAAAAATTGTTGTGTGACTGGTAAAATATTTCAACTATGACTAATCATAGTCGTGTAAAATAAACATCAGAGTTAAACTTCAGGGGTGCGTTTAGCCTATTAAATACGAGTTTATCTTATTCTTATAATTTCAAAATTTTCCAACTCTGACGTTGAAAATCTGAATTAACCAGGCTGGTTGAAGCTATCAGCAGGGACGTTTCAAGCCAACTTCTTAAGGTAAGTGTATTTACTGACAGTTTTTTTTCCAAGGATACTTTTCTAGGATACTTTTCAACGATATTGTTCATGGATACTATTCAAGGATACTTTTCAAGGATACTTTTCAATGATACTTTTCAACGATATTTTTCATGGATACTATTCAAGGATACTTTTCAACGATATTTTTCATGGATACTATTCACGGATACTTTTCAAGTGTACATATCTAATGTTTTTTTTTCTAATTGTACTTTTAAAGGACTTTTTAGGATACTTATTAAATGCTTTTTTTCTAATAATGCTTTTCTAGTGGTACTTTTCTCATGTTTATTTCTAATGTTTTATTTCTAATGGTACTTTTTAAGGGTAATTTTTGGGATACTTTTTTAATGTTCTTTTTTTCTAATAGTACTTTTCTAATGTTACTTTTCTAATGGTACTTTTCTAAACATTCTAATGGTACTTTTCTAATTGTACTTTACTATTGGTACTTTTCTCTTTGAGTTTTTCTAATAATACTTGTCCAATGGTATTTTTCCAATGGTGTTTTTCCAAGGGTATTTTTCCAAAGGCTCCAAGGGTATTTTTCAAATGATATTTTCCAAGGGTATTTTCCAAGGGTACTTTACCAGAGGGTAAATTCCCATTGCACTCTTGTTACCCAAAAATTACTTTCCCAAGGGTATTTGAAAAACGTTTATACGACTTTAATTGCTCTTGTAATATTAGTTTTTTGTTTACAGGTGTTGAGTACTAGACGCCTTATGTACATCCCATACGATGAATTCGAGAAGGAACATGATCAAACAATTTATTGTTATTCGATTGATTTGATTTGATTGATTATATGATAGATACGACATTGTCTTTCAGAACATCAGTTGCCAAAAAATATAGACAACAGACAATATTGTGTTCTTCAAAAGATGTTGTTTTAACCCAACATCTTACGTAGTTCCTTCAACTTTTACCAAAAAAATTAAGAAATATAACATTTTTCATCATTATTGTTCATCTCTTATATCTCTTTTTTTATTTTGAATTGATTTGATTGGACTGATTATAACTTAAAAGGATGATTTGATTTAAGCTTTAGTGGTTAGGACATCTGAAAAGGAGGGATTGACAGTTCAACATGATGAATTGACAGTTAAAAATTATGAATTGCCAGTTGAAAATGATGAATTGACAGTAAACATGATGAATTGACAGTTGAACAGGATGAATTGATAATTGAAAATGATGAAATGACAGTTGAAAATGATGAATTGAAAGTTGAAAATGATGAATTGACAGTAGAAAATGATGAATTGACAGTAAATATGATGAATTGACAGTTGAACAGGATGAATTGATAATTGAAAATGATGAAATGACAGTTGAAAATGATGAATTGACGGTTGAAAAGGAGAGATTAAAAAATTGATCAATTTTAAAGTTGAATGATTGATTGAAAGATTGGACTGTATCCATTGATTGATTATGTGGTGGTTAGGTGATGTCTCAATGCAGTGAACTCTTCACAACCTGGGATGATGAATACGACAAACTCCAGGTATTTAAACTTTCGAAACTCTCCGAACCTTATATATTTTTTTTCGCTCCAATATGGAGAAGTTATATAAAAAAATTGTAGAATTTTATCTTATGATCAGAAAAAACGTGTGAATTTATGAAAAAAATTATCGATTAAATTAATTTCCCCTCTTCAGCACTATAAATCAGTTAAAAAAGGGTAATCTGAAATGATTTGATTTATTTAGTTAAAACTAGGGTCATTGCATGCCAATAAACAAAAGTTTTACAAAAAAAACAAAATTCCAAAATTTTCTTGTTTTAGAAATTTTTCATGCAGAAATTTGATTTTACATTCAATGATTAGAAAGGGTTTAACAATGCCTATTGGTTGACATTAAAACTGAGTATTTTTAGAGCAACAATTCTTTATATGTTTTGGTTGAAATTTTGCCATTTAAAAATAAGGGTTTAGCAAATATTTATTTGTAATGTATATCCATTCTAGGGTTTGATGAGGGATATTGTAAAGAAGAAAAGGGATGAACATCTGAAGATGGTTTGGAGAGTCAACTGTAGCCACAAGCGACTTCAGGTATGCCTTCAACAGTTATAACTAGTTCAATAAGAGACTTTCCATATTAAATAAAATCTTTGCCAAGCCCAAAAATGTGTTCATTTCAGAAAACTTGTAGTTTTGAAAATTTAAATAGTTTTAACATCTATTTTTTAATAGCTTAGGCTACCTTTTTTGTTAGATATAAAAACCCGTTTAAAGTAATTAAATAAAGTATTTTAGGGTTGATCTTTTTCCTGAAATATTTTTTTTTATTAAAATAATTTTTTCTAACATTCTAAAATTATTGGATAAATAATAAATTTTAGGTGAAGAAAGAGAGGGTTATGATTTATGATTGATTATCTCTTAAAACGAAATTTTCATCAGAAGTCCAAATTTTTGAAAAATTGATACAGCCAATAAGTTTCTTGATATTCACCTAATTCAATAAAAATTTGTAAAAGATGTTTTTAATTCAGGAGCGTATGGCGTATATGGTGAAGTTCAGAAGACAACATGAGCAGCTTAGAACTGTAATTGGTAGGGTCCTTAGACCAACCCTAAACTCGCAAGCAAACCTCAGGGAGATTGAAGCTGCAGGAGATGACCAACAGCTCAAACCTCTGGATGCAATTGACACTGCTGATGCCAATGCTATTGAGGAGGTCAATCTTGCTTATGAGAATGTAAAAGAGGTAGATGGTCTTGACATTTCCAGAGAAGGAAGTGAGTCCTGGGAAGCTGCAATGAAACGGTATGATGAAAGAATTGACAGGGTTGAGACCAGAATCACTGCAAGGCTCCGAGACCAGCTTGGTACTGCAAAGAATGCCAATGAGATGTTTAGAATATTCTCTAGGTTCAATGCTCTGTTTGTTCGACCTCATATTAGAGGAGCTATTAGAGAGTATCAAACTCAATTGATCCAGAGGGTCAAGGATGATATTGAAACCCTGCATGAGAAATTCAAGGTTCAGTATACTCAGTCTAAGGCTTGCAAGATGTCCCATGTTAGAGATTTGCCACCAGTCTCTGGGTCTATCATTTGGGCCAAGCAAATTGACCGTCAGCTGACAGCATACATGCGTAGAGTTGAAGATGTTCTTGGCAAAGGATGGGCCAACCATGTTGAAGGGCAAAAGCTGAAGGCTGATGGAGATTCTTTCAGAGCTAAATTGAACACTCAAGAGATCTTTGATGACTGGGCTAGGAAAGTTCAGCAAAGAAATCTTGGAGTTTCAGGAAGAATCTTTGCTATTGAAAATACTAGATCAAGAACTGGTAGAGGTAATTATCTTAAGCTGAAAGTCAACTTTCTGCCTGAGATTATTCAGCTGAGTAAGGAAGTAAGAAACTTAAAAAACCTTGGTTTCAGAGTTCCTTTGGCTATTGTCAACAAGGCACATCAAGCTAATCAGCTCTATCCTTTTGCTATATCTCTCATAGAAAGTGTCAGAACATATGAGAGAAGTTTGGAAAAGATGGAACCTAAGCAAAACATTGCTTTACTGGTGGCTGGACTGAGAAGAGATGTTCAACAGCTAATTAGTGAAGGTGTAGGACTGGTTTGGGAGAGCTACAAACTTGATCCTTATGTTCAACGATTAGCTGAGATGGTTGTCATGTTCCAGGAAAAGGTGGATGACCTCCTTACTATTGAAGAGGCCATTGAAATGGATTTGAGATCTCTGGAGACATCAGTTTACAGCGCAAATACATTCACTGACATCTTGAACAAGATCCAAAAGCTGGTTGATGAACTCAGTCTTAATGCCTACAGCAATCTTCATGCCTGGGTTGCAAGGCTTGATGAAGCTGTTGAGAGCAAACTTGCTATGCGTCTAGAGGCTGGAATTCTTGCTTGGACTAAGGTTCTTGAGGGTAAGGAAGAGCCTGAGGTTGACAAGGATATGGACACTGATGCACCGGCCACTCCTGCTCATGCCCTTGGAGGAGATCCGCAGATCAAGAAGCAAATGCATGATTTCAGAATCACCAATCAGATGATGTATCTTCATCCCTCCATTGAGGACTGCAGATATAATATACTTCAGCAGCTATTTGCCTGGCAGGCAATAGTGACTTCTCAAAACAGGATTCAATCTACCAGATATCAAGTTGGTCTAGATCGCCCAGTGACCCAGACCTATAAAGATCTTTTGACCAAGCTGCCTGGTGGAAGTCCGGTGCTTGAATCTTCATACTCTGCAATAGAGAAAACCATCAAAGATGTTAACAAGTATGTTGAGGAATGGTTAAGGTATCAAGCCCTTTGGGATCTTCAACCAGATGCACTAACATCCAAGTTTGGTGAGGATATCAATGCTTGGATGAAACTTCTTCATGATATTAAGAAGTCTAGGGGAACCTTTGATACTAGTGAGACCAGGAAAGAGTTTGGACCTATTGTCATTGACTATGCCAAAGTTCAGAGCAAGGTGTCAATGAAGTATGATTCTTGGCACAAAGATGCACTTGGCAAGTTTGGTGCACTTCTGGGCAATGAGATGGCAGGATTCCATGGAACTGTCACCAAAGCTAGAGGAGATCTTGAGCAGCAAACTATTGATGCTGCTTCTACAAGTGATGCTGTCAGCTTCATTACTTATGTTCAAGGTCTGAAGAGGAAAATGAAGGGTTGGGAGAAACAAGTTGAAGTCTACAAGTCAGGTCAACTTATCCTGGAGAAACAAAGATTCCAGTTTCCAAGCCAATGGCTTCATGTGGATAATATTGATGGAGAATGGAGTGCATTCAATGAGATCATCAAAAGAAAGGATGCCACCATTCAAAACCAAGTTAACAGCCTTCAAGTCAAAATTATTGCTGAAGACAAGGCTGTGGAAGGAAGAACCCAGGATTATCTCACTGAGTGGGAGAAGAACAAACCTGTTGATGGAAGTCTTCGTCCTGATGCTGCTTTACAAAAGCTAGCTCTCTTTGAGTCTAAATACACCAGACTCAAGGAGGAAAGGGACAATGTTGGAAAGGCTAAGGAAGCATTGGAGCTGCAAGATGCTGGTCCTTCATCAGTTAATGAAGAGAGAATGGTTGTTGGTTGGGAAGAACTTCAAGATCTTAAGGGAGTGTGGAATGAGTTGGGCAGAATCTGGGAGCAGATTGATGAAATGAAGGATAAACCTTGGCTGTCAGTTCAACCTAGAAAGCTGAGGCAGCAGATAGACAGCCTCCTTACCCAGCTGAAAGATCTGCCCGCAAGACTAAGGCAATATGCCAGTTATGAGTATGTTAAGAAGCTACTCCAGAGTTACCAAAAGGTCAACATGATGATTGTTGAACTGAAAAGTGATGCCTTGAAAGAACGCCATTGGAAAACTCTCTGCAGACAGCTCAGAGTTAATTGGGTTTTGAACGATCTGACTCTTGGACAAGTATGGGATATTGACTTGCTTAGACATGAAGGTACTATCAAGGACATCATTCTGGTTGCTCAGGGAGAGATGGCCCTTGAAGAGTTCTTGAAACAAGTTAAAGAGACATGGAACACTTATGAACTTGATCTCATCAATTATCAGAACAAGTGCAGAATTATCAGGGGTTGGGATGACCTCTTTAATAAGCTGAAAGAAAACATAAACCAAGTGGCAGCCATGAAGCTATCCCCATACTACAAAGTTTTTGAAGAAGAGGCCATGACTTGGGAGGACAAACTGAATAGGATTAATGCTCTGTTTGATGTTTGGATTGATGTGCAGAGGAGATGGGTGTATCTTGAGGGAATTTTCAGTGGATCTGCTGATATTAAGACCCTTCTCCCTGTTGAGACTAGTAGATTTATGTCTATTAGCTCTGAGTTCTTGACCCTGATGAAGAAGGTTTCCAAGAGCCCCATGGTTATTGATGTACTGAACATTCAAGGAGTTCAAAGATCACTGGAAAGATTAGCTGATCTTCTTGGCAAGATACAGAAAGCCTTGGGAGAATATCTTGAGAGAGAAAGGTCTTCATTCCCAAGATTCTACTTTGTTGGAGATGAAGATTTGCTGGAAATTATTGGCAACAGTAAGAATATTAGCAGACTTCAAAAACATTTCAAGAAAATGTTTGCAGGGATCACTTCAATTCTTCTTAATGAGGATGAAACTGTGATAACAGGTATGAATTACTGTGCCTTCAATTGGATTGTTTTTGGGTAGTTATCTGCTTATATTTTCTTTCACGGTCAAAGTTTGGCATAGTTAAAGAAAAGAAAAAGATTTCTACGTTGTTAATTCTAAGCATTTGCTTTTCTTACACTATGTTTCATTCTGGTAGAAGATATATGCAAATACAATCCAAAAGTGATCTAAAAAGGATGAAAAAGTTAATGGATAGTTTTTCCATTTTTATTAAAATATAAAAACATAAAATTTTACCCATTATATATTATCTTGGAAGCTGGATTAAATAAATTTTTTTTTTAATGATAAACATTTCTATTCACAGGAATGGCTTCAAAGGAGGGGGAAGAAGTTGCATTTATCACTCCAGTTTCTACAAAAGAACATCCAAGAATCAATGAATGGTTGTCTCAGGTTGAACATCAGATGAGATTTTCTCTGGCAACTGCAATGGCTAAAGCTGTTGAATCTATTAGAAAAATGACAGATGGAGGAGAGCTTGAAATGAATCCATTCATGGAATGGCTGGATCAGTACCCAACCCAGATAGTGGTTCTTGCTGCCCAGGTTCTATGGTCAGAGCAGGTTGAGGATGTCCTCTCCAGGGGAGATAAGGTCCAAGAGGGGCTTAATCAGGCTCTCACTATGATTGAAAACATGGTTGCTACCCTGGCCAACAGTGTGCTCCAGGAACAACCATCTCTTAGAAGGAAGAAGATTGAAAACCTGATCATTGAATATGTGCACAAAAGGGCGATTCTTAGAAGCTTAATCAAGTCTGATGTGAATAATAACCGTGATTTTGAGTGGCTCAGCCAAATGCGTTTCTACTTTGATCCCAAACAATCTGATGTTCTACAGCAACTGTCCATTTACATGGCAAATGCCAAGTTTCAATATGGATTTGAATATCTTGGAGTTCAGGAAAAACTTGTTCAGTCTCCTTTAACTGATAGGTGTTATCTGACTCTTACCCAAGCCTTGGATCTTAGGCTTGGAGGATCTCCTTTTGGACCTGCTGGAACAGGGAAAACTGAATCTGTTAAAGCTCTTGGTGGTCAACTTGGACGGTTTGTTCTTGTATTCAATTGTGATGAAGCTTTTGATTTCCAAGCCATGGGTAGAATATTTGTTGGACTGTGCCAAGTAGGGGCTTGGGGATGCTTTGATGAGTTTAACAGATTGGAAGAAAGAACCTTATCAGCTGTAAGTCAGCAAATTCAGACAATTCAGGAAACTTTAAAAAGTGCCATGACCTCAAAGACCAGTCTTAATGTGGAGTTGATTGGCAAGCAGGTTAAGGTTCATGAAGACATGGCTATTTTCATCACCATGAATCCTACATATGCTGGAAGATCTAATCTTCCTGACAATCTAAAGAAACTTTTTAGATCATTGGCCATGACAGCCCCTGACATGACCATGATTGCTGAGGTGACTTTGTTCAGTCAAGGTTTTAGAACTGCTGAGAAGCTGTCCAAGAAGATTGTTCCATTCTTTAAACTTTGTGATGAGCAACTGTCTGCCCAGTCTCATTATGATTTTGGACTGAGAGCCTTGAAAGCTGTACTGGCCTCTGCTGGACATGTTAAGAGAGCAAAAATCAATGAAATCAAGGAATCCCTAATTGCTGCTGGAGATCCATCTCCAAATGAAGAGAAGATTGCTGAGAAGTTACAAGAACAGGAGATTCTAATTCAGTCAGTGTGTGAAACCATGGAACCCAAACTGGTGGCTGAAGATATTCCATTGCTCTTCTCTTTGCTGAGTGATGTTTTCCCAGGTGTAGACTATCAGAGATCCCAGATGGAAAGTCTGAAGAAAGAGATAATGAAGATCTGTGCCGAAGAGCAGCTGATCTGTGGTGAGGGTGAGGAGGAAGGAGCAGCCTGGATGGACAAAGTTTTACAACTTTATCAGATTACTAATCTTCACCATGGTTTGATGATGGTGGGACCCAGTGGTTCAGGTAAATCCACTGCTTGGAGAGTACTTCTTAAAGCTCTAGAGCGACTTGAGGGCAAGGAGGGAGTATCGCATGTCATTGATCCTAAAGCTTTGTCTAAGGAGGATCTGTATGGCGTTCTTGATCCAAATACCAGAGAATGGACTGATGGTCTTTTCACTCATATCCTCAGGAAGATTATTGATAATGTTAGAGGGGAGCTGGACAAACGTCAGTGGATCATATTTGATGGAGATGTTGATCCAGTTTGGATTGAGAATCTGAACAGTGTGCTTGATGTGAACAAGCTGTTCACTCTACCCAACGGAGAGAGGTTATCTATTCCTAACAATGTAAGGATTATGTTTGAGGTGACAGACTTGAAGCATGCAACTCAAGCCACGGTGTCTAGGTAAAAAATTATTTAGATTCTTAATTTTTGAAAATGTTCGTACTTGAAATAATGTTTCTGTTTTGTAGATGTGGAATGGTTTGGTTCAGTGAAGATGTTCTCTCAACAGACATGATCTTCAACAACTATTTAGCAAAGTAAGATATTTTAAAAGCATTATATAGTTTCCTAAACATTTAATTTTATCTAAAAAATGCATATCTTGTTTATTAGGCTGCGTCAAATACCGTTGGAAGGAGAAGAGGATAGTTTTAGCAGAGATACCCAAGAGGAAATATCTCCTACCCTACAGGTAGGTTCATTGGGAGACTATTAATGGGAAGGGGGGGGGGGTGTATAAAAATAGCTTTACTCGAATGCAGAGTCGTCCAAAAAGGATGAGACTTTTATGAAGACTTGAAACTTCTTGATTATGTAAATTAAATAATTTTACAAGGTAGACTGTAGAGTGGTAGGAACCCTAAATTGTAAGAAAGCATAAAAAATCTGTCAGTCATCTCTGAAGTCTGATCCTTTGAGGGTAACCCTGTATGTTAAGTTTTTTGTCCAGTACAGACAGAATTTGAAACCATTTATTTTACTCCAGGTTCAGATTGATGTGGCAGGACTACTCCAACCCTTCTTTTCTCCAGATGGTTTAGTTGCTAAGTGTCTTGAGTTTTCATCTACTCAGGGATACACAAACTTACAAACTTTTCTGTCTCCTCGCTTTCTTTTCCCTGCGTTCCTTTTTTATTTCGTTAAAAACCTATAAGCAATCGAAAATTTGATAAATATTGAGTTTCCAGGTGTTTCATGGCAACGCACTGGCTCATTTAAAACTTAATTTTTACAAAATTATTTGTATATTATAGTTTTTTTATTTATATTTTATATTTTGAATTTTGGTTTTTCTCAGATTATATATTCCATATGAAGTAAGAGACACGTAAAACCTAGGATGATCATTTTAGGTACTTATAAACTGTTTGAGAAGAAGTTTCTCTGCCTGAGTCTTTTGATCCTAAACTTACTAGTTTCTTAATTCAAATTAGAGCTAGGATGTATAGTATAGTATTCACTCGTCTACAAGCCGATGATGAAAATTATTTCTAGGACTGACTACGAAAGTAGATCTAAAATCAATTGAAAATTATAATTAAAATTGATTTGGACCTCCCTCACAACCATCTTAATTCTCGCCTATTCTTGAGGTTTCTTTCACTTTTTGTCTCCTACCCCTTCCCTTCTTTTTCTTCATGTTAGAACTAAGTCTTGTTAAAGGAGCATATTATGGATTTCACTCGTCTACGAGCACTTGGATCCCTCTTCTCTATGCTAAATCAGGCAAGTTTACAAAAAATGTGAAGATTTTTAAAAAATAATTTTATATATTTTTAATCTTTGCTTTAATAAATGTAATTAAGCTTAAAGGGACAAAAGATGTAATTTTAAGTGACCCTTCATTTATAGAGTGGTATATCCGATGATACACTCTAAGATACATTGATATCCTGATCATCAACAACGGAGATATTATTTATTTTCTCGCTGAAAATTGAATGCCGACTGCTGGAAAATTATTGTGTACACCAGTGTACTCTAAAGTTTGAAATAAATAAATAAATAAGTAATGATCTAGGTAAGATCCCCCAATGTGGATTCCCCCGACCGCCGTCGTGATAATAGGCCACATCCGCCTAAAACCCCTTGACCTGGAACCCTGGTATGTCTCCTTATCCAGGAAATATGTCCCAGGATAGGTAACCAAGACGCTGGCTACCAATCAACCTGTTGGGGTATGTTACCTGTCATACTAGATGAGATGAGAAGTAATAACTCAATATTTGGATACCATCTCCTGACATCGATCAAGGAGGGCTTCAATGTCATTGGCTTTATTCCATATCTTCTCTGGGTCAGCATCCACTCCAACCAGCCTTTGTAGTGCTACCCTAGAGGCGGGAGAATTGTTGGGCAGGGACCTTATATTCCGCTGTTCTCTGTCAAAGCTCAACCGTGAGCATTCTAGGATCACATGCGAATAACGTCACACTTTTCCCGAAAAGCCACTACTGGTGTTTATTCGGGTAACATTCTTAAGTACTCAAATTTCAGCTAGAACAATAAGAATATCTCCGTCAGTTGATCAGGAAAAGATTAAAAGGTCACTGAAAGTTCGTCTATACTCCCTTTAAACTGTTTATTTTTTGTATGACTGGCTTATTTTTCTTGTGCGTAGATGGTGCGTAATATTCTGCTGTATAACCATCAGCATGCTGATTTCCCAATGCAGCCTGACCAATTAGAGGCATATGTTCCTAAATCATTGATCTACTCTATTCTTTGGAGCTTTGCTGGAGACTCTAAAATGAAGGTAATTAAAACATAAGATTTTTGCCATTAAATCCAATCCTTAAACCTGGTTTTATTTTAGATTCGTCACAATCTGAGCGATTTTGTACGTTCTATTAGCACAATCGCTCTCCCACCACAGAACAATATGGCAATTCTGGATTTCGAGGTATATTTTTTTTTTCTTAAATTAAACTTACTATCTTCATACTAATCCCGTTAGGAACTTTATATCTGGTTTTAGTACTTATCTTTAAATAATCCTTGTTTCATTTGTATCTTTTTATAGGCTTATATCTATCATGTATTTGAACCTTTAGCATGTATCTGTATCTATATGCTTTAAACCTAAATATTCAATCTATTTTAGTATAATTCTAGTCTTGTCTATTCCTAATCTTACATATATGTATTTAATCTTAGATGTATTTGTATTTAGTATTAGATTTATCTGTATCAAATTATAGACAAATGACAATTCCTTAATTTGAGATGAATTTTAACTAGCCACCATCTAATGTCTGAATTAATCCGTTTTATTTTACTTTTATCAAGGAATCGTTCATGTACAGGGTAAGTACTTAAATGCAAGACTATTATTGAAGTATAAGTTTATTCAGATTCTTTTTTCTGTTTTGTCATTGTTTTTTTTTGGCTTTTAGATTCAATGTTAGGAAGTTTTTGTGCATATTCTACTCAATTGTTTTTAAACAGTTTATTTTACATTAAACATATTTTACTATATAAAATACTTACCTTCCCATTTATTAAAGGGTTTGATTTTGGCTAGTCCACTTGCCTCACTTTATTTATTATTTTGAAAGTAAAACGTCTGAAGTTACCTTTCTCTCAAGTTAAAATTTCGTTGAATTTAAGAGGAACATTATTTATTAATTAGTGCAAGCAAATAAATTTGCCTTTATTATAACTTGCACAATACACAAATAAAATATTGCTCGAACCTATTATCTGTGCCTGTTCTGTTGCTTTTTTTTGCTTTGACGAAGTGTAGTATAAGAAAATATGGAATTTTCCTTCCATTCAATTTAATTTTTAATCCATGCAATGCAAGTTATCTGTTTGATACTTAAACAAACTGCATGGTTATGTTTTCTAAAAGTTTTTATGCTAATGATTGTCGATTTAGGAGAGCAATTCTTATTTGTTGCATGATTTAATACAGTGCTTAGGATCCATATAATTTTGATCCGGATCCGGATCCTAAGCACTGATTTATTACCATATTTATTATTGATTAAAGGTACTGTAGACGTAAATTAAGTGACCCTTCATTAAAAGGGGGGAATACCCCTGAATTGGCTCTGCAGCCTAAATCCGCAAGTCACTTTATAGAGAACTGAGAAACCATAAATTTTTGTTAAAAAAGGATCTTTAAACAAACTAAATGTTTTAAGAGCACTGTTGTGAATCGGACATGCCACTTTATGTACGGGGAGGTTCATTTGAAATTGCGTCTAAAGCCCTTAAAGTTAAATTTGAAACATTAGTTTTTGTGAAGTTTGTTTACATTATTATTGTTATTAGGTAACGATGTCTGGTGACTGGGTTCCCTGGTCCGCCAAAGTTCCACAAGTAGAAGTTGAGACACACAAGGTCAGCTAAGTCTGGGAGATTAGAAGGGATTATTTATAGTGCTGGGTAAAGGGTATCATGTTTCAAACAGAGTTTTAGATTTTCTAGTATTGGGTGTTCGGTATTGGGTATTGAAAATACATTTTTTCCTCATGAAGTTAGTAATTTTTTAGGGTTTTATATGCTGAATAGAAGTTAAACTATTGTTAGGGGGAAAAGGGGGAAAATTTTTTTAGTAAAAAGTATCGAAAAGGGTCAAAAAAAATGAAAAAACTTGTTTTTTGATGTCCAATTTTTTTTATTTTCCCTCCAAGTCATCAAATTTTTTTTTGAAGGTTATACTACCCTAAATTATTTTATTGATAAAAAGTAAACATGGCCAATTATAAAGAAATGGGAGCACTACGATGAGTTAGGTAGGACTGATGTATATTCTTTAATCCACTTTGTAAATACAGCTTCAGAAAATTCTTCCTGTCGTATGCAGTTCCTGATCTAATTGAAATTGTTGAACTTCAGAGTTGTTGATGAGCATTTGATATGGTTAGGTAGCGAACCCTGATATAGTTGTCCCAACCCTGGATACATGTTTAGGTAGCAAACCCTGATATGGTTGTTCCAACCCTGGATACATGTTTAGGTAGCGAACCCTGATATAGTTGTCCCAACCCTGGATACAGTTCGACATGAATCCCTGCTCTACACCTGGCTAGCAGAGCATAAACCTATGGGTAAATAATTAAACCTCGTAATGGGGGGCTCGAGGCCCAAAAAATGGGACTGACTGTTAAATTTTCCCACATTAATTGTTCCTTACAGTTTTCTTGTTTCCTTCTTTACCAGTTAGTAACAACATGTATACCATTTAATCAAACATTTTACTTCAAAACAAGACGGAAGGAGAAGGTTCAATTTATGCAACATTACATACACGATTGTGTGACCTCGTAGTTACTCTAGTTTTAACATGACGGGAAAGTATGAGCAATAAGCATTCTGTTACATTTTAGAAATTCAAACATTTTTCTTTCTTCTCAAATCGCTTAATTGAGAAGTGTTATGATTAAAAACATTTAAGATTTCGTATTTACGTGCAATTTTCTTTAGATTGTTATATTTAAGAAATTGAAGTTTCTTCCTTTGTTAGTCAGTGGTCATGATGAACGATGCAAAGCGTAAATAGATATATATTCCGATAGATTGACTGAATTCAGTTAGATGCAAAATTATTAGTATATTAAACCATGAAAGCCTAAAACTTTGTACTCGATGCACTTTACCTGATAAAAATTCGCAAAATTATAATTATTCACTACTTGGCTTAACCCAAACTAAATAAAAAAGCTTAACAAATTTTACTTTACAAGGAGCTAATGTGCAATAAAAGTCTCATCAGTTTACAAGCTATAATTGATTTTGTAATTTTAACCTCGAGTTTGAATCGTGTAAAGTAGGACCTCCCTAGAAGCCTAATTTGATTTGCTGAAACCAACATAAACTGAACAAACCGCATTTATAAGTTTCCAATATAAAACGAATTTTCCAAGTAAGAATTTTCTACTTCAGTACTCTGCGGACCTCCTGGATCTGGAAAAACCATGACCCTGTTCTCTGCACTTAGATCTCTACCAGATATGGAGGTTAGTCATAGCTTTTGTTAAAATGACTGTTTGCAAAAAGTAAAAACCGTAATTAGATTATGATTCGATTTGTATTTATCCGTTTTTAAATCCAGAATTCAGGGGTCATTTTCAGTAAAAACTTAAATTTTATTAAAAAAACCTGCAAAATTCAAAACAAGTAATAATACAATTTTTTGTTTTATCATTCAGTATTTTTTTAACAAGGTCAACCTTTACAGCTCAGCAACCTTTAAAATCGACGAATCAGTTAAAATGTTTTAACAATTTCCAAATGATGTTGCTCTACCTAAAAGCACATCACAATATTTACATTTTATGGACAAAATGTTAAAATAAAAAGAATATTTAAATGATCTACTTTCAGGTTGTTGGTTTAAACTTCAGCTCCGCCACAACCCCTGAGCTACTGTTGAAGACCCTGGACCATTATTGTGAATACAGGAAAACTCCAAATGGAATGGTTCTCTCTCCCGTCCAGGTAGTTTTTAATGAATAAATATTGTGAACTAAGCTTTGGAGATGCTTCGCGCCCGTTTTCTAGTAACAAGATAAAAAGTTAGCTTTAAACTGTTGACTTTCAACTGACCATTTTTTTCAGTTTAAATTTGTGGATGTTAAAAATTCGCAAATTTATGAGGCAAAACTTTCCAATTTCAACCAGCTATAAAGGTTCCTTGTTGTAATGTTAGTTGCCACTAAAAAATTGGGCTCAATTGGTTCAGCCGCTTGGACGGTTATTGGATTCAAACAAACAGACAGGAGAAGCCAAATAGGTATCTTCCAATTTTTCCAATTTATCATAAAACTATGGAAAACAAACATATGTGAAAAACCTCTTTGTTCAGTTGGGTGTATGGTTGGTGATGTTCTGCGACGAGATTAACCTGCCTGACATGGACGAGTACGGAACCCAGAGGGTCATCTCCTTCCTCAGGCAGATGGTCGAACATAATGGATTCTATAGAACAAGGTAAACAGACAAGAATAGATAGGAATAGACAGGAATAGACAGGAATAGACAGGAATAGACAGGAATAGACAGGAATAGACAGGAATAGACAGGAATAGACAGGAATAGGCAGGAATAGGCAGGAATAGGCAGGAATAGGCAGGAATAGGCAGGAACTGGCAGGAACTGGCATGAACTGGCAGGAACAGACAGGAACAGACAGGAATAGACACGAATAGACACGAATAGACAAGAATAATTAGATTGGAAGCCAGAATTAAAGTTAGATAAAGAGAAGAATTATGAAATAAATAGTAATAGTAATAGAAATTCGTGAATAGTAAAACAGGAAGACTAAAACCGGAAGACAATCGCATGGAGGAAAACTCGTGGGGTGACACATAATTTGGAGGAAATTAGATTGATGGGAAGATGGATAGAAGAGAAGACAGATAAATGGGAAGATGGATAGATTAAGGTGGCCCTGTAAAAAGTGTTTAGAGGTGCTCTTCTTCTTCAGAATAGATATATATGAAACTAAGAAAAATAATTTTTTTTACCATTATTTCGCGTGCCGCTAGAAAAACCTGATTTTTGCGCATTTTTTGCCATTTTTTAATTTTAGAGTTAAAAGTTTTTAACTTAAAATAATGTTTTATATCATTTTGGAAATCCCGCTCACTGTTATAAAACATAAATTAATTAAAAATTGCATTGTTTGAAAATTCGTCATTTTATTGGCAAATTTAGACCCGAAATTTTCGATTTTTCTGCTACTACACCTTAAGACCAACACCGTATCAACTGAAAAATTGTTATTCTCATTTTACACCTTAAGACCAACACCGTATCAACTGAAAAAATTGTTATTCTCATTTTTCTGTCTTTGAATTCTCAAATATCTTAAGATATTTTTTCATTAGATTTGAATCGACGAAAAACAGATGAAAATGCAAAATTAACATTTTAAACTTTTGAGTTTGGTATTTTTAGGACTGGGTGCAAGTGGTATTGTATTAAAATTGATAATTAGTAGGATTAATATTTAAAATTTTTTTTTTATAAATTTGCTATTTGTCCAGTTTCTGTAAAATAAAAAAGCAAGTGTCCTTACACGCATTGAATTTAAGGCAATTTTGAGTTTAAATAATACGATGAAATTTTTTTTTAATGCTTATAGGTTGGCTTTTTCTGAATTACATGATTAAGTAAGCACATTTTAGAAACATTATACCAAACAGAAACCAGAAAATGGGAAAATAATTTTATTTGAAAGTTGCAAAGGTATTGGTCAAGAGGTGTAAGTGCGTAGCAGAAAAATCGACAATTTTGAAGCTGTATTTGCCCATAAATTGACAACATCTTAAATAATGTAATTTTTTGAAACGATGTCTTTTTATTCTGAAGAAAAAGAGCATCTCTAAACACTTTTTACAGGGCCGCCCCAGTATAGATGTGAAGACGGATAAATGGAAATATGGATAACTTGAAGATGGATAGATGGGAAGACGGAAAGATGGGAAGACGGAAAGATGGGAAGACGGAAAGATGGGAAGAGGGATGGATGGGAAAACAGATAGATAGGAATACAGAAAGATGGGATGAGAGATAAATGGGAATACATATAGATGGGAAGACAGATAGATGGGAAGACAGATAGATGGGAAGACAGATAGACGGGAAGACAGATAGACGGGAAGACAGATAGATGGGAAGACAAATAGATAGGAAGAGAAATAGATGGGAAGAGGGATAGATGAGAAGAGGGATAGATGAGAAGACAGATAGATGAGAAGACAGATAGATGGGAAGACAGATAGATGGGAAGACAGATAGATGGGAAGACAGATAGATGGGAAGACAGATAGATGGGAAGACAGATAGATGGGAAGACAGATCGATGGTTAGACATATAAATGGGAATACATATATATGTGAAGATGGAAAGATGGGAAGACACATAGGTGGTAAGACAGATAGATGGGAAGAGAGTTAGAGGGGAGACCGGAAAGATGGGAAAACGGATAGATTAGCATTATATTAAGGACTGGTGGGGAACAGCAGTTTGTCAAACTGGAGCGTATACAGTTTGTTGGAGCTTGTAACCCTCCCACAGATCCAGGCAGAAAACCTCTTTCTCACAGGTAGGAAGAAATTGGTTATTATTATTTTTCGATTTAAAAAGTGGTGAATTCTTGATTTACTTGTTTAGACACTTTAATTGAGAAATCTCAAATGAAAATACTTTATTGTAAGCTAGACAAAAATGGATGTCTCATTCATACTTCATGACACTTTTAAAGAGGGTCACTTTAAATTATGTCCTTTTAAACTTATCTCCATGTTTTCAGAGGCCGAATTTAAAGAATTTGAGCCGTGGCTTAAATTTGAGACGCGCGCGCGGCTCAGATATGGCTGGTTCCACTTAAAATTGTATTCGATGATTTAAGTCGGCGCTAAAATGAAACCGAATTTTGGTGGATTTGAGAAGCGGTCTAAATTCATTAAATTCGGACTCTGGTTCCTCCGTCATGTTTCTGTTGTGTATGTTGACTACCCTGGAGAAACTAGTTTAAACTAACCAATATCTATACAGGTTCCTCCGTCATGTTCCTGTTGTGTATGTTGACTACCCTGGAGAACCTAGTTTAAACTAACCAATATCTATACAGGTTCCTCCGTCATGTTCCTGTTGTGTATGTTGACCACCCTGGAGACCCTAGTTTAAACCAACCAATATCTATACAGGTTCCTCCGTCATGTTCCTGTTGTGTATGTTGACTACCCTGGAGAAACCAGTTTAAAGCAGATCTATGGAACCTTTAACAGAGCTATGCTCAGGATGATTCCAACCCTGAGAACATTTGCTGAACCTCTCACCAACGCGATGGTAGATAATATATATTTCAGAATACTTTGTCATCTTTTTATATCTTTTTATATTCTGAAGTACGTGGTTATCAACATAATTTTGGTTCATTTCTTATATTCAAAAGTTATAATTTAGATTTTAGCAATTCAAGCTTAGACAAAAAACAAACTCTTTTGGTATCATTTAGTAGCCGAGTATTCTTTGACAAAATCTGACACACATTTATTATTTGATACAACAATGAATTATTTTCTTAGGTTGAGTTCTATCTTCTCTCTCAGGAGAGATTTACTCAGGATATGCAACCTCACTACGTTTACTCACCTAGAGAGATGACAAGGTAGGTTTACTCAGGAGATGCAACCTCACTATGGACCCATTAATAAATAGGAATTAATGGGCATGAATAGAGCTTGCCATTTTTTTATAATTACTTTCTCAGTTTAATCCTTCCCTATTTTTCTCTAGATGGGTTCGAGGTATATGCGAGGCTATCCGGCCCCTGGAGACCCTAGATGTGGAGGGTCTAGTTAGACTGTGGGCCCACGAGGCCCTCAGGTTGTTCCAGGATAGGTTGGTGGAGGAGGAGGAGAGGGTTTGGACCAACACAAATATTGATGACGTCGCGCTTAAACATTTTCCAAATATTGACAAGGAGAAGGTTAGTTTGTTGTTCTTAATATGGGGGTTGTGTTCCCCCTCCCCCACCCCTCTTGGTCCCTGTTTTTTTATCTAAGAACTATATACCGGTGGAAAGAGAAGAGTTAAGAGATTATGTCAAGGCTAGACTAAAGGTATTTATACTAGTAACTATTTTAGTTATCATGCAATAATTTTTGTTAAGCAATGTTTCTAAAACCTGCAAGCCTTTACACTCCAACAGCCTTTAAGTGCAGATCAAATACAGACTTATGTTTTTATTACACTACTTCTGTTTCGGCTTAAAATGAATAAGTGTAATAATCATTTCTTGATATGTGTTTAATTTATACCCAGCTAGATGTTAAGCGAACACTTCATATAAATTTATCAACGTCTGTGTGTGTTGTGCAGGTGTTCTACGAGGAGGAGCTGGATGTCCCCCTCGTCCTGTTCAACGAGGTTCTGGACCACGTCCTCAGGATAGACAGGATATTTAGACAACCTCAGGGACATCTTCTTCTTATTGGAGTCTCAGGAGCAGGGAAAACAACACTTTCCAGGTATAAAATAAATTGTTTACAAAAGTGGCTTCGTTTGCTGGCTGCTGCAGAAACAATGGAGAAATTAACACTTGTCAAGCTTTGAAAAAGCTAATATCGCACTCGTTGTTTATCAAACTAGTGTATCGTTAGAAATCGGACATGCCGCTATATAACAAAGGGTCATTTGAAATTACGGTTGATGTTCCTTCACTGTAAAGAACTCAGATTTGTCTTTGTAAAGGTTTGTTGCATGGATGAACGGCTTGACTGTGTTCCAGATCAAGGTTCACAACAAGTACTCGGCCGAGGACTTCGACGAGGACCTTAGACAGGTCCTTAGGCGCTCAGGTAGATTTCTGCCCGCCAATTTTTCTCGGTATGAGTTGTTTTTAACAATTTTCACCATTTAGACGCAACTGATATAGAAGTAAGATTAGTAGTAATCACCATCGAATATTTTTCGACTTACGCCTATGCCCCTTTAATTTTTTGCGAACACTCCCTTTAATATTTCTTCTCTTTTTATTTCTACCTTTCATATCAGGTCCTTTACCAGTTTCTATCTTCCTTTTGTACTCAATTTCTTAACTTTTTTCTTCATATTTTAGCCCCCCTTTTTCATCTTCTGTCATTAAGATTCTTGTTAAAATATAAAATTTTTTATTTTGAAATTTGTGTTTAGAAATAACTAGTAAGGAAAAGAATTTTTCTTCTTGATTATTAGAAAACCTGTTTTTTTCAGGATGCAAGGATGAAAAGATTTGTTTTATCCTGGATGAATCCAATGTGATGGATTCAGGATTTCTGGAGAGAATGAATACCTTGCTCGCAAACGGAGAGGTTTGTCGATCTATTTTTGCACCCCTATTTATCAAGCATAACCTAACCTAGAATAGTGTTTGTTCCTCTAATAATGGGAAGGGGAGGGGGAGGGGGGCGCTCTGGGGGTTCCTGAGTTCTCAGTTCATGAATTTATTTTTTATGTTTATTCATCAAGTAAGAAATTTCAAATGCATATTTAATTTTTTGAAATAATTGCCAAGATACCTTTTATTTATATCAACTGAATAATTTTGTATTTGCTCAGGTTCCTGGGTTGTTTGAGGGTGATGAACACACCACCCTGATGACCCAGTGCAAGGAGGGGGCGCAAAGGGAAGGATTGATGTTGGACTCTAACGAGGAGCTCTACAAGTGGTTTACTCATCAGGTTAGTTATTAGTTAGTTGTCTTGTTGTTTAAAATATCTGTATTTTCCATAGAAAGGATTGAAAATAAAAACTAACTTCCCAAACTCTTTAACTTTGAGCGCCATGTACTGTACTGTAATTGTGAGTGCTATGTACTCAAGTTCCACACATTTCAGTATTTTATTTCCGTTCAGGGTTTGTTCCATTTTTATTTTATTTATATGAACAGGGTTCGCTCAAAAATGTTCACAAACATCTGTAAGTTTATGTTCTGTCTAGGTGATGAAAAATCTTCATGTTGTGTTCACCATGAACCCTAGTAGTGAAGGGTTGAAGGACAGAGCAGCAACCTCCCCCGCCCTCTTCAATAGATGTGTTCTCAACTGGTTCGGAGACTGGTCAGACAGTGCACTGTATCAGGTACTGAAATATTTTTCTTTAATATATTTGTTTGGTCCAAACAGACTCCCTCCCTTTGAGGCTTGCATCTAAGTACTAAGAGGGAGTGTTGAAGAGTCGAGTTACTTGTCGGCTTATTAAAGATTAGGTCTTTTTTAAAATTAATTAGTTAATATTGATTTTTATTGTTATCTCAGAGAAATATTGCAAAAGATGTAAAACTTCTGATTCGTTCAAATCAAGCAGTAATCATCAAAATATATAAAATGTTTTGTCTTATTTTGATAAATACTGTGATTTTGGTAAAAATACATGAGTATACTATGATTTTGATTAAAATGCAAAAAAATTTGATTTTAGGTTGCATCATGTCCTCCCTCTTTCTACTTAAAAATTTTCTTTTTACCTGCATCTTCACTTGAACATTAGTATACCATAGCATAAATATTTGGAGCAAATTTTCCTCCTTTTTTTGAGGCAAAATGATTTAATCCTGACCTTTCAAACCATCATGGGGGGGGGGGGAATAGGCATGTAAGGTAACGCACAAAATTTGGGCCCAATGTTCAATGTGTGTTGGATCCAATAAAACAAACCAGCAAATAATCCAATATTTAAATATATATTCTTATTTATTTTTAATAAGATGATGTTCAGGTTGGAAAGGAGTTTACAATCAAGATGGATTTGGATATTGCCACTTGGAGAGCTCCAGACTACTTCCCTATCACCTGCCCTGGGCCCAGTATGCCTCCAACCCACAGGGAGGCGGTCGTCAACGCTATGGTGTTTGTCCACCAGTCCCTGTACAAGGTCAACATGAAGATTGTAAAGCGTGGTGGGCATGTGATGTCCATCACACCCCGTCACTTCCTGGACTTTATCCAGCACTTTGCTAGACTATACTTGGAGAAGCGTAGTGGATTGGAGGAAGAACAGCTTCACATCAATGTCGGACTCAACAAGATTGCTGAGACAGTTGCCCAGGTGGAGGAGATGCAGAAATCCCTGGCGGTCAAATCTGCAGAGCTGCAGTCAAAGAACCTTGAAGCCAACGACAAGCTGAAGCAAATGGTGAAAGACCAGCAGGAGGCAGAGAAGCAGAAGCAACAGTCCCAGGAGATCAGGAAGCTTGTGGAACAGCAAACCAAGGAGATTGCAATCAAGCGAACTGAGGTAATGGCAGATTTGGCTCGTGTCGAACCAGCTGTTATTGATGCCCAAGCAGCTGTTAAATCTATCAAGAAACAGCACCTGGTTGAATTAAGATCTATGGCTATGCCTCCACCTATTGTAAGAATGGCCTTAGAGTCTGTTTGTGTCCTGCTAGGGGAGAACGTAACAGATTGGAAATCCATCAGAGCTGTAACAATGAAGGACAACTTTATCCCATCCATTGTCAACTTTAACACCGATGATATCAGTGAGGACGTGAGGATGGATATGCAACAGAAGTATCTCTCACAGCCAGACTACAACTATGAAAAGGTTAACAGGGCCAGTACTGCATGTGGACCTATGGTCAAGTGGTGTATTGCACAGCTAGAGTATGCTGAGATGTTGAATAGGGTTGATCCACTAAGACGGGAGCTCCAGTCTCTAGAGCAGGCAGCAGAGGTTAAGAAGAATGAGGCTGAGAAGATGACTAAACTTATCTCCACCCTAGAGGCTTCTATTGCCAGATACAAGGAAGAGTACGCCCAACTTATCTCCCAGGCAGAGGCTATCAAGACAAGTCTGAAGACTGTACAGGACAAGGTGGATAGATCCATGTCCCTTCTCAAGTCCCTGTGTATAGAAAAGGACAGGTGGGAGAAGACCAGTGAGAACTTTAAGACCCAAATGACAACACTTATTGGAGATGTGTTCCTATCCTCCGCTTTCCTGTCATATGGAGGATATTTTGATCAAACTCATAGAAACAGCCTCTTTACCAACTGGTCTCTTCATCTTGAGGCTGCTGGGGTAGCATACAGAGCTGACCTTGCTAGGACTGAATTCCTCTCAGATCCTGATGAAAGGTTGGGCTGGCAATCTAAATCACTACCAACAGATGATCTGTGCACTGAAAATGCAATTATGCTGAAGAGATTTAACAGATATCCTCTTATCATAGATCCCAGTGGTCAAGCTACTGAATTTATCCTTAATGAATACAAGGATAGAAAGATAACCAAGACTTCTTTCCTAGACGATTCTTTCCGTAAGAACCTTGAGTCTGCTCTTAGGTTTGGTAACCCTCTCTTAGTTCAGGACGTAGAGAACTATGATCCTATTCTGAACCCTGTTCTTAACCGAGAGCTACGGAAGACTGGAGGTCGAGTTCTGATTACTCTTGGAGATCAAGATATAGATCTTTCACCAACCTTTACCATCTTCCTCTCAACCAGGGATCCTACTGTTGAGTTTCCTCCTGACATCTGCTCCAGGGTCACTTTCGTCAACTTCACGGTGACAAGGTCCAGCCTTCAGACTCAGTGTCTCAACCAGGTTCTAAAGGCTGAGCGTCCCGATATTGATCAGAAGAGGTCAGATCTCCTCAAGCTCCAGGGTGAATTCCAGCTTAGGTTACGACACCTTGAGAAGAACCTTCTCTCTTGTCTGAATGAAGCTAAAGGAAGAATCCTAGATGATGACAATGTGATCAATACTCTAGAGATATTGAAGAAGGAGGCGGCAGATGTAGGGCGGAAGGTTGATGAGACAGATCAGGTTATGACGGAGATTGACAATACATCCCGTCAATATCATCCATTGTCAGCAGCATGCTCCCATATATACTTTACCATTGAGTCACTTCATCAGATACATTTCTTGTATCAGTTCAGTCTTCAGTTCTTCCTGGACATCTACCACAGCCTTCTTAACAACTCCAAGATGGAGGAGATAAAGGACTCTAGTGAGAGACTGACAGCTATCACAAGCCAGCTCTATTCAACCTGTTATGAGAGAGTTGCTAGAGGTATGTTGCACCAGGATCGGATTGTATTTGCCCTGCTCCTGGCCCGTATCTATCTCAAGTCTGCACCAGGAGAACTATCCATGGACTCAGAGTTCCAAGTATTGATGAGAGGAGGAGAGAAGGTTGCTGCAGTCCCTGTCACCCTACCAGGGTTGGATCCAGTTCAGTCTGTTGCAATCCATAGACTGTGCACATCCCTACCAGCTTTCAAGAACCTTATGAAGGCTTGTGATAACCCAGGATTGTCTGTATGGTTGGGACAGAGTAACCCAGAAATTGATATTCCAGAATCTCTAGGACTCTGGGAGGAAAGTAAACCCTTTACTCCATGTCAGAAGGCTATGTATAAGCTTCTTGTTATCCAGGCTCTAAGATCTGACCGTATTCCTGCTGCTGCATTACAGTTTGTTGCTGCAGCACTAGGACAGGACTTTATCAAGGCAGCAGGAAGAGAACCAGACATGGCACAGGTAGTTGAAACTCAGATTGATCCCTCGTCTCCAGTCTTGATGTGTTCAGTACCTGGATACGATGCTAGCTCCAGGGTAGATGATCTAGCAGCTGAACTAGGGAAACCTTTAACCTCTATTGCTATTGGTTCAGCAGAAGGATTCAATGAGGCAGATAAGGCAATTAACACAGCAGTTCGAACAGGTCGTTGGGTTCTTTTAAAGAACGTTCATTTAGCTCCTTCCTGGTTGGTTACTCTAGAGAAGAAATTGCACACTATTCAGGCACACACCAGCTTCAGGCTGTTCCTTACTTGTGAGATTAATCCTAGCCTACCTGTTAACCTTTTACGGGCTGGACGTATCTTTACATTTGAACCCCCACCAGGAGTAAGAGCAAACCTACTCCGAACCTTCTCAACTGTATCTGCTGCTAGAATGATGAAACCTCCAAATGAGCGAGCAAGATTATACTTCCTTCTAGCCTGGTTCCATGCTATAGTGCAGGAAAGGTTGAGATACTCACCCCTGGGCTGGGCTAAGCACTATGAGTTTACAGAGTCAGATCTCAGGGTTGCCTGTGACACCCTTGACACCTGGATTGAAGCCACAGCCATGGGACGAACCAACCTTCCTCCAGAGAAGGTTCCGTGGAAAGCTATTCGAACCCTTCTCAGTGACTGCATCTACGGAGGAAAGATAGACAATGAGTTTGATCAGCGTCTGCTAAAATCCTTCCTGGAAAAGCTGTTTGTTCCGTCATCATTTGACGCAGATTTCAGTCTTGCAACCGGAGTAAATGTTGGAGGAACATTGAGCAATATAAAGATGCCGGATGGGATCAGAAGAGATCAATTCCTCAACTGGGTTGAACAACTTGAAGAAAGGTACGCACTATAAACCATGAATATAATAATAATAATAATAATAATAGGTTGGATTATTGCTAAAAATATCTATTGGTAAAATTTAATATTCTGAAATGCATATATTTACTTATAAAGTTTGCCAAAGAATTATGACCCATTTATTGTCAACAAAAGAGTTCAGAAAGCAGACCTATTTTTAAAACCTGTATAATGTGTAATGAGATAAATAAATGAGATAAAAATCTGCAGATATATATAATATATATATATTGTATATAATATATGTATATTGTATATCATAAAAATATCCATTAAAAGAGGGAACTGATATCCCTTAAACTCTAAATTCATAATCACTTATCATTGCAACCTGATGGTTTAGGCCTCAGATATTTCAAACTTTGAAATTTTGATCTTGCAGAAACAACTGTTTAAAACAGCAAAGGTCTACGGCATCCAGGGTGGTAAACTTTGTAGTTATGAAAAATAATAATATTGTTGTGAAGGGGGTTTTCAGATCCTTAACTTATCTTATAATCATATATAAATACTCTTCATAGGGGGTATACTTAAATTTTTTGATATTATAGTTCTATAAATTTCAGAGTAATTCCATTTTCTGATTGGGGGTGGGGCTACTCAGATTAATCTGTAGATATTTACATGCTCAAGAAGGAGGACCACTGTTTTAATTCCGAAAAACATCGGCCCATTCACACATAAAAAAATTGATTTTATATCCTTGTTTTATCGCATGAAACTATGAAAAATCTGATGTAGTTCTGTGTATCTTCATGGGTTTTTCAGAGGATGTAATGCAAGGAAAGTTATTTAAGAAGTGTACACATCTTTTGTACTGCAGTGTACTGTCTCTGGGTGGTAAGGTAAACACAAGACGGATGTCAAAGCCTGACATGGGATCCATCTTTCATATAAAAAAAATCAATCAAATATTCTGGTCATTGGAAACTATTATGTGAATTGTGAATTATCAAAATGATCAAAATTTAATGTTTTTAACCTCCTCGGATACTTAACGAACACTGATGCATCTATTCTTGTTTACAAATTCCGCCCAAAGAGAACTGGTTTCAATATTACGTAGAGTATGCTCGTCCGCAATTAACTTTCCTTGCATTACACCCTTGGGTTTTTCAATATCTTTCTAAAACCAGAAACTGTCTTGAAGTCCATACTGACAAGGTTGACTTCTTTGTTTAGTGCAATATTTTTTGGAAATAACTAACATTCGAACAATATTTATTTTCTCAAGATCAGGAAGATATCAGATATTAGGAAATAAATGCATTTTTAGTTTTAGTGCTGTAAACTACTAAAAAACAATGCAGTTAATAGTAGACTTTATTTTTTGAAGAGTTTTATCTTTATAAGAGTGAAGAAAAGGCAATAATTAGAAAAAAAATCCAATAAAACCCAAAAAAGCCCACTTACAAGTGTGTTTTTGAAGTGTTTTTTAGGGTGGTATTTTGTATGTGTTTTTGTGGGCTGAGTTTTTTTAATGACAACCCTGACGACAGGTTGCAAATAAGGGATTATAAAATTAGATTTTAAGGTACGTGATCAGTTCCATTCTTATCTACCTGGAAACTGTTAAAAGATGTCTGAATCCAGCTATTCTGCCTTTTACACATGTACAATGTGCATATTTTTAAAACAACAAATGAATTTTTAAATCAAATTATTTGAATTTGTATGACTACTCCTGATAGGTTGGGACTACCCTCATGATTTAATTTTGAATTTGTAGGACTACCCCTGATTGGTTGGGACTACCCAATAATGCTGAGAAGGTACTTCTAGCAAACCAGGGTCATGATATTATCATTAAACTGATGAAGATGCAGCAGCTTGATGATGAAGACGACGAGCTAGCATATAGGTAAAGATAGTAATGGAGTTTTTGAGTTTAATGGGGGTGAATGGGTTGATGAGCCAGTTGTGAGCCATGAAAAGCCAGGAGCTGCCGATCATGAAATTGTAGAATTGGATATAGTGTTTGATCCGATCCTGTCCGATTTTAGGACCAAGTCCTAGCGTCTATATACTTTTCAGGCATTGTTCGTATTTAAAGTAGTTCTTTACAGCAGTGAAAACCAGAAAACTGTAGAATAGGATGACGACATTGAAGAATACTGAAATGCATTTGATGTTGTTACAAAGCAGATAGCTTTAATAGTAAGTGATTAAATCAATTATTTTGTAAAATGGGTCTGTTTAAACTTCAACTTGAATCTCAAAGTCGACTTCTTATTGAATGTTTTCTGGTTCTCACTGTAGTTAAGTTTATTTCCTCATGCATTTATGTTTTTAACATTCTTTGTTATCACCTAAGTCAGAAAATATTCTTTAAAAATGCTAAAATCTTATAAAAGATGTTAAAGGTTTAGTCTTAGTGGTTCCACTAAGAATTAGAAAAGTTAGATCCATAACAGTACCAACCCATTTCAAACCCCGGTAACTTTCTCTTTAATAAGATTTTAGATTGTGAGGGTTTACCTTATTTAGAACTTTAATACGACGCAAAGTGGAAAAGGAGGAAGCAGAACGGTAAACACTGGAAACATGTTGGTTTACATTTTACTAACTTTTCATACCATTTTTTCTTTTCGATTTTTTAAACCTATTAATAATATTTGAAACCCAGACTCAACCACAATGCATTAAGACACATGTTTGAATTAATAATTTACCCCACCCCCCTTAATGGCGCGTAGCCCCCCTCCCCTCATTAACCAATAAACATCACCTTGAGTCTAACTCTTGCTGGTGCTGAGGGGGGGGGGGGGGCGTTATTTGTAATAACAATTAATTTAGTTTGAAAATAAGATGTTCTAGTTTTTTAATTTAGGCAAGAGAATGACACATAACAAAACCTCAGCCCTTAAAATTAATCTTTTATTTTCGGGTTGAAAATGTTTATTTGTGATCTTAACCGTGTTAAATAAATAAAACATACAACAATTATGTTATTTTTGATTTGAACTAACTAACTAACATTTAATGAAAAGTTGCAGGATTTAATTGTAGTCAATTTGCCTCCTTTGGGATAGCCAATATTAACCGTTTTGACGCAGGAGGTCGTTTTCTGCCGAGTGTTAGACTATTTTTGAAATTGTACAGGCAACGCTAGTAATTTGAAAATCCTAAGTTGACCTTTTGATTGTTTAAGTGATGGAGAGGGTCAGGCCCAGGTAGTGAAGGAAGGCCGGCCAGCCTGGATGCGTACACTGCACGGTAGATCTAGTGAATGGATTTCTATCCTACCTGCAGCGCTTACCCCTCTCAAGCGTACTATAGAGAATATCAAGGACCCGCTATACAGGTAAATAATATGGTGTTAGGCACTTAAACCCCGGCATGTTTTTCCAATTTCCCTCAAGTACATTTTCCCAATTTTCCATGTGTTTGATTATACGTTTTCTCAATTTTTACATGTAAAGTTGGACCCATTAGACTGTTATGGAAAGACGCGCGACAGTTGAGCAATTTGATGTTGTTACAACGCTCCAATAGTTTTACAAGTAACCTGAAAATCAGATTATGAAGTGAATTGATTCAAATCATACCAGATGTCTATCATTCATATTTTAATTTTACAGTTGTAGTGCTCCCACTATGTATTTTCTACCAATATATCCAATTTTTCCCTATGAATGTTATTTTAGGTCCATTGAAAATAATTATAAAAGACGCATTCTTTAAAAATATATCTGTGCTCATTTTTACCTATAGGAGACCAGGTAATAACTACAAACATAAGAGCGAGCATGAACTCTTTCTCTTCGGCTCGCCTCTATTTGCACTGATTAAGTCTTATGTATATATTTCAGGTAGGCAGTTTATACAGGACTCAACCGAAACTGAAAACACAATAAATCAGTCCAGGGTTAATTATATGCATGACCATAATAAAATTTTAGCCTTTTAAAATAAAACTTTCTCCAGGTTAACTATTAAATTATTTATATAATAAGAAAATAAACTTACAATGTTGATTTGTCCAGAGGTTTGTAGCCTATAGTTCATTAAATTCCACCGCAGTCGCGAACAGGATAACTAAAAATGAGCTTATTTAGTCCGATCGAAGTTTTCATGTGTCACTTCAAATATCCTTTTTTAAGTGGTGACTTTCTCACATTCATCACAAGCATCGCAATATTTAGATTTATTACCTGTATTTGATCTAGAGGAGGAGCTAGACCAGGGATACAGAATCAGAGCCCTTCCGTGGAGGTATCGGAGGGGAGCAAAAGTTCTTCTCGTCGGAGAAACCAGAGAAGAGGATACAACTAAGCCAAAGTTGTGCAGGCCTGGTACGTAGAGGTATATGGGTCTCTAGAGTACCAGCAGGATATTCTGGAGCATAAGCTGAGGATCCAGAGAACAAGGATGACTCAGCTTCCGGTGATGTCGGAGACTTGACAACAGAGGTCTAAATAAAACTAATTAGACCAAGTTCCAGAGCTCAAAGGTTGTGAGCTTTGATCCTCACCTTTATATAGACTTCCTTAGACTCAGGATGTCAAGATTAGTAGGTGGGATTAGAAGAGAACTGAACCATCTCAGATTAGAAGTAAACGGAACCATCTCAGGAGTTGAGAACTTCTCCGCGAGTCAGCGGAGCAAGTCGAGGTTGTATATCAACGGGACTCGTGCCAGCCTAGCATAAGAATTATGTTGAGAGATTTGTGAGAAGTCAGGATATTATTTAAGCTCATTTTAGACGTTTGCAATTTTTTCACCTGGTTTAAAGCACGGATACGAGCCCGGAACTATTTAGAGGAATCACAACAATCACAATTATCTACATATATTTTATAAACCATCCGTAGGAATAAAGTTTTCCAACGTTGTGTAAAGAACATTCAACGTTTGTTAGCCTTAAGTATTTATTACGGATGATTTATAGACCTGGAGAAAGAAACACAATTTCAGGTTAGAAGGGGGCAACTAACCCATTGTGTTCTGAAAGATAAAACTCATTATTTACAAAGTTTTGAGGCTTAGGCTTTTTAAAAACAATATATAGGTTTTGGCTAAATATTATATATATAGTTTAAATTAAAAAACATTTTCAACCATAAAACTCAGGTTCTGCATTATAAAACAAAATCAGGTTATTCTTTATAAAAATTGGCCTTTAAATAGTTTCATTAAAAATCTCAATTAATTATATAGAGTTGAACACGTGATTAAATGTAGAAAATTGTGCATGTAGAGTTCCGTGTGATTGATCGATTGTTTGTAGAGAATTCCTGGTTGAACACACTGAGTAACGTCTTGTCGCTGAACACCCTGAACACACATTAGTTTATAAAGATCCTCAGATCTTACAATATCTAAAATATGTCCTAATATCAAATTAAATTAAATTTTATTTTATTTTATATCTTAATATTTGTTAAGTTATTCATTGAAAATTGAGATGTATTTTATAAATAAGGATAATAATAGAGCAATGACTTTCTGAATAATTGCGTTCGCTTTGCACCTCTGTAATATCAATATTCTTTAGTAAATGCATTCTTAATCCTTCCTGCGTCAAAAAAAAAAACCAGATAACGAAAGGAAATTTTGAGTGAAAACTGGACCAATAACCTTTATCATGTTTTTTATTTTTTTTATAAAAGTAACCGGAGATAGATTTTTGTATTAACATTCATTTCCTTAGAACAACATCTATATTATTCTGTTATTATTTTACTTTCACTTCTTTTTAGATTTTTCGAACGTGAGGTGAACTTCGGACTGAAACTGTTGGTAACTGTTAGAACTGATTTAGAGGACGTTGTCGCTATAACAACCAGTGGTAAAAATTCGTTTTTTTATTTTTGTCTTGCATGGTTAAATTCTGAAAACTTAAAAACCACAAATTAAAATTATCTATTTTCTTAAAAAAAGAACACATTTAAAACTCATTAATTATCAGCCAACAAATGGGAAATTACGTCTTACAGTCGCTTATGGAAAAGCGCCTATCTTCGATTTTTACTTTTAATAGTTGAGCCTCTTTTCTCGCATCTTTTTCGTAGATTTTGAAAATTCGAAATTTTGTTCAGGCAAATTTTTCTTTTCTTACCCTCGTAAACTTTTCCAGTCATCATGCGAGGCCCCCAAAAAAATTTGAGCCCGATCGGTTAAGCCGCTATGGCAAGCAAGACAAGCAAAGTAAAAGTATTTTTACCAATTACATTAACATTAGGTAAGAAGCAGACCAACCATCATAGAGCTTTGGTTAGTCAGCTAACCAGGGGAATAATACCAGACAGCTGGAGAGCATACACGGTGAGTTAGTTTTACTCACATGGGGAAATGAATAAAAATTAAGAAAAAAACGCAAAAATTATAATCATTTAAAAACATATTTAAATTTAAAAATCAATTTTTTTTTGATAATTATCTTCAACGCGCGCTAATTCCTACTTTTTTTAAGTTAACGGTTAATTTGTAAATATTTAGATTCCTAAAAGTTGCAGTGTCGCAGCATGGGTTACTGATTTCTCGGCTAGGGTTAAACAACTGGTGAGTTATTTTGATTTTTAATGTTTCGAATACAAGTGTACTGTATATTTTCTCAAATTAATTTTTCTCCCCCCCCCCCATCTTTTTGTAAATAAAATTTTTCCTCAGGAGTTATTCATGCTTGCGTGGAGCGCTAACAATTTTTTGGGGGTTTTAATTGCTCCACTCGGGAAAATAAAAGATTTTTAAGATGAAAATAAATGAATTTTGGTTAAAAGAATGAAAAAAGTTGCCTTTTGATTTCCAATTTTTCATTTTTACCCCACAATTCATCAAAAATCACCCCCCACCCCCAGCAGGAGAAAATTATTCTAGGTTTATCTTGTAGCTCTAGGTTGGTATCTAGGTTAATTATGTTCCTCTAGGTTGGTATCTAGGTTAATCATGTTCCTCTAGGTTGGTATCTAGGTTAATCATGTTCCTCTAGGTTGGTATCTAGGTTAATCATGTTCCTCTAGGTTGGTATCTAGGTTAATCATGTTCCTCTAGGTTGGTATCTAGGTTAATCATGTTCCTCTAGGTTGGTATCTAGGTTAATCATGTTCCTCTAGGTTGGTATCTCCAAGTGTGTAGCTGGAGGTGGAGCAGGATCCCTGAAGACTAGTACGGTTTGGATGGGAGGACTCTTTAATCCAGAAGCATTTGTTACTGCTACCAGGCAGTGCGTAGCACAGGTATACAATACATGCTGTACACAATCAGGGGAAAAATAATTTCTTCCCCCAATTTAAGAAAAGAATTTTTTTCCAGAAGTTATGTATTATACTAGGCTTTTAGGGCGCTTTGCGCTCATCTTCTATTTCAAGTGTGAACATGTTCTCTTTGTGTACATAGTAAAATAAATAAAAAATTGCGGATTTCAAATATCTTCAAAATTTACAAAAATAGAAAACTTTTAAAAACAAATTTTTTTAATTTTGATTATTCATAAACCTTCCCTGGGGTCCCGCGAGGTGCCACAAAGTTTTCATGCGATTAATTAAAATAAAAGAAATAAAATTATATTTTTTGTGAAAAACTTCTGAAATAATTTTTTAAATTCTTGTTTCTTATTTATGACCATGTTGTACTAGGCTAACTCCTGGTCCCTTGAAGAGCTCCGCCTGGATGTAACAGTAGCTGATGAATCCGATAAACCCAGTCTTGACGATTGTTCATTCGCTGTTGAGGGACTTAAACTTTCAGGGGCAGTTTGCAGGTACACTAGACCCTTGATGTTAACCGTACTTTAACCCCCCTTTGCCCATTACATTTTTATCACCTTGGTTTTTAGTTTCTTTTTTGAATCATTTTTCATTAAAATTTCCTTTGTTTCATTTCTTGTTTTCCTCATTTCCATTACTCCTTTTTACCTTTCTACTTCTTTTTGACTTTTTTCCCTCTACCAAAATGTTTTTTTCTTTTCCCCCTTTTTTTACATTTATATATATAACTTGTTTCTATAATAATAACTATTTATAACACTGTTATTTTGGTTCGCAGTGTTATAAAGTTTAAACGATGATTACTTTATAGCACGTTCATTATAAAATTCACTATGAAGTGAGTACTAATGATAAAGTACACTATAGTTTCATAAATACTCTTTTTATGCGCTATTTGTGTTCTTTTATGATCTATCCCTCCGTATTTTATGAGAGTAGTATTTCCATGTTTAATTTTAGATCGAACCAGCTTGCTATCTCTCATGATATTATAACTTCTCTACATCTCACTAGGCTCAGATGGGTCAAATCCCCTCAAGGTAGTGATCAATTTACCTACAATGAAAACCAATTTAAACCTGAGTTAATCATATTCTTTGTTAAACTGAATTGAACAGGATTGAACTGGATTTATTATGTTCAGAAGCTGGATTGAACTGGATAATGATATTCTTTGTTTAGAAACTGGATTGAACCCGATTGAACTGGATAATCATATTCTTTGTTTGGAAACTGGAATAAACAGGATTTAACTGGATAACCAAATTCAGTGTTGGAAACTGGATTTAACTGGATAGTTATGTTCTTTGTTTAGAAACTAGATTGAACTGATAAACATGTTCTTTGTTGAGATACTGGATTGAGCCGGATTAAACTGGATATTCATATTCTTTATTTAGAAACTGGATTGAACCGGATTGAACTGCCTGTTTATTTGAACTCAACAAGAGAAGAACTCCTGTTTACGGTGGATCTGCCGGTTAACGTGGTAAATACTTAAACATTCCTAACATTTTATTTCTTAATGAAACTGTCAACGTCAACCTTTCATCTCAAGTTTGCAATGAAAGATTCACAGTCCTCGTCTTTAAACCTTTTCTCTAAACGACAATAAAGCTGTTTGGGTTTAATTGCTTTTCTTTATTTTTAAATATTCGTTTAGGATGAGAAGATCCATGAGTTCCGAGAGCGAGGCGTTGCAATTATATCCAGTACTGCACTAAACTAAGGGATGATGCAACTTCAACCCGTACTGCACCAAACTGATGGACGGTGCAGCTGAATAAGGGTGTTTTTTCGGAACCTTCAGCATGTTGCTGCTTTAGAAAATTGGAATTATATTTAATCTTGCACTGTGATTTTAACTTTTAATCTTGTTTCGTTTTAATTTTGATTTTGTTTTAACACCACAAAACTATTTAACCAACCTGTATTTTACTATTTAAATTATTTCAGATAATTAAAGCATTAAAAATGTTGTACCTCGAAGATTATTTGGAAAGTAAGTATAATACTTGATAAAATACTTGTGAGTTGGCAATGGAAAAGTGAAAAAGAATAAAAAGGGCACTTAGAAGTAAAAATTCACGTCCTAGTGTATTTTTGAAAAAATGTAATTATTTTGTAAATTTTACGTTTGTTTCTAACTCGGTGCAGTTATTTAAAAAAAAATCGAAAAACCTAGTTTCATTTTTTTTAAGTCTTGACAAGCGATCTGTTTGTTGTAAAAAACAGATTAAGCATAATTTTAAATTTATGAACGTTAATGATACTGTCGTTAACAATCTCGTTAAATGTATAAAATCTAGTGATTGAGCATCTACCGAACGAGCTTCGAGATCGGTTTACGGAGATGCGAGAAATAGATCTGGGAGTAGAGAATACCGTTGATAATCTGGAAGCTAGGTATCTATATATATATATAAAGTTGTAGTCTCTGTTTGTTTGTCCGATCATAGCTCATAAACCGCTGAACCGATTTGCATCATATTTTGATTGGGGAACTCGGTGAGAGCCAGTTGAATGTTCTTCGTGTGGTTTTGGGATTTTAACCCTATTCCCGCTGGGGGGGGGGGTCAATTTGACCCCCCCCCCCTGTAGTTTTTTCTACATAACTCAAAAAGTATTGGTCTGAGGCTGTTGAAATTTTCTGACTTTTCCTACATACCCAAAGCCCTCCCTTTAGGCCTAAAACCAGGCTTTAATACTAACTGCCTGAGTCCTCAGGCACACTGCCTGAATGAATGCTTTTTCCTGTAACAAACTAAATCTTTGTTTTGACCCACTTTCACTTGTCAGATTTTGATAAAATTTAGCTTTTTGGAAAGCCTATGACATAAGGAAACGGATTGCACAAGTTTTGCGAAAAAAAATTGCAAATTTTTTGCAAACAACCTGTCAAAGGAAATTTGCACATTTTTAGTTTTTCTTGATTAAAAATCAGGTTATTTAAAATTTTGCAAACATTTTTGCATATTTGAAATGGCATGGTCAAGGGCTTTTCAAAAATGTATAATTTTTCATTTTTTGGGCAAATTTTTTTTTGCAAACATTTTTTGCGATAAAAAATTCATTTTGCAAATTTGCAAATTTTTTTGCAGATTCTAAAAGTAGAGCACAAGAGCTTTCCAATGATGTATCATTTGTCATATTTGGACATCAAACATGGAATTTAGAGGGGGGGGTCAAATTGACCCCCCCCCAGCGTATCCTGGTTTTCAAGTACCCCAGCGGGGATAGGGTTAAGTTGAGTGGGTCCACTAGTATAGGGAAAACTAGCTAAAATCGTAATTTATGACCGAACGGCGGGAGAAACTAAGTACACTTGGTTAAGCTGGGTTCTTAAGCTAGTAAATAATAATAATAATAATTTTTAAAACAATTTCTTAATACACACATTTGCTTTCTTTTCGCATGAAAATTTCAGTTCACAATTTGTGAAGACCTTAACAAAGTTACCCCCTGTTCTAAATTTAAGATTTGGCTTAAAAACAGCAATTCGTTCTTAATGTACTAAAAAAATTTTCAACGTTTTCAACAAAAATTTGTTAATTACTTCAAAAATTAGAAGATGAAAAAATTAATCATATTTCGAGGCTCTCACAACAAAAGGCTAAAAATAGAGAGAAGCTAGAAATCCAGAAATCTCAGAAATTCTGCATCCAGAGAAATTTGACTGAAAGGAATCTGCCTTAAACAATTATATTTGGTCGTGTGTGTGAGAACATTTTGAATGGATGATTTTGCAACATTCTCTACAAAAATACAAATGTTGAACTTTCAAAGAAAATATTAAAAAATTTAATGTATGAAAAGTTCAATATTTTAGGCAAAAAAGAGAATATTTTCATTTTTCATTTTTTCCTTTTTTTGTGGGATTTAAAAAATTCTTCTTATAAATCTTGAATTTTTCACCACTTCAAAACTATGTTCTTAAAAATCTCAATTTTGGAAAATGTTTTTGTTTTAATAAAGTTAATCTGTTCTGAGGGCGCTATTTATAAATCAGTTTCAAGATTAAGCTTCCATTGAGATTGTAGAAAAAGGGCTCTATCCTTGATATATGTTGAATGTTGGGACCAATCTTTCCTTAAACATTAGGAAAAAATCACTACGCATTTAAACTCACCCAGCTGGATTTTCGCGGCTTTAGGGATTTTTTTGATGTTTCTATTTCATTTTTAATTGTAAAATTATCAGTTTCTATATTTAGACAAAAAACGTTTTTCCAGTCTGCAAGTCGCCTTCCTGCTCAACAGAGGGAGGAGGAATATAATAAGATAAAGAAGGATTATAACAAGGTAAACATAGATGGAGTGGAAAATTGTTCAATATATAGATAGGTAGGTTGGTTGGTTGGTTGGTTGGTTGGTTGGTTGGTTGGTTGGTTGGTTGGGCGATGTCGATGTTTTAGTGAACATTTAAATCAAAAGAGAAATTTCAAGATTTGTTTTGGTAAAACGCTCCCTAATCATATATTGGATTGATCTCTCAATGAAACAAACAAATATGAATTAATTATATAATATCTAAAGGAATTCTCGATTGAAAAGTGACTCCATTAAACAGTATTATAATAGATTTATATTTTCATATTGTAATGCTTTCGTCATTATTGATCTGAAATTGGTAACTTGGCAGTTTTCTTGCTTGTCTATCGAGATAGTTAGACAGCAAGTGTTTTATGGGCAGTTTATCCTTCGCGGTAGATCTAGTTATTAAAAAATATTTGTTCGTATTTTACATAGAGACGTTTTAATTATTATTTAACTTATTTAATGTAGGTGATTGATGAGTCGAATGAGAAGCTTCATATTGCCGAGGATTGTTACGGGTAAATTAATAATTTCATTTTAGTCTTTTCTTACGTCTTTTGTATAGGCTGGTTGATCGATATCTACGTATTTATGTTTAGTCTGGTAGATCGATATCTATCTGGTTGATCGATATCTACGTATTTATGTTTAGTCTGGTTGATCGATATCTACGTATTTATGTTTAGCCTGATTGATCGATATCTACGTATTTATGTTTAGTCTGGTTGATCGATATCTACGTATTTATGTTTAGTCTGGTTGATCGAAATCCACGTATTTATGTTTAGTCTGGTTGATCGATATCTAAGTATTTATGTTTAGTCTGGTTGATCGATATCTAAGTATTTATGTTTAGTCTGGTTGATCGATATCTACGGAAGCTGGATCAAGAATTGCACAAGTTCCAGCTGGAACTGGAGGCAGATAACAGGGATAAATAATATCAATAGAAAAACAAATCCTTCAAATTTCGAAATAGAACAATTTTCACAGATTTCAAGCACTTATGCCTCTCGGAAAAATGCATTTTATCCGTTTAGTTACATTTTGTGTTTTTTTTCTCTTCTCAATAAAATATGGTAGTCGAGAGATTCATGGTTTATTTTGTTCGTCTGTTATTTTGTTATTATTTGCATTTATTTTTCTAAATGAAATGAGATACGGAAAGCTTACGAACATCTTTATTTTTGTTGTTGTTATTTTTTGCAAATAATTTTTCTAAATAAATGGGGGAGCTGGGAGATACGGAATAATTATCTTCATCTTAATGTCTCTTGTTGTTACTGATATTATTAACACGCTTTTTTTCTAAATAAAACATCCTTGAAAACTTATAGATTGGAGAGGAGCGCCGATTCCTACTTCATCGAATATCGGGTTGTCTTTTAGTAATAGTAACAGTAAATGCAATGGGGGAACTGAGAGATACGGTAAAATTTTGAAAATCTTCACATTTTGTTGTTTTCGATATATCGATATCGATCTGGAAAAAATACAAACATTTTAATTTTCTTATTGTTATTGATATTATTTGGTTCAGAGGTATAACGGAGGTTCTGGAGAAGAGAAGTTTGGAGCTAGATGCTCCCTCAACCAGGTAATTTTGTGGTTTAAAAGGACTTTTCGGATATTTTAGTACCTTCAAATTATTTAGATTATGGATTTTTAAATGTCAAGATCATCTGTTTTTTTAGGGGTTATTGCATATTTTTTCTATAAATTCAATTCTCCCGGCTCTTCCCCCCTCCCCTATGTTGAAAATCATTTTTGAGTTTTATTTGCTAAATTAGTAAAATAAAGGATCTTAAGGGGCAAAAAAATGTTAGTAGTTAAAAATTATGAAAAAGGATAAAAAAACCTTTTCATGTCCAATTTTTCATTCCCCCCCCCCCATATCTGAGAAAATATTTCTTAAAAATAAACACCTCTGGGATATTGTGTTATTCATTATCATACATGAAATGAAAATATCTTTAGGCCGTCCATGTTTATGAAGGAGAATAGGGTTCCTAAACGGCCGAAGCATACAACTATAGCGCACTCCGTGGATAAATTCCCTCGTAGAGAAGATACTCTGGTATCACAACCCTCCACATTCCCTCTAGGTATTTACTCCAGGCTAATAATATTATTATTATTTCTCTTTCTTTCAATTCATTTTTAAAGATTTTGTATTATTGATTATTTGAATTGATGATCAATTGATTAATGATTGATTGGTTTAATGAGTGATTAGTGAATTGATTAATTGATGAAATGATTGTGTAAGATGTAATGATTGATTGGTTTAATAAGTGATTAGTGACTTGATAAATTGATGAAATGATTGTGTAAGATGTTATGATTGGTTGATATGATAATAGTTTGATGTAATGATCGTTCGATGTAATGATTGATTGATGTAATGATTGATTGATGTAATGATTGATTTAATGATTTTTTGATCTAATGATAGATTGGTGTAATGGTTGATTGATGTAACAATTGATTGATGTGATGATTGTTTGATTTAATGATAGATTGATCTATTGATTGATTGATGTAATAATTTTTGATGCAATGATTGTTTGATTTAATTGTTTGAAGTAAGATTGATTGGAGAAATAATTTTGTCAAGGATTGGATAATTTATTGATGAAATGATTGATTTTTGAATGCATTGATTGAGTGATAGATTTTGTTTCAGAGCAAATGGGAGCTGGAAGCTCTGCTATTGCAGCAGCTGCGAGCCAAGCTCTAGCTGCTACTCACTACAATGTTCCTGGGCGAAGGAGCAGCAGTTTAAAAGCTTCCTTTGAAGCAATTAGTCAGGGGATAGCTACCAGTCAGCTTAGTATAGGACAGGTATTATAATTTTTCCAGGGGGGAGGACATCCTTTCCATTTTCCAGGGAACATGTTTTTACTACTGCTGGGTGGGTTTATTTAATCTGTTGGGCGACAGAAGAAAAGGATAACTGCTTAATCCGGGGATTAACAACAATAAAGTTCTGACCTCAGGTTGTAATATTATAGGAGTTGGCCTCCGCTGCAACCTCCGCGCTTGCTGCAACATCCTCCGACATATCCTCAACTAAGAAACAGAAAATCAAACAGAAGTCAACTGGTAAAAATTCTTTTTATTCTCTTATGAGAGAAATAAGTTAAAACAAGTTTGTTTGCCTTTAAAATGATTTATAAATCAGTTCGCAAAGTTAAAAAAAATGTTTTGGAATGTGTTTGTGTAACTTGTAGTTTGACTGCACAATTAATTGGATTTAATTTCATTGGACTTTGTTCCACAGTTTTAATGGTTCCACCGTATGTTTGACCTAAGAGTGGGCCATTAGGAATTGTATAAAAAACAGAGCAAATAAGAATTCGTCAAAACACAATGAACTCATTTTCGGTGGGTAAAACTAGTATAGCAGTCTATTTAAATTCAATATAATTAGGCTTATGCCGAAATCGACAGTTTTGACATAATAAGGGGGGGGGGGGAATAGGCAAAGCAACTTATGGTCCAACCTAAACTCTGATATGCGAATAAGACTTGAAAATTGGGGTCAAAACTATGTTTCGGTTCAAATCTAGGTTCGGTGACGTTTGTTGTTCACCCACCGAAACTGAGGTTATTATGTATTACTGATTTTCTTGTATTCTTAGTTAGTACAAAATTCTCTAATGTCCTTACCTTACCTTGGTCTGACCTAAACTCATCTGAATCAGGATTGAACTGTATGCCCCTTGATGTTGTTGGAGGTTCCCTCCTGGAAGATGTTGACCCTCCTGGGCTAGTAGTTGACCCCAACAATCTGTCCGCTAACCTGAGTCTAGCCTCGCCCTCCCCCAGTATGACCCCTGTGACCCCCAGCGGTAGCCAGGGGTCAGATCAGGAGTGGAATTATGATCCAAACGAACCTAGATATTGTGTTTGTAATCAGGTAAACTCATTCATCCATCCTTTCATGCATTAATCTTTTCAACCATTCATTCATGCATTAATCTTTTCAACCATTCATTCATGTATTTATTTTTTTATATTTTTATTGTTTTTGTTTTTTATTATTTTTATTATCATTATTTTACTTACTGTTACTGTTATTGATTTTATTATTATTGTTATTGTTATTGTTATTGTTATTGTTACTTAGGTATCCTATGGAGATATGGTTGCGTGTGATAATGAGGATTGTCCGTATGAATGGTTTCACTATCCCTGTGTAGGGATTACTGCTCCACCGAAGGTACAATTGATGGACAAATAATTCTGAGTTTAAGGGATTCATTAGATTTGTATGTAAATACTGGATCAGTATTGAGACCCAGCTTCTAGATTTGTCCGTGAATTTAATTTGATTTAAATACAATGATAACCAAAAACCGTAGAATTAGAAGACGCTATGAAAGCAATACTGTAGTGCCTTTGATGACGTATCAAAGCAAATAGTAATTTACTATTAAGTAAAATCACTTATGAAGTAAAATGGGTTTGTTTACAATGCACAATTGCTTTGTCTTATGCTCATTGGACAATTTAAAGTCATAACTTTAGTTTAGACGTCAACTTACTATTCCAGAGATCAATTAAACTTTTATCTCTGCATAAACCATCTTGTAGTTTAGGCAGTATAAACTGCTGTAACAAAGAGGTTTCAAATTCATTGTAAAAAAAAGTTTTCGAAAATTATAATTTTATCGCTTTTTTTGTTAATTTTGATAGTGCATCGATGAAATTGATTTTATAAATTTTGTTTTGTTTCAGGGTAAATGGTACTGCGCCCCCTGTACTGCAAGTATGAAACGACGTGGAAGGAAAATTTAAAACATTTAAAAAATTGTAATAAATAAAAATTAGTTGTATTGTAATTATTGCCAACTTTTTATAATTTTTATCCAAATTCTAGCTGAATCATGTTGATTTCATCTATATTTAGTTGTAATAAAAAAGTATGAAATATCCCAAAAGCTTGATTTTGAAAATGGCGACGGTTTGTTTTTATGTTGAGTGTTTTCAGATCTAAAATGAAACGAACGCTTGGGTTCGGGAAGATCGGAATGAACCTCGGGAACCTGAAGCTGAACGAGAAGGAGGAAAAGGAGGAGGAGGAAAAGGAAAAGATTGATGAAGGAGGAGGAGGGTTTGGGAAAATTAATAATCTTCTCGCCAACAAAACCGAGGAAACGATCCAAACGTTATCGCCGAAAGATGGTTAGATTTAGATACTAAATTTTACGCTGTCTATTTGGGGTATAAAGTATGGCAAGTGAAGTGGGGATGAAAATTATTTGTTTTTGGTTTTTAATCCGCCGAACATTTTGTTTTAGAAATTTGTATTTATAAAATCATTACAAGTACCGATAAGACAAGAATAGATAACAACCTTAACCCTTTTTATTTCTCTTGAACACTCTCTTTAAAGTGAAGTATTTAGTCAGAGCTAGGAAAATATCAAGACGAGTGAGGCAATTTCTTCAAAACTATTCTTCATGTATTTTCATTAATAAGCGTCATTTTTGCTTTATGACAAATTTATTTGCGAAATCCATCACCAGCATCTCCCAGTTGTATCGGTGCATACCTAGCAAGCGCTAGCCACAGTGCTCGGCCCCTCAAGTAGACTACGGCATCTTAAAAAGACTAATCTAATCCATATCAATAGGATGGGCGCTGGGCGGGATCATTTTCATAATCGTAAAGCTAACACTAGAAGTTCAAAGATGTTAAATTGATAGGAAAAGTTTAAATTATCTTTGAGAAAAGATTAATTCTTCTGGTAACATGGTTGTTCATATATTCATGCTAAACGGGGTTCCCACGCCTGTAAACATTTCAAATGATTGAACTTTTTAACATTTATTTGGCCAAACCGGTTTTGACAAAACCACTTTTTTCAAATTTTCAGAATTGGGGTCAGTCAACACAAGAAATAGAAATAAAGGAAGAAGGAGAGAAACATTGACAAGTATAATAATAAAATTAGAATTTTTCTGTATTAATTGTCTCCAAATTACCCAAATAATAAAATTTTGAAATATGTAAATAATAAATTAGAATTGTTTTTAAAAAAATGGCCGACCCTAAGGCGAAAATGTATTTCGTCTCACCTGACAACTACAGGTTCACCCTCAAAGGATTTTACTTTAGAGACGAACCTACGGAGTTTATTATACTTTAGAGACGAACCTACGGAGTTTATTTATTCGAGTTTCTTGCACTCAGGGTTCCCTTGCTGTACATTTGTTCCTTTCTTTGCCATATCTTCTAAATAATAGAGCTTTTCGCTCATATATATATAATATTTATATCTTAGCTTCAGCTGACCAAACTGGATGACATTTTTTGAGGGAACCCATTGGTAACGTAGGCTAAAAAATCCTTTTTTTTAACTTCAAGCTTTATGAGTGTTTTTACAATCGGTCACTTCAGCCAGTTATTAAGTATTACTTTAAAAAGACCTAATTCAAGAAAGAAGTTCGAATACAACCTTCATATCGTAGCTGTTTAAGAGTTTTAAGTCGTCTTTAAATTCTTTTCCTAAGTGGGCTTTCAGTAATTGACTGCATTGAATAAGTGAATATAATGGTTTGGTTTGGTGTAGAATATCCCTGAGTACAAGGTGGAGAGCAGTGACGAGATGGCCAAGGTGATGGGGTTCCAAGGATTCGGAAACAAGAAAGCACAAACCTTTGACGTCGAGGTAGGGTCTTTTCTTTCAGGGGATTGTATGTCCGATTTGGAGTTTGCCATCGCCTATTAAAAATTGATAAAAAGTGCCCTTTAAGTCTTTATATCTAATAATCACTAATCATTGCATGAGAGAGATTTTACAGTGTATGAGCCGTTTTCTATAAATGAGTATCAGTATTTCAACGGAGTTTAGGAGCCGTTTTCTAGAAAAGAGCATCAATATTTCAACGGAGTTTAGGAGCCGTTTTCTAGAAATGTGTATCAATATTTCAACGGAGTTTAGGAGCCGTTTTCTAGAAAAGAGTATCAATATTTCAAAGGAGTTTATGATACGTTTTCTAGAAAAGAGTATCAATATTTAAACGGAGATTATGAGACGTTTTCTAGAAAAGAGTATCAATATTTAAACGGAGGTTTATAAGACGTTTTCTAGAAAAGAGTATCAATATTTCAACGGAGTTTATGAGGGGTTTTCTAGAAAAGAGTATCAATATTTCAACGGAGTTTATGAGGCGTTTCTAGAAAAGAGTATCAATATTTCAACGGAGGTTTATAAGACGTTTTCTAGAAAAGAGTATCAATATTTCAACGGAGTTTATGAGACGTTTTTTAGCAAAGAGTATCAATATTTAAACGGCGTTTATAAGACGTTTTCTAGAAAAGAGTATCAATATTTCAACGGAGTTTATAAGACGTTTTTTGAAGGGTATCAATATTTTAACGGAGTTTATGAGGCGTTTTCTAGAAAAGAGTATCAATATTTCAACGGAGTTTATAAGACGTTTTTTAGAAGAGTATCAATATTTCAACAGAGTTTATAAGACGTTTTCTAGGAAAGAGTATAAATATTTCAACGGAAAATCTAAGATTCATTTATTATTTATAGTTATTAAAAGGAATAAAGGGCACATTGTGAATCGCAGAGACAACTCATTTTAAGAAATTAGATGGGATCGAATGAGATTAGATGGGATTAGATGGGATGGGATTGTAATTTTTAAATGATTTGATTGAGTTATAAAGAAAATAGTTCAGTGAATTTTTTTATTTGAAATAAAATTTTCAGACTATGTTTGCGAGTGCAGCAAAAAGTGCCCAGGAAATGAATATTCTGAATAACCAGAGGTTAGAGGATCAGGGCAGAAAGGAATTAGGTGAAATATTTTTAATGGAACTTAAATAACGTAAGCTTAAACCTGATTTCTAACCGCATTTATTATCTATATAATAAATCTTCGCTCATGTATGTATATTTGTATATATATTTATATGTTGGCTGCAATTTCTAGGGAACCCATGGGTACCCTAAGGGTAACAAAGGCTGAAAAAATTTAAAATAAAATTATTCAAAATTTAAAAAAAATCTTCCACGGACAACGCACTTCAGCTAGTTATTTATATAATAAATCTCTTTGCTCATATACAATATACATACATATATATATTTGTATATCTGATAGGTAATACATAGGTAATAGATTATTTTTACATTTTATTGCTGGACAAATTGTTTCGTTTTTTAATCACTCTTAGGGAGCATGAGTTAGATTGAAAAATTATTTGTATATATATAGAACGACTGAACAAAATTGGCTGACATTTTTTTAGGACATCCATGGTACCTGTAACATGCTAAAAAAAAATTCACGAATCGATTTTTTTTAAAATTTGAATTTTTACTTGAAAGTTCATTTAGGAAAATCTTAATCTCAATATATCTTTTTTTTTAGATAGTGAATTCATCATTCCTACTATGAGGTAATAAAACTTTTTGTTTTTCTTCCTAAACATATATTTTTCCCTTTTTTAAAACTTTTTATAAAGATTCTGAATGCTTGGTAAAATTGGTAAATTTGGAATACAAAGCTAAATTAACAATTTTTCGAACTAAAAAAAAAATGAGAAAATTTAGCGTTGTTAAAACTTTGAATAATTTGTTATTTTATGTCAGTAACAAGCCGAGGAAAAGTATTGGAAGTGTGCAAGAGAAAGTTCGTGAAAGAGTGAGAGAAGAGAAAAAAGCGGAGAATGATAAAACCAAGAAGGAAGGATCAGATTCAGATTCAGATTCGGACAGTGACGAGGAATCAAAAGGTATTTCAGATGTTAACTAAAGTCTGAAAGGGACTGGGGACTTTTTGAAAATTACTTTCATTGTCTCTGCAGTACCGTTGTGAATCCGACATGCCACTCCATAAATGAAGGATCACTTAAACTCACGACGCCGGTAGATTAAGGCCGCCGATTGCAACTAATTGACTGGATAATCAAATGGCGCGTATTTGGGTCATGGGGCTCTTGGTTGGATTAAATTTTTATTTTTTTAATTATATTTATTGAAATCTTTAATGTTATCAAATGTTATTTGCCATTATTTTTTATTTGACTAGGACCCCTACCTCCGACCTCCAGTTCCAAAAGTACCCCCGAGGTGGAGGACGAGGATGAGGATGATGAAGAGGAGGAGGAGGTCAGCATGGTTGACAAGATCCCACGCTCCCACGATATTGATCTCAAGCACGGGATAAAACCGATCACAGCGCTGTGTCTGGATCCCTCTGGAGCCAGGGTTGTAAGGTAGCTCAGAGAACACAACTTAACTTAAAAGCGTTTTAAACTATTCACAACAGTTTCCATAGCAAACTTCCAAATAGTGCTTAGGATCCAAATCATTTGGACCCGGAACCGGATCTGGCTCCTGGATCCGCCCTGAAAAAATGTAATTGCGGATCCGGATCCATTGATTATTGAACAATTCTTCAATAATTACAAACATTTTGACAAAAATGAAACATGCTCAGAGCTCACTCTTTTTTTCTTATCTTTTTCCGCTTAATTTTATGCTGAAACTTAATGAATAGTTCAGATGTGAAAAAGTTTTTAATAATCTCTTATTAGAAACAATTTGAGTTTTGTATTTTGAATGCAAGCTTAACATTTTTATATCCAGTGGTGGAGTTGATTATGACCTGAAGTTGTGGGATTTTGCCGGGATGGATCCGAGTTTACGAAGCTTTAGGAAGATTCGTCCTTCCGAGTGTCATGTCCTTAATCATCTAGGTAATGAGCTTGGCCCTTTCAACTTTCCACTAGGACCTTAAGTGATATCTTTGGTACAACCTTGACCCCTTAATTGACCCTAAACTTGATCCTTTAAACTTTCATTGATCTTGACCAACGTTCCCTGATTGGACACAGAGGTATATTTATTCTTGAAAATCCTTTCCCTTCCTCCTTTTGTAAATAATTTTCAATTACGTTAGGGTTTTATTCGCTGATCAGGGGATAAAACTGAATTTTTGGTTAAACGAACAAAAACCAAAACTTGCCTTTTAGTTTCCAATCTTTTTTTCTCCCAGAGCTTATAAAATCATTTCCCCAAACGGGGGGGGGGGGGCGGATAATTCTTATAGATATATACCCCTGTTATCAAAATTAAATATCCTCTTACTATTGTGTCATTTACCTTGAGTGATTGATCAGTGCAGTTTTCGTTATGAACCTTACATTGATAATCAGAAAACTCTGGAATAAAAAGTCGACTTAAAATTTAAAAGTGTAATGAACACGAGGCACAGCAATTGTGCAGTGTAAACAGACCCATTTCACTTAATATTTGATTTTATTACTTAGTTATTTGCTTTGTAACAACATCTAATGCACTTCAGTATTGCTTTAATGTCGTCTTCCTATTCTAAAGTTTTCTTGTTATTACTGTACGAACCTTATATTGATACTGAAATTAAATTATCCTTGACCCTTATGAACCTTGACCTTAGATTGACTTTGACCCCAATTGATCTAATATTGACGCTGACTGTTTAGAGTACTCTACTACCGGGGATAAGATCCTGGTTGTGTCAGGGAACAGTCAACCCAAGGTTCTGGACAGGGACGGAGGGGAGGTCTTCACATGTGTCAAGGTAATCAAAACTTAATTTTTTTTGTGTTAAAATCTTTTTTCAAAACGGTAAAAAAATGGTAAAATGACAAAAAAATAATTATGAAGATAAGAAAAAAAATGAAATACCCAAAAAAGAATGAAATCAATTTTAAAAAATGCGATGCCATTAATAGAATAATAGAGAATCCATTTTTAATTATTCATACGTTCATGCATTTAATCTGCCTTATTTTACTAACAGAAGATTAACGAGAAATTTCTAATGTAGATTTATTATTCTAATCACTTTAACTCCTACTACACCCCTTTAGGGGTTCTTGGAGTAATCCAAAAACTAAAACTAAATTAAAACAAAAGTGTAAAAGTGTTTTTTAGATTTTAGAATTGGATTAACCTTTAAAATTGTTCTGTATTTTATACAATGTTTAATAAATGAATTGTACACTGTGATCAATTACTTTTCTTGTGCAGGGTGATCAGTATGTGCTTGATCAATCCAGGAACAAGGGACATACAGCTCAGGGAAACTCTGGAGCTTGGCACCCCAAGGTTGGAACACATTTCTACTTGATTATTAGTAAAGATTAATCAATTTTTCTGCGCCTTTTTAGTCGGTCATGTTTTATTATTTGTATTTTTGGTCACTAACCACAGAACATTGATTATATTATTATATAAATCTATATTTGGCTCTAATGCAAGTTTGTTGGGTGGATAGTGAACTTCCTAACAGCATGATTTGATTTGATTTAACAGTAAAAAGATAAAAAATGTCAGGTTTTCGCATTTAGAATAAAATTAATTAGATTTCAGAAAATCGGGAAATTCGATTTTATTTATCGTCTTTAAATTCTTTTGTTTTTGGAACTTCTTATTGAATGTTATTAATTAGATCAGGAGTGAGTTTATGACGTGTGCCAACGACGCCACGGTGCGTCTCTGGATGGTCGAAGACAACGGACGGAAATCTAAACAGGCAAAGAATCATTTGAAGAGTAACTTTTAAAAATGTCAACATTTGACTTTAAATATTCATTTATGTCGCAGAAATCATTTGTTATATCAATGAATCATTCAAATTTTTTTATGTCTGGTAGTATAATGCTCAATAATGTAAACACTTGAAATTGGATTTTTAATCATAACTTTCAGTCAAGTTGAAATTTATTAGAAATTACTCTCAAATTGGTTCAGCTACAAATTCAGGGGCGTATTCAGGAATTTGTCCAGGGGGGGCTTAAATTTTTTTCTTTCCAGGGGGGGCTCAGCACCCGTTGGGGCATGAAAACCCCCTGAAATCAATAAATTTCACTGGTCCAGGGGAGGGCTTAGGCCAATACCCCCCCCCCCCTGAATACGCCTCTGGCTACAATTTAAATTTAAATTTTGTTTCTAACTTGCCAAAGTTCCAGGCTTTTAAAATATAATTAATTCTGCAATGAAGAGATGATTATTGGTTAGGTGCTCTGATCTAAATATAAATTGGACTAAAAGCAATGATATATATTATATATTTGTTGTAGGTTATAAAGTGTAGAAACAAGAAGACTGGATTACGAGCAAATCCTACTGCATGCACCTACAGTAGGGATGGACTTCTAGGTATGTACCGTGTACGACATGCAACAACAACAGCAGTAGCAGTACCTTCTTTATAGTTGTGCTGAAGCGTCAATTACTCTTTTTGCCTTCAGATCTCTTACTGAAGAAGTCAGTTAGATTGTTTTTACCGCAGCACTGGGTCGCTTTAATATTTTTCTTAATTCTTGTATTCTTCACTTTATTTTACTGCCATAGCTGCATAGCCCTGTATTTGGGTCANCCCTCCGAATGGCTAATATGAATAATAACTTTCTAATGATAGCTGATAAACCAATTTCTTTTTCTCATTAATTTTCTGGAAGCCTGTACTTCTGCTTATCAAGTATATAATAGCTTATTGTTCTAGTGTGCGGAGTGTGTATCGACGGCTCTATAAAGATGTGGGATCATAGGAAAAATTTTATAAATGTGGCGTTAGAAATGCAGGTTAGGATTTGGATTTAATAGCTTGCAGCAAACTCATGACGTAATTCAAAGTAGCTCTCCATTAAAAAAAAGAAAATAATGTGTCATGTCCGATTCACAACTCTAACATTAAAACATCAACGTTGAGGAAGATATCGTCGGTTTCTATCTGAAAATCTGTTGAACTTTTACTTTTTTTTTAATTGTGCCAGCAGCATAAATCCGCAAACCATATGTTTAAGAAACCATGAATTGTAAACAAAGGCCGGGTTAGTTTACCAACTGTTCTTTATTTATCTTAAAACAATACCTTAGTGGTTCTATTAAGTTATAGTAAGATGGACACGAACCCTATACCTCTCACCTTTAGTATATAGACCCAGGCTTTTTAACATTATGTCAGTTTTCATTATCCACACACGTAACCACACAATTTACATACAAGAAATTAACAAAGATTTGATTAATTGATTTATTGATCATTCAAAATTTAATTTCAGCGTGAAGAACTGAACGATTTATAATTCTATATTATTATTACTAATTATAAACAAAATATTTATCATACAGGATGCTCATCAGACCGGAAGTGAAATAACCTGTGTACAGTTTGGATATGATAACAGGATGGTGGCAACAAGGTTTATAAAATATTATTTTGGTTAAAAGAAGAGATGAGGAATGTTTAAAAGCGTCAATGGGGTTTTCATGATTCATTGGTGCTGTACGAAGTTTCCCAATCACAATTTTAGTCCAATTGATCCAGGTGTTCTTGAGTTACGATCAGATAGATCAGATTAAAAAGGGATTACTACTTTATATATAGGAGTTTAGGAGCCGTTTTCTAGAAAAGAGTATCAATATTTCAAAGGAGTTTATGATACGTTTTCTAGAAAAGAGTATCAATATTTAAACGGAGATTATGAGACGTTTTCTAGAAAAGAGTATCAATATTTAAACGGAGGTTTATAAGACGTTTTCTAGAAAAGAGTATCAATATTTCAACGGAGTTTATGAGGGGTTTTCTAGAAAAGAGTATCAATATTTCAACGGAGTTTATGAGGCGTTTCTAGAAAAGAGTATCAATATTTCAACGGAGGTTTATAAGACGTTTTCTAGAAAAGAGTATCAATATTTCAACGGAGTTTATGAGACGTTTTTTAGCAAAGAGTATCAATATTTAAACGGCGTTTATAAGACGTTTTCTAGAAAAGAGTATCAATATTTCAACGGAGTTTATAAGACGTTTTTTGAAGGGTATCAATATTTTAACGGAGTTTATGAGGCGTTTTCTAGAAAAGAGTATCAATATTTCAACGGAGTTTATAAGACGTTTTTTAGAAGAGTATCAATATTTCAACAGAGTTTATAAGACGTTTTCTAGGAAAGAGTATAAATATTTCAACGGAAAATCTAAGATTCATTTATTATTTATAGTTATTAAAAGGAATAAAGGGCACATTGTGAATCGCAGAGACAACTCATTTTAAGAAATTAGATGGGATCGAATGAGATTAGATGGGATTAGATGGGATGGGATTGTAATTTTTAAATGATTTGATTGAGTTATAAAGAAAATAGTTCAGTGAATTTTTTTATTTGAAATAAAATTTTCAGACTATGTTTGCGAGTGCAGCAAAAAGTGCCCAGGAAATGAATATTCTGAATAACCAGAGGTTAGAGGATCAGGGCAGAAAGGAATTAGGTGAAATATTTTTAATGGAACTTAAATAACGTAAGCTTAAACCTGATTTCTAACCGCATTTATTATCTATATAATAAATCTTCGCTCATGTATGTATATTTGTATATATATTTATATGTTGGCTGCAATTTCTAGGGAACCCATGGGTACCCTAAGGGTAACAAAGGCTGAAAAAATTTAAAATAAAATTATTCAAAATTTAAAAAAAATCTTCCACGGACAACGCACTTCAGCTAGTTATTTATATAATAAATCTCTTTGCTCATATACAATATACATACATATATATATTTGTATATCTGATAGGTAATACATAGGTAATAGATTATTTTTACATTTTATTGCTGGACAAATTGTTTCGTTTTTTAATCACTCTTAGGGAGCATGAGTTAGATTGAAAAATTATTTGTATATATAGGTTGTTCAGTAGATATTCACAATTCTATAAATATTTAGGGTTGTTCAGTAGATATTCACAATTCTATAAATATTTAGGATTATTTCACAATTCTCGAAATATTTAGGGTTGTTCAGTAGATTTTCACAATTCTATAAATAGTTAGGATTGTTCAGTAGATTTTCCCAATTCTATAAACATTTTGGGTTGTTCAATAGATTTTCACAATTTTATGAATATTTAGGGTTGTTCAGTAGATTTTCACAATTCTATAAATATTTAGGGTTGTTCAATAGATTTTCACAATTTTAAAAATATTCAGGGTTGTTCAGTAGAGTTTCACAATTTTATAAATATTCAGGGTTGTTCAGTAGATTTTCACAATTCTATAAATATTTAGGGTTGTTTTCACAATTTTCACAATTTTATAAATATTCAGGGTTGTTTAGTAGAGTTTCACAATTTTATAAATATTCAGGGTTGTTCAGTAGATTTTCACAAACTGAATGCTGTTTCTCTCCTGATGATAGAATGATCTTAACAGGTATTTTTTTCTCTTAAAATATATTGTTTATCTTTAAACTTTTGATAATTAAAAAAATATACAAAGTTGAAAATTATTGGATATTTTTATTTTAAAACATGAAAATAAAAAATGAACAATTAGAACTCGGGTTTTACACTTTGAATACAAATAGTTAAAACTCTATGCGAGTGGTATCATGTATGTATATAAGTTAAAATTCCCTTTCTTAATGTTTTCTTTTTTTTCCGCTGAAGAAATCATTAAATATTATTTTTCTCTTGAATTTAAATGATTTCCTATTTTAGTATTTATTTCCATATTTCCGAGTTTAGGAACGTCTATGGATAAGGGTGAGAGCTCTGGCAAGCTTGTATTCCTGGAGAAAGATACTTTCAAGAAAGCATTTGAGATGGAGGTCGGGAACAGTCACGTGATCAAGGCGAGCTGGCATCCTAAACTAAACCAGATACTGGTCGGGTCAGGAGACGGGATAGTCAGGTAGTTTTTATCTCAATTGACCGACGTAGATCAAATATTCAAAGTCCGTAATATAAAATGTTTACACCATCAGATTACACCATAGAGATCAGAACATTAGAGTTTGAAACTTTGAGGAGAGTTATCCGTTTCTTTATTAATGTAATAACTTACTTCTAACAGCCCTTTTTCATTCTCGATTATTTTTCAACTTTTTCTCTTGGGGGACCTCTTCAGATTTCATTTCACTTCTCTCATTATGCTTTTTAATGTATTTTTGGTCTTTCGGTCGGTTCCAAGTATCGTACAAATTACATGGATTTGGTGGTCTCTATTTTTTACATTTTCCAATGTTTAGAGTATTCTATGACCCCGAGAAATCATTCCGTGGAGCCAAGTTGTGTATGGTGAAGAAGAGAACTGAGGCTAAACAGATCAACTACTTTGCCAACCAGAGGATCATCACCCCATACGCTCTCCCACTCTTCAAGGTCTGCAAGTCATTCGAGTGAAGTCATTTATTATTTAAGGCTTTCAAGTCATTTCTAAACTTGTTAAGTCATTAATAAGCTAATCAAGTCACTGATATGTTTGTAATGTCATTTATAAACTTATAAGTCATTTTTAAACTATTTTCCTTTTTAATTCTAATTTTGATCAAATTTTTGTCATGAATTATATTTAGGAAGGAACAGAGAGACAGAAATCCACCTACAGACAGCTTGTAAAAGATAGAAAGGTAAATATTACATGTTTAATGATTATTTTGTTCACTATTACATTACTTACAAAAGTTTCCAAAATAATATGGAATACAAGGATGACTTCAAAACAAAAATATAAAAAAGGCATTATACTTAAAATCTGAAAGAAAAAAAGATTACTAGAAAGAGAGAGTTCTTCATCAGCAGTAAAGATTAAAAAATATAAAATTAAACCATTTTTTCAGGATCCATTGAAATCCCGGAATCCTGATCCCCCTCAGCTGATCAAGGGCACAGGAGGTAAAACCGCCCAGGGAGGATCAACTCTACACTCCTTTATGGCTAAACAGATCGCCGTGAAAAACAAGGACGATCATATCGATCCCAGAGAGAGAATTCTCAGACACGCTAAGGTTAGTTTCAGGGAAAAAAAATAAATGGTTTTTAGTCAACATTTTGTGTTAAAAGTACCAAAAGGGTTGTCACCCTTGTCAACTAGTTGATATCTAATATTTAAATTTTTCCAGAAATTATCAAAAACATATACCCTGCCTGGATAGTCTAGGAAACCATTTGTAAATTCTGAAATTTGACATGAAAACGGCAATTTGGTTTTCTGAGATGTTTTTAATTTTTCTTTTGTCTAAGGGAAAAATTCAAAAATTTGAAATTGTGTTTTTAAAGCCTCAACATAATATACGTTTTTTTGCCTAAACCCAGAAACCGGAAAGTACGTTGAACTACAATTTACTACTGGAGACTAAGGCCATTGCTACAACTTGGGCTTTGATTTGAATGAATCGGACTATTTAAAAAATGTTCCAAGATATGAGTGTCTGCTTGGATATTGGATATTTATGTTCAGGACTCTGAGGAAAATCCGTATTGGATTGCACCGGCATACAAGAAGACACAGCCTGTACCTATATTCAGGTTGACTTTTTTTACAACAAAATGGAAGAGAACCCACCCAGGGTTGCAAACTACCTGGAATAAAAAGATAACAACTTGATATTAAAAAAACACCCTAAAAACACCCATTCTACTTATATTTCTGCTTACATTTGGAATTACACTGATTTTTTCTGTGATAACTTTCGGATTCATAATTTTCTTTTTTAAAATCTAAAAATAAGAAGAAAAATACCAAAAAGGTTAGAAACTCCAGAGTGGACAACCCTGGAACCTCCAATGCAACGTTTTAATTTTGGGGGTCCCATGTTTTTGATAACTTTCCGGCGCCCTGTAAGGGGGGTGGATATACAGAAACACGACATTTCACCGCAAAAGCTGAAAAGGTGATCTTCAAATTTAAATCATTACTTTTATATCTATAGACGTAATAATAGGTTTACGATGCCAAAAATAAGAAAAGTTGACGGGGGTTAGTAAAATATTCGCACACATATTATGGATCCTAACTAAACAATATTCCATGGGTTAGAGTTTGGCCGAGGTGTAAGGCCCCCCCCCCCCTCCTTCCCATTCACACCCGAACATGATTGCGCCTAGATTATACATTACATCCGCTTTAATAAATTAATTCTATATTTTCCAGATCTACGACTGAGGATGAGCCTCCAGAAAAACTGACAAAACGTGAAACATTCGGTTGAACCTTAATCCGTATTATTTTGAATAAAGTATTGAAGTTACATTTTGTTTCAATTCAAAGAGCTGCTGTACCGCTTTTTTCAGTGTTATTTTAATTTTAAAATTCGGCATTTCTTCAACCCGGTAAATATGATCAGCTCGTTTTTTCTTATTAAAATAGGACAAATAGTGGGGACTATTCCGCAATGACTTTACCTTTAATATACTAAAATAAAGATATTTCTAACGAAGGGTACCGTTGTGAATCGAATTTGCACTCTCAATGGATGGTCTCTTAATCTTATATATTGCGCTGATAAGAAAATTAATTTAATGGAATTCATTGAATTGTCTGAAATATATTCAAATTAAATCTAATTATATCTAAACTATTTATTTTAAAACATTTTTTTCAAAACCGTAATTTAAACACCATCGTAGAACACTTTAAAAAATGAGACATTATTATGATATAAATTAAGGAGATCTTTATTTTTACATTTTGTCTTCATAAAAACTATTGAGCATTTGCAATTGCTATGTTTAATTTCAGAAAAAAATGTCGTTAGTTGTTGTATCCAGTTTCATCAACTTTAAATAAGTTTAAAATTCCGGTTTGTACGACGGCAACCAAACCTACCCTTCTAAAAAGGTAAATAAGGGATGATTAAGGATTGTGTTTTCCTGAAGGTTTTATTTGTTATTTTTAAGAGATTACATGGCTCCTCCTCTCTAATACGACAACAAGGGAATCAAACATGCCCATCACCATTTCTAAAACCGATTCTCTGCACCCATTTGAAAATTAAATCTTCTTAACAAAAAAGAATTTTTTTAAATACCGAAAGTGAGTTTATTCTGTGACGGGAGCATGAAACCAAGTGTTGACTTAATCTCAAGTGGTCCTCCATTTTTTATATGTTATATTTTTGATTCAAAATCTATACCAACCCTCTATGCTAGAAGAATAAGAATATCTTACCTATCCTTGGCGAGGATGAAATATAATTGATATGAATCGGACATGCCATTCTATTAGTCATCTAAAAGGTCACTTTAATTACGTCACTGTTCCTTAAAAAGTAGATTTAGCCACTTTTCCTTTTAAGTAGATTTTGCCATTTTTCCTTACAAAGTATATTTTGCCACTGTTCCTTAAAAAGTATATTTTGCCACTGTTCCTTTAAAATTAGATTTTGCCGCTGTTCCTTTAAAAGTAGATTTTGCCACTATTCCTTTAAAAGTAGATTTTGCCACGGCGGTTCCTTAAAAAGTAGATTTTGCCACTGTTCCTTAAAAAGATGATTTTGCCACTGTTCCTTTAAAAGTAGGATTTGCCACTGTTCCTTTAAAAGTAGATTTTGCCACGGCGGTTCCTTAAAAAGTAGATTTTGCCACTGTTTCTTTAAAAGTAGATTTTGCCACTGTTCCTTTAAAAGTAGATTTTGCCATTTAACCATGGAAATTTATGTTCACTGTTAACACTGTGTTCAGATATCAATCTTTTATTAAAGGTTTCCAGCAGTGACCTAGATTAAATTTTTCTGAAAATGTTTAGTGTATTAAAACAAATTACACTTTCAGAGAATGCATGAAAGTCTTTCTGATAGTTGAGATGTTCTGAAAGTGAAAAGAATTTTGAATTGAGTACCTGGTATTTTATTTCATATAAAACTGGACACAAATATCCAAGATCATGTCTCAAGAAACGAAACAGAAGACAACTCAATCTGGCAAGAAGCAACGCATTTGCACTATTTGCGAAAAAACGCTTTCAGACTCTAGCAGTTTATCAAAGCACATGAAAACTCACCCGGGAGTTCAATCATATGCCTGCACTGTATGCGAGAAAACTTTCTCAAACTCTAGTTACCTCACTGTACATATGAGAATACATACTGGAGAGAAACCATATGCCTGCACTGTATGCGAGAAAACTTTCTCGAATTCTGGTTACCTCACTTCACACATGAGAATACATACTGGAGAGAAACCATATGCCTGTAAAGTCTGCGAGAAAACTTTCTCGAACTCTGGTCACCTCACTGCACACATGAGAATACATACTGGTGAGAAACCATATGCCTGTAAAGTCTGCGAGAAAACTTTCTCGAAATCTGGTCACCTTAGTGAACACATGAAAATACATACTGGAGAGAAAGCATATGCCTGCACTGTATGCGAGAAAACTTTCTCGAGATCTGGTTACCTCACTGCACACATGAGAATACATACTGGAGAGAAACCCTACTCATGCTTTGTTTGCAACGCGGCATTTTCCGTAAAATCTCATTTGACAAATCACATGCGAACACATACCGGAGAAAAGCCCTACTCTTGCGACATTTGTAAATCATCGTTCGCTGACTCTAGTAGTTTGTCAAAGCACAAAAAATACCATACAGGAGAAAAGCCACACATTTGTCAGATCTGCAAAATGGCTTTTGCAGTTGTTGGCAACTTGAATATACATATGAGAACTCATACCAATGATGTGAAAAAGCCGCACACTTGTTCTATCTGTGCCAAATCATATACTTCACCTGGTAATTTAACCACGCATATGAGAACACATACTGGAGAGAAACCCTTCTTCTGTTCGATCTGCAGCAAACCTTTTGCCTCAGAAGCCGGCTGGAAAGTACACATGCTAAGCCATTCTGAAGAAAGAAGGTTTCCTTGTTCAGTTTGTGACAAACAGTTTAAAAACTTAGCTAATCTGAAAAGACACTTGACGACGCATACAGGAGAGAAACCTTTTTCATGTCTCAAATGTGTGAAATCATTTTCGCGAAAAAGTCACTTGGAGGTTCACATGAGAAGACATGATGGTGTCAAACCGTATACCTGTAAAATTTGTAAGAAATCGTTTTCTTCAGAATTGACCACTCACATGCGAATTCATACTGGGGAAAGACCTTATTCTTGTTCAGTTTGTAAGAAAGCATTCAAAGACTCCGGAACATTATCAACTCACATGAGAACACATACAGGAGAAAAACCGTTTGCTTGCTCTGTATGCAACAAGGCTTATTCTCAGTCTGCTGATCTGAGAAGACACAAGAAAAAACATGAAGAACATGGAAACTTAAATATTCACATGAGAACCCTTACAGGAGAGGCGGCGCTGGGCCCCCAAGCCTTTTCTAGGCGCAGTGCTGGACCAAGAAATAGTCTAACTTCAACCCTCAAATAATATGTAGGATATCGCAGTAGGTCGGAAAGTTAGTAGATCAGAAGTTCAGTAGACAATGTATAGACAATGTAACATTACCGAACTGATGAATAAAACCTAAAATGTCAATATTCCTACCTCAGAAATAATGAATGCTTAATCTCTTAAACCTCAATACTCAAAACTTGCTTAATTAAAATGATATAAATGTTATTTTAGTTGACTTTAAGAACAAAGAAATTACAACTTGATGCTACTAAGAATGCTTCAAATACTGTAAAATGTTCAATGCAATGTAAAATCAAATTTCTAGTTTTGATTGTTTTGTGTGCAAAACATTGGAATGTCATATTTTAAAAACAACAAAAAATATGTTTATAAACGCAAAAGATATTTTATTTTTAACAAACGAAATTCAATAGCATGTAATTATGTGCAAATAAGATTTTTATTTTTGATACACTGAAATTTAACTTGTTAATATAAGAAATCAAATTTTTTAATAATGTTAACGGTTTTATTTTCAAAACATTGAAACAGCATCTTTATTTTTACATTTTGTCTTCATAAAAACTATTGAGATTTGCAATTGTTATGTTTAATTTCAGAAAAAAATGTCGTTAGTTGTTGTATCAAGTTTCCTCCAACTTTAAATAGCTAAAATTCCGGTTTCTCCTGTTTAACGGCAACCAAACCTACCCTTCTAAAAAGGTAAATAAGGGATGTTCAAGGATTGTGTTTTCCTGAAGGTTTTTTTTTTTAATTTTTAAGGGATTACATGGCTTCTCCCTAATACGACAACATAGGAATCAAACATGCCCTTCACCATTTCTTAAACCGATCCTCTAAACCCATTTGAATTTTCAATCTTCTTAATAAATTTGTAAATTAAAATATTTATTATTGTTTCAACAAAGTTTATTCTGTGCTGGGAGCTTGAAACCAAGTGTTGAATTATTTTCAAGTGGTCCTCCATTTTTTATGGTATGTTTTCGATTCAAAACCATACCTACCCTCCCTCTATGCTAGAAGAATAAGAATATCTTACTTATCCTTATGAAATATAATTGATATGAATCGGACATGCCATTCAATTAGTCATCTAAAGGGTCACTTTAATTACGTCACTGTTCCTTAAAAAGTAGATTTTGCCACTGTTCCTTTAAAAGTATGTTTTGCCACTGTTCCTTAAAAAGTAGATTTTGCCACTGTTCCTTATAAAGTAGATTTTGCCCCTGTTCCTTATAAAGTAGATTTTGCCACTGTTCCTTATAAAGTAGATTTTGTCATTGTTCCTTAAAAAGTAGATTTTGCCACTGTTCCTTAAAAAGTAGATTTTGCCACTGTTCCTTAAAAAGTAGATTTTGCCACTGTTCCTTAAAAAGTAGATTTTGCCACTGTTCCTTATAAAGTAGATTTTGTCATTGTTCCTTAATAAGTAGATTTTGCCACTGTTCCTTAAAAAGTATATTTAGCCACTGTTCCTTTTAAAGTAGATTACGTCACTGTTTCTTAAAAAGTATATTTTGCCACTGTTCCTTTAAAATTTGATGTTGCCACCTTTCCTTAAAGTAGATTTAGCCACTGTGCCCTCAAAAGTAGATTTTGGATTTTGCCACTGTTCCTTTAAGAGTAGATTTTGCCACTGTTCCTATAAAAGTAGATTTTGCCACTGTTCCTAGAAAAGTAGATTTTGCCACTGTTCCTTTAAAATTAGATTATGCCATTTAACCATTTAAATTTATGTTTACTGTTAACACTGTGTTCAGATATCAATCTTTTAATAAAGGTTTTCTGCAGTGACCTAGATTGAATTTTCTGAAAATGTTTAGTGTGTTAAAACAAATTACACTTTCAGAGAGTGCACGAAAGTCTTTCTGATAGTTGAGATGTTCTGAAAGTGAAAAGAATTTTGGATTGAGCACCTGGTAAAAAGATTTTTTTTATGATTTACCGAAGAGTCTTGTGGAGATTGTTCCAAGTTTAAACACAATATTGCGAATTTTATTACCTTGCATTTTTGTTTTTAAACTTTGAACATTTGACAGAACATTTCTAAAATCATGTCTGGAGAAACGAAACAGAAGAAGACTGTTTCTGGTAATAAGACCTCCATCTGCTCTATTTGTAACAGATCGTTTGCAAGGCCTGAATATATGAAAGCTCACATGAAGACACATACGGGAGAGAAACCATATGCCTGCACTGTATGCGAGAAAACTTTCTCGAAATCTGATCACCTTACTGTACACATGAGATTACATACTGGAGAGAAACCTTATGCTTGCACTGTATGCGAGAAAACTTTCCCCCAATCTGGTAACCTCACTGTACACATGAGAATACATACAGGAGAGAAACCCTACTCATGCTGTGTTTGCAACGCGGCATTTTCCGTAAAATCTCATTTGACGACACACATGCGAACACATACCGGAGAAAAGCCCTACTCTTGCGACATTTGTAAATTATCGTTTGCTGACTCTAGTAGTTTGTCAAAGCACAAAAAAAAACATACAGGAGAAAAGCCACACATTTGTCAAATCTGCAAAAAGGCGTTTGCATTTACAAGCAACTTGAAATCACATATGAGAACTCATACCAATGATGTGAAAAAGCCGCACACTTGTTCTATCTGTGACAAATCATTTACTTTACCTGGTAGTTTAGCCAGGCACATGAGAACACATACTGGAGAGAAACCCTTCTCCTGTTCGGTCTGCAGCAAACCTTTTGCCTCAGAAGCCGGCTTGAAAGTACACATGCTAAGCCATTCTGAAGAAAGAAGGTTTCCTTGTTCAGTTTGTGACGAACAGTTTAAAAACTTGGCTTATCTGAAAAGTCACCTGAGGACGCATACCTTTTTCATGTCTCAGATGTGAGAAATCATTTTCGCGAAAAAGTCACTTGGAGGTTCACATGATGAGTCATGGCGGTTTAAAGCCTTACACCTGTAAAATATGTAAGAAATCGTTTTCTAGTGGATTGACTATTCACATGCGAACTCACACTGGGGAAAGACCTTATCTATTCAAAGCCTTTGTAGCATTAAAAAACTCACATGAGAACACATACAGGAGAGAAACCGTTTGCTTGCTCTGTATGCAACAAAGCTTATTCTCAGTCTGCTGATCTGAAAAGACACATGAAACATGAAGTAGAACAAGAATAAATGTGATCTGACTCTTTAAGTACAATTTGTACCTGTAAACTACCTTATAAAAATTATAATTAAATTATTTACGTTCTCATCGATGAAATGTTTTATTTTCAAACTAAGATGATAGACGCATAGACATGTAAATAGACATGTGTAGAAATATTATGATTTTACTAAAATTTCATTCAAATGTTGTTTTTTGATGTTCCAATTTCTATGTAATGAAAATGAATATATGAAAACATAAAATGTTTATATTTTTATGTAATTCATTGATGTAATAAACTTTAAAAACATCAATTCAAAAATTTAAAAAAATTATATGCTATAACATGTTAAATTGATTAAATGTTGCTTTGTTTTTTTGTTATATTTTGTTTCATTTTCAGTTTAAAGCCGTGTCAATTTTTAACTAAGAAATGTTATATGCTTTAAGTTACTCTTTTAAATGCAATGGGATTTTTCTGTACCGATTTGTTTTTCATTTTAATGTTTTTTTTACATAGGCAAGTTAAAAACCTTTTAGATCCAATATTATGATAGGGTATATGAATGTATATGTTTTTGTCATTTTTTTCCACGCGCTTCAGTGAATCATTTTTATCTCCAACGAAAATATACACTTTTCACACTTTTTTAACATCTTGTGTTGAATATGATTAGGCACATATTCAATTTTAATGTTTAATTTCAGAAAACATGGCATTTGTATTCTGTTCCCTGTAGAAGTAAGATTTAAATACCGGGTTCCACTATTTGACGGCAAGAGTACAAAGGAAAAAGGACGACCTTACAAGTAAGGTAAAACATTTAAAAAATGTTGGTGTTCAGATTGCGTGTGTTTAAAGGGACTGTGAGCGTAATTTCATGTGACCCTCCATGCAAAGATAGCAATCCACAATTTACAGCGTACCCTTTAAACCGTTGACTGATCATAGAGGCCACTCCGTGTGTTAATCTCTCAAATAGTGTTTGAATTTTTGTAAAACGGGAAATACGCTATTGTTACTGTGTGAACTCCACATGCACAGCTGACGTTTTATTTGGACCTCAAAATTACCAATTATTAAACGTCCAAAACAAGTTTCTAGATTTTAAATGTAAATATTTATTTCTGCGACTTTTTACAAGGAAATAATTATTTAAAAGGTTTAAAGGGTACTGTTGTGAATTGGATACGCCATTTTACACATGCAGGATTACTTGACGTAACAGTTATAGCAAATATATTTTTGGGTTATCAGATGTATTATCTTAGCAAAAAATCTACTTTTTTAGGAATTACTGAAGAGTCTTGTGGAGATTGTTCCAAGTTTAAACAACAAATTGTTATATATTGTTCATTGTATTTTAATAATCACATTTAAATTCTAAAATCATGTCCGCGGAAACGGAACAGGATAAGACTTCTTCTGGAAACAAGACCTCTATCTGCTCTATTTGTAAAAAATCACTTTTATCACAAAATATGAGAACACACATGAAAACTCACGCGGGAGTTAAACCATATACCTGTAAAGTCTGCGAGAAAACTTTCTCAAGATCTGAGCACCTTGCAGGACACATGCGAATACATACAGGAGAGAAACCCTTCTCATGCACCGTTTGTGACGCGGCATTTGCGGTAAAATGTAACTTGACAAATCACATGCGAACACATACCGGAGAAAAGCCCTACTCTTGCGACCTATGTAACGTATCATTTGCTGAGTTTAGTAGTTTGTCAAAGCACAAGAAAACCCATACTGGAGAAAAACAACACGCTTGTCAGATCTGCAAAATGGCTTTTGCCGTTGTTGGCAACTTGAATATACATATAAGAACTCATACCAATGATGTGAAAAAGCCGCACACTTGTTCTATCTGTGCCAAATCATATACTACACCTGGTAAGTTAGCCACGCACATGAGAACACACACTGGAGAGAAACCCTTCTCCTGTTTAATCTGCAGCAAAACTTTTGTCTCAGAAGCCGTCTTAAAAGTACACATGCTAAGCCATTCTGAAGAAAGGAGGTTTCCTTGTACAATTTGTGGAAAAATTTTTAAACAACCAGCTTATTTAAAAAAACACACGATGACGCACACAGGAGAGAAACCCTTCTCGTGTTTGAAATGTGAAAACTCATTTTCGCGTTTAAGTCATTTGAAGGGTCACATGAGAAGTCATGACGGTATAAAGCCTTACACCTGTGGAATATGCAAGAAATCGTTTTCTAATCCATTGACTTTGCACATGCGAATCCATACTGGGGAGAGGCCTTTTCCTTGCTCAGTGTGTAACAAAGCATTCAAAGACTCTGGAAACTTACATATTCACATGAGAACCCATACAGGAGAGAAACCATTCTCTTGCTCTGTATGCAACGAGTCTTTCTCTCAGACTTCTAATTTGACTAGGCACATGAAGAAACACAAAGAAGACTATGAAGAAATGTGAACCGACTAGAGTGTATTTTTAGACCTACGCCGATCTACTTTATTACACCTCTGACATACACACATCTGCTATAGACCACCTCTGACATATACTCATTTGCTGTAGACCACCTCTGACATACACACATCTGCTAAAGACCACCTCTGACATACACACATCTGCTATAGACCACCTCTGACATACACACATCTGCTATAGACCACCTCTGACATACACACATCTGCTATAGACCACCTCTGACATACACACATCTGCTATAGACCACCTCTGACATACACACATCTGCTATAGACCACCTCTGACATACACACATCTGCTATAGACCACCTCTGACATACACACATCTGCTATAGACCACCTCTGACATACACACATCTGCTATAGACCACCTCTGACATACACACATCTGCTATAGACCACCTCTGACATACACACATCTGCTATAGACCACCTCTGACATACGCCCATCTGCTATATTACACCTCTGACATACACACATCTGCTATAGACCACCTCTGACATACAAACATCTGCTATAGACCACCTCTGACATACGCCCATCTGCTATATTACACCTCTGACATACACACATCTGCTATATTACACCTCTGACCAACTCGCAGCTGCTATTTGGACATGTTGCTGCAGCCCCGGCCTGCCTTAGCCGAGGCGCTGGGCCCCGGCAAGCCTGTTCTAGGCGCAGTGTTAGACCAAGAAATAGTCTAACTTCAACCCTCAAGTAATATGAATGACATTGCAGTAGGTCGGAAAGTTAGTAGAGGGGATGTTGCGTATAGACGATGTAACATTACCGATCTGATGAATAAAACCTAAAATGTCAAAATCCCTACCTCATAAATAATGAATGCTTAATCTCTTAAACCTTAATACTCAAAACTTGATCAATAAAATGTTATAATGTTTTTAATATTTTTTTATTTTAGTAAATGTTGACTTTGAGAACAAAGAAATGACAACGTTATGCTACTAATACGAAAGCCTTTCAAATATTCTAAAATGTTCAATGCAATGTAAAATCAAATTTCTAATTTTAATTGTTTTATGTACAAAATATTGGAATTAATGTCATATTTTGAAAACAAAAAAAACATGTTTATAAACGCAAAAAATATTATATTTTTATTAAACGCAATTCAATAGCATGTAATTATGTGCAAATAAGATTTTTATATTTGATACACTGAAATTTAACTTCTCAATATAAGAAAATATTATCTTTTTTTAACGTTTTTAATATTTTTTTATTTTAGTAAATGTTGAATTTAAAGGGAGTGTTCGCGAAAAATGAAAGGGGGTATAGGCTGAATGCGATAAATAAGCGCTTTTGATCGCTAATAATCTTACTCCTATCTGTTGCGTCTATAAGGAGAAAATTATTAAAGACGTCTCATACCGAATAACTTAGCGCCCATACAAATTGAGAAAATTGCAACATATGACTTAGACCGTAAAAAATCCATTTAATTTCAAACAAATCATTCAAATATTACAACCTATAGTCATCGATTATCTTTCGCCACATTCGTATATAGTTTTTATTTTATAATATGTTTTAATTAATTCGTTTTGGATTTGATTATTTCTCTTGTCACTTGCGCAACTATCTAGGAATGCCGCGCACCACTCACATTTTTCGAAATCCGTTAAAACGTTTTCTAAAAAAATAAAATATAAAATATAAACTATATACAAATGTGACGAAAGATAATCGATGACTATAGGTTGTACTATCTGAATGATATGTTTGAAATTAAATTGATTTTTTACGGTCTAAGTTGTATGTTGCAATTTTCTGAATTTGTATGGCCGCTAAGTTATTCGTTATGAAACGTCTTTAACAATTTTCTCCTTATAGACGCAACAGATAGAAGTAAAATTAGTAGCGATCAAAAGCGCTTTTTAATCGCATTAAGCCTATACCCCCTTTCATTTTTCGCAAACACTCCCTTTAAGAACAAAGAAATGACAACTTTATGCAACTAATACGAAAGCCTTAATGAATGCCTCAAATACTGTAAAATGTTCAATGCAATGTAAAATCAAATTTCTAGTTTTGATTGTTTTTATGTACAAAACATTGGAATGTCATATTTTGAAAACAAAAAAAACATGTTTATAAACGCAAAAAATATTACTTTTTTAACAAACGAAATTCAATAGCATGTAATTATGTGCAAGTAAGATTTTTATTTTTGATACACTGAAATTTAACTTGTTAATATAAGAAAATATTATCTTTTTATTTTTGTACAAACAATTGTCATTTTTTGATATAAAAATGTAAAATGAGATGCTTTATTTTCAACACAACGCCTCAAATACTGTAAAATGTTTAATGCAATGCATAGTTTTGATTGTTTTATGTTCAAAACATTGAAATGTCATATTTTGAGTACACCGAAATATTATATTTGAACGCAAAGAATATTATATTTTTATCACAATGCAATGGCATGTAATTATTTGTAAATAAGCTTTTTTAATTTTGTTACGCTCAAGTGTAATTCTCTAATGCAAGAAAATGTTACTTTTGTTATCTTTCGCCTCATTTGTATACAGTTGATTTTTCATAATATGTTTAGATTTTATTTTTTAAAATAATATTTAGCTTACAACTTGTTTTCGAACATTCCTGGAAAATATGAAAATGTCGTCTTTATTACCAAAAATCCTCGAAACAGGAATAACTGTTTTTATAAGTAACTCTCAGATCATAACAATTAAAACATATTATGAAAAATCAACCATATATATAAATGTGTCGAAAGATAATCGATGACTATAGGTTGTAATATCTGAATGATTTGTTTGAAATTAAATAGATTTTTTTACGGTCTAAGTCGTATGTTGCATCTTTCTGAATTTGTATGGACACTACGTTCTTAGGTATTAGTCGTTTTTAACAATTTTCTCCTTATAGACGCAACAGATAGAAGTAAGATTAGTAGCGATCAAAAGCGCTTATTTATCGCATTAAGCTTATACCCCCTTTCATTTTTCGCAAACACTCCCTTTAAGATGCGTTATTTTCAAAGTAATGTGATTTTAATTTTTTATTAAATACTTTTAATACAAAAAAGCTTAATTGACTTATTAGATTTTTTTTATGCTGCTAAAATTTATGTTCTGAATAGTAGTATTCTGTTAATTTATTAGTTCAAAAGATTGAAATGCTACTCGAATGTAAAAATATTATAATTTCACTACTAAAACCAAACTAAATTGATATTTTTAGCGTTAAAGATTTTACATTATTAGTACAATAACATTTTTTATTGTTACTAAAATAATTGTCAAAAGGAAAAGATTTCATCTAAAAAAATAGAACATTTTAAATACTCAGAAATTCTAATACAGGTGTATGAAGTGCAGAGGACAGTATTTTGTATTTCTTTGTGCCTTTTGTATTTTTGTAATGTAATTGTAAACTGACAGATGACATTTTTAAATCAAAATTAAAACTTTATTTATTACTTTTATGTTGTATAAATAATTTGTTTTACCCATTTTATTCTACGTAAGAAAAGAAGAAAGTTTTTATATAAATAGAAAAAGATAATAAAATAAAATAATGACCTAAATCTTTGACTACTGTAAATAATAAACATAACTTTTTAAATATTTTTTTTTTCAGAATTAAGATGGCAGGGTCCAGCCAGTGCACAGAAAGGCTGTTGTTATACACAGATCTACAGGGACACAAAGAAACTATATTTTTTCTTTATTTTATCTTCAAGGAATGTTTTCAGGGACTGTGAGCGTAATTTCAAGTGACCCTCAATGAAAATATTACAATTCCCGATTTTGAACGGTACCCTTGAAACATTAATCTGATTAAACATGGAAGATTCCGTCGTTGTTCTGTTAGATTCTGATTAAATTTCTCCTTACATCTAATTTGCAAGAAATGCGGCAAGTTTCATGCGCAGAGAAACCACAAATGAAAAAAAAACATTTTAAAGAAACAAAAACATGGATATCTAATTAGTATTGGAGTAGCCAAAGCTTTTGAGGGTATCGATGTAAATCGGACATTATCATCTTTACATCAAGGGTTATTTAAATTACGCTTTCAGTCCGTTTCAGTCAGTTCTAAAGAATTGCATTTTTATTTTCTATCACTTCAAACTAAAGTAAACTGCACCTAACATTGAAATCTAATGTTTTCTATTATATCTCCTCATTTTGAGCTTTTGATAAGAACAAAAATACTATCTATTTCTAATATGAAACCGGATTAAATAGCTTTACTTCAGCGTAAAATCAAAACTAATCTAAAACAAATTCAGGCTGTAGATACAGGCCACTGTAGTTGGGGCTTCGCGTCCTCGGCTACTACCACTCTGGCTTATGTCATGCTAACTCTGTGATCCATGCACTCCCGAAGGAGGCAGAGGGTTGCCGGGAGGGGTGATTACCTGATAACATTCGTGTTATTAGGGAGTCATAATAGATAGATAGTAGCTACGAGATTACTATGTCGCACCAGGCATGTCTCATGAATTTAACCTTCTCCTTCTGATATTATCATTTAGTTCACAATATTAGACCTTCTCCTTCTGATATTATCATTTAGTTCACAATATTAGACCTTCTCCTTCTGATATNCATTCAGTTCAAAATATTTTTGAGGCTGGTCTTATTTACAGAATTAGCAAGGATTAGTAGTTCTATTTGATATTTCACCAGCGGAAGGAATTACATTCAAATTATTGTTTCAAATCAGTGGATATTGATTATTTAGCAATTTGTTGTGTAATATCAGAGTATAGAACCAGTTACTGATGATAAAAGAATATTAAAGCATATAATGATTGATATTCTCAATCTGAGGAATGGAATGGAAGATAACCTACTCCTAATCCAACAAATCAACCTGATGATACAGAATGAAGGAGAGGAGCTGAAGGGGTTTAATGATATAATCCATGCTGCCCAGCAACATATTAAATCCGTCAACTCTGTTTATACACTGGGATTATCTTGGCTTAAAGATGAGACTGCTTTTGCACTTAGTATTATTGAAGGTAAAATTACAACCATATTTTTTGTTTTTAATTTTTTTGAGACGTGGTAATAGCAGAATAAATTTCGGGCCATAATTGGTAGACCAAAATTACTTATTTATAAACTTATTAATTTTCTGAACCTTATATTTTCGCAACCTGATGTAGTTGATCTTTGAAATTTTAAACTTTGAATTCAGTCAGATTAAATAGTTTGAAATACAGGGCCGTATATTTTTTAGAATTCGGGGGGTAACGGTTTTGGATTATTTTGGGGGAAAACAATTAAAAAATTGAACATCCCAAGGCAAGATTTTTGATTCTTTTAAAACTTTTTCCAAAAAAATCATATGTTTTTCCAGTTTAGCGAAAAAAATGGCGGTCCGCGCAAACATAAATATATAACTTCGGGGGGGAAAAATGGATTTTAAAAGGGGGGAATGATTTTTTTTTCGAGAAAATATACACCCCTGTTGAAATATCTAGGTGTAGTTTTATTTTTTAAGATATTTCTTACAGGCCCTAATAGCTGTTCTACCGTACAGAAAATGGAAGATTGTGATGACGACACTTCCAACAGAATGGATGATTGTGATGATATAAAAATAGAAATGGAAGAGAATACTGTTCCTGTAGATCCTGCAGAGATACTCAAACTTGACACCAAGAAGGAACAGGGAATGTTTGAGGAAAAATCAGGTAATTAAGACAGATTTTTGGACTTTTTCTAGCGTTTTGATTTGTAGGTCAGGTATAAATTAATTTGACAGATTTGTTTAAAGTTATAGATTTTACCTCTTTATTGGTAGATTTCCTTAAAAACATTTGAGGTTTTTACTTTAAAAAGTCACGGTTTTACTTCAAATAATAAATATTTCGATGTGAGGAACCGTACACCAAGTATAAAACCGTAAAATGAAAGTTTCTCAGTTATTTGATTTACCAGCTCCTAAGTACCGGTTCTTAAATAAAGATCTAATGGAATCGTAGTGAATCCTAGACGGTAATAAGTTAAACGCAAAATTACGCTCTAAATCTCGTGAAATGGTTGACATTCTAATATTGATTTATAAAAAGTTCTTTAACAAAGTTTTTGTTTAGATAAAAAGAGGGAAAACAGAAGAAATAGAGGCGAAAAAGATTTTGTAAAAACTACAAATTCCGTATTTTCATGCTCCTTATGTGATTATAGAACACGAGTTAAATTCTCGTTGAAGCAGCATGTTTTAGTAAAACATCAGGGCTTTCGATATCCATGTGATCTTTGTGATAAATCATTTGGCGAAGAACATAACCTAAAAAGACACAAGAAAAATGTCCATGAGGGGGTAAAATATCCATGTGACGAATGTCAACATTCTGCTTCAAGTCAAAGTCAGCTAAAGCTACATATAGACAGTTGTCACCGAGGTATTAAATACTCGTGTGATGAATGTGAATTTGTTACAGTTTCAAAACATACAATGAAGAAGCATAGAGTTTTGCAGCACAATGAAACTGATCTAATTGAAGGAGGAAGTATTTATCCCTGTGATTCATGTGAATATGTCACGGGTTGCAAATCTAATTTAAAGATACACATAGAAGCTAGACACATTACGCCTGAACTTATTATGTGTGATCAATGCGATCATATGGCCTCCACTAAAGGTAACTTAAAAGTGCATATTGAAAGCAAACATAACACCACCATTGAATACCTGTGTGATTTATGTGATTACAAAACGTTTAATAAAAATAGTTTTAATGCCCACAAACATAGACATGAAAACTTGTATTTATGTGATCAATGCCCTTACATTGGAAAACTGAAAGCAGAATTGAAAAAGCACAAAAAAGTGAAACATGAAGGAGTGAGATATCCCTGTGATCTATGTAGCCATATGGCACAGAATAGGGTTCATCTGAAGACTCATAAAGAAGCAGTTCATATAGGAATCAAGTATCCTTGTGATCTTTGTGAATTCTCAGCTTCAAATAAAGCTAATTTGAAAGAGCACAAGGCATGCAAACATGACAATACTAAATACCCTTGTGATCAGTGTGGTCATGTTTCGTCAACGCAAGCAGCATTGAAGAAGCACATAAGGAGTAAGCATTTGTAACAAATGTTTATTTTTTCTTGTATCAAAATAAGTTACATTTTTATGTTTTTGGGGGATGAAATAATTGTAGAAAATATTAATATTAATTTAAAAACTGCCAAAATGCATGAATCTTCATATTGTGATTGGCGATTACGATTTAGAACACATGAAAATGACGTGTTATTCAATTTACCGAGAGTTAACACCGCATTTATAGTAAACAAAATCTGTGTTAAAATATCTTGAATGTATGTAGAAAAAAAGTAGAACAGTAGTAGAATATGGAAGGGCTTAGATTAAATTCATTGCTAAAGAAAGCTATGAAAACATTGTTAAACCACTTCTCTATTTTCCGGGTCATGTTGTAAAGACGTTGTAAAGTCTAGTATGCGAAATTGTACTGCTTGTCGCTATTCATTAAATTCTGTCTTACCACCAGCCACGTGCCCAATTTTTACCATTTTAGACAAAATTTTATTTGTTGTGGTTTCAATAGCTCTGAAATATACGCGACGCAAGTAACACACCTGTGTATCTGCTCCGGTCTGAGTGGTCCTCCTAGTCCCGTCCAGGCAAGGGTCGCCTGGCTACGTCTAGGGAAGGAACAGAGAAGGAGGAAAGGAGTAGATGAACCGCCTGGTCTGTCTTGGACTGCAGGAGAACGAGAACGCTCAGGATCGGTATCCAGGAGATCGAGAGAGAAAGATGGATCCACAATCCGGAATCCAGGAATCAATTCAATAATAACACAGGAAGGCCTTTAGGATCTTCTTGGCATTTATCTGGAATACAAACACCACTATAGATATGACACAAGAAAGGACAAGAGACATGGACAATACAAAGATCACAATTTAAAGACATATAGTGGTGCCATCCTGGAGGGTTGGAGGAGATGAGACAGCAGCCGTGAGTAGAACCTAGATAAGGTTCTATGAGTGGGGTGGCGCGATTAAGTGAAAATCGTGACAATAGAGTAAATAATTAAACAAGTTTTTTGTTTAATCTTATGAAATGAATTAGTAAAAAACTAGTATCTGCTTTTTTCTCTTAAATTAACATCTTGGTCCAGGTCCAGTATTTTTTACTGAAAAATATGTGAAATATGCGATGAAATTAGTTTTTTTCACATAAATCTATTGTAAATTTTAAAACATGTGTTCCGAGGCAAAATCACAAATCAATATGTTGTTACAATCTTTATTATTCTTCTTATCTTATTTTCCCTCCTTATCATGTTCTGGCCAATTTTGAATAATATGTATTTTGTTAAAAATCTTTTTTATGAAATTTACACTATTACAGACTAGAATGGAATCCTGTGTTTTAGTTTCTGATCGAAACAGAATCTACAAGGAACTGCAGGATCGCTTAAAAATAACTTGTACCATTTGAATTTTCGTGTTCTTGATCGCTTCCTTAAATCCGCACTCTTTCACTCGTAAATCGGCAATTTTATCAAGTTTTATTTTTTTGTTCCGTAGTTACTGATGATAAACGAGTATTAAATCAGATAATGATTGATATTCTCAACCTGAGGAATGGTATGGAAGATAACCTACTCCTAATCCAACAAATCAACCTGATGATACAGAAGGAAGGAGAGGAGCTTAAAGGGTTTAATGATGTGATCCATGCTGCCCAGCAACATATTGAATCCATCAACTCAGTTTACACACTTGGACTTTCTTGGTTAACAGGCCACACTGATTCTTTTATTTTTGGTAAAATATTATTTAATAATAATAAGAGACAAGGATAAGATCAAATATCTTAAATCTTTGTCAACGTTGAGAACGATTTTATTTTCCTCCTTTACTGTTCAGCCTTAGACGCTTAAAGGGACTGGTCTTTAATTTCAGGAGAACCTCCATTTAAAGTTGCTTGTTCGATTCACAACGGTACCCTTGTCTTATCATTCTTTTTCCTTCTTTTTCCTTTTTTAAGGCGCTAAGATTTTAAAAGTTTATGCAGTTTTATATCAAGACCAGTTTCAGAATATTAGCGCCTTTCCTATACTCAACGTATTTTAAAATATATGATATTTATTTGAAATATTTAACTAAATGTTTATTTTTCTGAAACTTTTAGGAAACAGGAGCAAAGAAGAAATGAAAATCGAAGGTCATGGAGGTGCTACTAATAGATTGGAAGAAATTGAACAAGCTGCTAATAGATTGGAAGATAAACAAGATTTTAAAAAGAGATTGGAGAATTTCAAAGATGTTACTGACATATTGAATGATTGTGACGATGTTACTAATAGATTAGAAAATTGCGGAGATGTTACTGACAGTTTGAATGATTGCGACGATGTTACTGACAGATTGAATGATTGCGACGATGTTACTGACAGATTAAATGATTGCGACGATGTTACTGACAGATTGAATGATTGCGACGATGTTACGGACAGATTGAATGATTACGAAGATGTTCCTAGTAGTTTGGATTATTTTGATATTATAAAAATAGAAATTGAAGAGATTACGTTCCCTGTGGATCCGATAATTAAAGAAGACACTGAGGAGGAGAAGGGGTTATAGTGGATGTAAAATCAGGTAAATTATACTTTTATCATGGCCAAATACAAATATATATTTATATACAGGGTGTCCCACGAAACATGACAGTATGCAGGACGACTTGAATGTCGTCTTGATTTTTGATATAATTTGCTGCGTTTATTTGTCAACCTAATTTTAGAAGTACATTTCTAGAGATAATAATCACAAAATTTCCCTTGTCCTGCCATTTCCAAAATGTGGTCTGCCTTTTTTGTGCTTTCAATATTGCCCGAGATGTGAAGAATTTCGTTCAGATTTCGACAATTTTGCTTTTATTTAACAAAATTGAAATCTGAACCAAACTCTTTATATCTCCAGTAATATTGAAAGCACAAAAAACGCAGACCACTTTTTGGAAATGCCAGGGCTAGGAGAATTATGTGATAATTGTTTCAAGAATCATACATGTTAAAGTTGATAGAAGACTAAATGTCACAAATAAATTCAAATACCAAAGACGACTTTCAAGTCGTCTTGCTATTGTCATGTTTCGTGGGACACCCTGTATCTTAGTTGAGAGTATTTAAAGGGTTTTTTTATAATAAAGTAATCAAAGAATTTTTGAAACCACAGAAAAATATATTATTTTTAATGCGTAAGATGTTTAAGTCAGGTTGCCCGATTTTTTTATTTGCGTTTAAATATATCTGAATCTGTCCAGTAACTGCCGTTGTTAATGTCAGCACAATAGGATAGTGTTTTCATGTTTTAGGAAAAACAACCCGAGATGGAAGAAAAAGAAGCGAAAGAGGAAAATTAGGAAAATCTAGAAGTTCCGTATATTTGTGTAACTTATGTGATTACAAAACACAACGTAATCACTATTTCAAACAGCATGCATTAGTCAAACATGAGGGCTTCCGATATTCATGTGATCTTTGTGATAAATCTTTTGGGGACGAAAATAATCTGAAAAGGCACAAGAAAAATGTTCATGATGGAGTAAAATATCCATGTAATGAATGTCAACATTTTGCATCTAGTCAAAGTCAGCTAAAGCTACACTTAGACAGTTTTCACCGAGGTATTGAATACTTCTGTGATGAATGTGAATTTGTAACAGCTTTCAAACATACGATGAAAATGCACAAAGTTTCACAGCACAATGAAACTGATCTAATTGTAGGAGGAATTATTTACCCCTGTGATATTTGTGATTATGTGACAGGAAGTAAAGTAAATTTAAGAATACATATTGAGACTAAACATCGAAAAAATTCAAGTCAATAAAACAAGACTCCTACAATGTGTGATCAATGCGACCAAATTGCCTCTTGCAAGGGGAATTTAAATATACACATTAAAGGCAAGCACAATATTACAATTGAATATTCTTGTGATTTCTGTGATTATAAAAGCTTGAGTAAATATAGTTATTCTCAACATATACACAGACATGAAAACCTCAATCTATGTGATGAATGCCCCTACACAGGGAAACGAAAGACTGAGTTGAATTATCACAAAAAAGTGAAACATGAAGGAGTGAGATATCCCTGTGATCTATGCAACCATATGGCGCAAAATAGGGTTCACTTGAAAAGACATAATGAAGAAGTTCACACAGGAATTAAATATCCATGTGACCTTTGTGAGTTTTCAGCTTCGAATAAAGCAAATTTAAAGGAGCATAAGGCTTGCAAACATGAAAATGAAAGATACCCTTGTGATCAGTGTGGTCATATTTCGTCAACGTAAACAGCTCTAAGAAAGCATATAAAGAGCAAGCACGTTTAGTTGGTGCTTATCTTACAACATTACAGAAGAAATTCGTGAAAATATTTTTTTAAGACGGCTTGATTAATCCGTCATGGGAAATTAAGATCGCAAAAGATTTGTTGGCCTATAACATGTTGCGATTAACATATTATTCTTTTCTAAAATCGGAAATGTTTTGTTTAATGTTTCAGACAAAAATGGGTTCGTCAGTTTCTGATCGACTTAAACATTTCTCAGAACTTGAGGAACACATTAATTAACTCTAGATTATGTTTTCCAAATTATCAAAAAAAATTTTGGCTCGTCCGATAATCCGCAAACTTCAATTAAGGGAATCAGCAAATTTTAGTAAGTTAATTTTAGTTAATTTTTGGTCTGTAGAGTATAGAAGCAGTTTTAGATGATAAAAGAATATTGAAACGTATAATGATTGATATTTTCAACCTGAGGAATGGAATGGAAGATAACTTACTCCTAATCCAACAAATCAACCTGATGATACAGAAGGAAGGAGAGGAGCTGAAGGGGTTAAATGATGTTATCCATGCTGCCCAGCAACATATCGACTCCATATATTCTATTTTTAGACTGGGAGTATCCTGGCTTAAAGATGGTATTGATCTAAATTTAATTCAAGGTAAAATATTCAAAATTAAACTTAATTTCCACCATAAATACTACAAATCGGATTTAAGCAAATTTGTATCATAGGTTTAATTTTTAATTTTTTCTAGTCAAATGCAAAGTTTGCAAAATCAGTTCAAATTATTGCAAAATATTAAGACTAGGCACGTACTAGGCATGGCTTAGCTCAAATCAGCAACTCAACCATCATCTTATTAATTTGGAATACATGATTCAAAATTAAATGTTTTAAAGAAAGTATAACTCATTTATAATCTTTCAGAATTTTAAAAATCTACATCAAAACAAAGATTAGCTGGTTTATTATAATAATGGTAGGAATATAGGTGAAGTAAGTGATGATATAAGCATTTAGAGTAATAAATGGGAAATCAATTAAACAAATTTTATTCAACAACAAAAATTCATGATTTAATAGTCTCAAATGATTTAGACATTGAAAGCAGCGAAAAGATGAAAACTGTAAATGTTGAAGATACTCCTGACAGTTTGGATGATTGTGATGACGACACTTCTAACAGAATGGATGATTGTGATGATGTAAAAATAGAAATGGAAGAGAATACTGTTCCTGTAGATCCTGCAGAGATACTAAAACATGACACCAAGGAGGAACAGGGGTTAGTTGAGGATAAATCAGGTAATCAAGGCCCATCATAAGTGATTCTTATGTCTAATATCTAGAATCAAGATCATTTCATCTCTGTTAAGGATTTCCATTATTACCGCTTTCAGATTATTATCATACTTCAGCTCTGAACAAAAGTCTATTTATATTTAAGTACTTCGCGCCAAATGTAAGTGTTATAAAAAGTAATTTTTTAAAAACTTTTTTAACTTTTTAAGGTTTTCCATTTAAGAAACCTTTGATAAATTTACTATAATTTTGAACCGATAAACTGTGCTGACATTTTATTTAACGAAATTAAGCATGAGCTATGCACGCAGGGTAAAGTGTGCAAAAGTTTTATAAAAATTGTATCAATTTATGATATTTTAGATAACCTGGCAAGTTGTATTAGAAAAGAAATGAAGAATCTGAACGGAAATATTAATTTTGAGAACGAAAGTGGGGTATTCACCTGCATTTTCTGTGATTATAAAACAGCCCGTAAAAGCTCTTTAAAAAAGCACATTGTAGTGAAGCATCAAGGTTTCCGATATCCATGTGATACATGCGGGAAATCATTTGGTGAGGAAGGAAATCTAAGAAGACACATTAAGAACGTGCATGAAGGTACAAGGTACTATTGTGATGTTTGCCAATATTCTGCTTCCAGTCAGAGTAACTTAAAAATGCACCAGGATGAGGTTCACAGAGGAATAAAATTTCTCTGTGATAAATGTGATTATGAAGCTGGGAACAAGCGTCTGCTGAGAATACACATGGAGAATAATCATATGGATATTAACTGTGATCTGTGCAGCTATATAGCATCTTCTAAAACCAACTACAAGACTCATTTAGAAACCATTCATAATACAAGACTGAAAACAAAATTAAAACAGACTTCTGAACTTCAGTTTTCATGTAATTTATGTGAATATGTGACACACAGTAAAGCTGGATTGAAACTTCACATTCAACGACATGAAAGCCAATTTTTATGTGATCAGTGCCCTTATATAGGAAAACTGAAGTCAGAATTGAATAACCACAGGAAAGTGAAACATGAAGGATTAAGGTTTCCGTGTGATCTGTGCAAGCATACTGCGCTTAGCAAGGTTCACTTAAAAACTCATAAAGAAGCTGTTCATATAGGAATCAAGTATCCCTGTGACCTCTGTGATTTTTCCGCCTCAAATAAAGCAAATTTGAAAGAGCACAAAGCCTGCAAGCATGATGAAACAAAATATCCATGTGATCAATGTGGTCATGTAGCATCTTCACAAACTGGACTCAGAAAACATAGAAGAAGTAAGCATGAGCTTACAAACTAATTATGAAGATTGTCTAACATTTTATGTTAAAAAGTACATTTTTCTTTCAGAGGACCTAAACATTACTGTCCAGAAAAAACCGGACAGATCATTATTACTATTGTTATTATTGTTATTGTTATTGTTATATTAGGTACTTTCCCAAAGGCTTTTTCCCAAGTGGCAACTTCCTAACTTTGTGATTTCGCTAGCGCAAACTTCCTAGGTCTGTCCTAGCCGCAGTGCTCGGCCCCTAGTCCATCTTAGCCGCAGCTACCCGCCCCAATTGCAGTTAGTGGCGCTAAAGATGGCTAAACCTATCCTTTGGGAATTTTCACATTTGAGAAGTCGCCCATGGGAAAATACCTAACACCGTTATTAATCTTTATTAATTTAACTTAATTAAATTTCAGAATTGCAATGGATAAGTTTGATCAAAATTCTGACCGATTAAAGCTTATAACGGATTTGCAGGAACACATCATAATACTTTTAAAAATTTGAAATATTTATTGAACCATCATTTTTCTGTATTTTTTTATACAATTTTAGTAAAACGCCATAATAAGCAATTAGAAAAGGTTTTGTTTAATACTATGATGTGTTCTTAGAGTATAGATGCTGTTACTGATGATAAACAATTATTAAAGCATATATTGATTGATATTCTCAACCTGAGGAATGAAATGGAAGATAACCTACTCCTGATGAATAAACATATTATGAGAACTGAAACCAATATTGATTTAATTAATATATTGTCAACTGCCCAGTATCATATCGATAGAATTAACACAATTTATAAACTGGGAGAATCCTGGCTGAAAGGTGGACCTCACTCTGCTCTCATTTCTATCAAAGGTGAAACATTTAAACGAGGATTGAGACGTTAGAATATCAACGATTTTAAGGCAAATTTTGTTCCTACGAGACAAAAACATACACTTAATGATATTTGATAAATGGTTTCCATAGCTTTGGGGGATAGAATGGAGTTTTAAACTGAAAGCACTTCCCCTCTGTCTAATACTTTCTACCAACAAATATATTTTTCCCTCGAAAATTGCATATTCACCTTTACCTTTTAAATAGTTTAAACTTTTAAACTTTCTAAAATTTAGTCAGTTGGAGAAATAATTTTGCAGAAATTGAATAAACCTCTAAATAGACTTTCTAGATTGTTAATAGTAGCAAGTTCTTTAGTGATCTTGGCTTTTTTTGTTAGTTGATGGTTTGGTTCCTCCAAAGGTTGTGAATGATGCTAAAATTGAACCGGAGGAAGGTGATGCAGATGCTGAGTCTGAGAATGGAACAGATGACGTGAAGAAAACAGCTGCTGTTGAAACTAGTCAAGTGCTTGATCAGAATCTTGTAGAAAAAGAGAAGAAATCAGGTTAATACTTAAAAGAACTTCAGAAGTAAAGATTACCACGTCCTATTCACCAGTGGGGTTTAAACCTATATATAAGTATCTATAAGAAAGATTTTTCCGAAAATACTTTTTAGAGAGCCCGCAGTTAAAAATTAACAATTTTCGAAAGAAAAAGAAATTTATTTCATTCATCCTGTATCAAACAAAGGTTTAAAATTTAATTTTTACTGTTGTGAATCTAACATGCCACTCTTTAAATGGAAGGTCACTTCAAATTGCGTCTACAGTCCTGTTCAAAGATAGATGCATTTCTTGTTTGCTACTGGTTTATTGATCAAAATTATTTTTTTTTATTTTTTTGTGGAAGAAAATACTTGAGTTTACAATTAATAAATTTTACAGTTGATCAGTGTCATCACCGTAACTCTTCCTTCAAAATAAACGTTACCGGGGATAATAAAGCTACAAAATCTATCAAGCAGAAATCGAGAACTACTTATGAAAGAGCTTGGATGAGGTTTCGAAATCACTTTAAATGCTCAGATGAATTTGAAAGTAGAATGCCAACTGAAGAGGAATTTTTATCTTATTTTGGATTTCTGAGAAAGGAAAAACAACATTCTTCTTCATCTCTTTGGACAATATTTAGCATGCTTAACTCAGTGTGTAAGGGAAAATATGAAATACCTCTTCAGACATATCCTAGACTGAGATGCATTATTAAGTCCTACGATGTGGACATCAAGAAGAAGGCTTATACATTCACAAATGAAGAAATTGCGGAATTTGTACAAAATGAATCTCTATCAGGCGCCTACTGGCTTGTGCGGAAAGCAATAGTGATTCTAACCTATTTTGGAGGACTACGACATGCTGAAGTTATGAGTTTGACATTAGAAAATATTTGCTGCGATCCAGAAGGTTTAAATATATTTCATCAACGAGGAAATAAAAAAGCCAGGTAGTTAACCGTATTATATACTTAAAAATATTATTTGTATTGAAACACTTACAAAATTCTTAATTTTAGTTTCTGTGTCCCCAAGGCTTCGACAGAATCAGATATTGACTGGGCATCCTATGTTGAGGTCTATCTGAGAAGATTAAAGGATGATCTTGGAAAATTCACGGGAAGAGTATTTTGGACAGGACTGTTGACAAATATAAAGTTTTGGCACAATTTTCTCTACATGACAATCTTTTTCTTCAAATATTTTATCATAATAAAATTTTTATTTAACAAACATTTTCGCGGACTTTTTACTTAAATTGGGGAATGTTCAATTTTTTATTTAGAAATAAAAGATTAAAAACAACCCGTCTCTACAAATATTGATAAAAATGTATTAATTGCTTGCTTTTCCACATCATTGTCAATTCTCACTCAGGAAGAGGAAATGGTTTTGTAAATCAACCTTTTGGTAAGAACATGGTGACAGAAATATCTCATGAGGTTGCCAAGATCTTGGGTAAACCAAACAAAAGTGATTTTACCTTCAACTCATTCAGAAGATCGTCCACCTCAACTACTCCCGATAGTAGAACTTTAAGTCCTCAGTTCCAGGAGAACTGTAAGTTCAAAATCTAGATTTCTTATTCAGTAGATATAAACAATTTTGATTTGTTCTTTTTGTTCAGCATTCGAAGTTAATTTGATAAATGTTTAGCGGATTATTCTGTTGATTCCAAAATGATGAAGAATGAAGATTCAAGAAGCTTAGAACAGATGGAGACTGATGAAGACATGGTGAAATCTGAAAATATAAAAGTAGAAATCGAAGAGATAGAGGATACCAGCTCTATTGAACCAAGTGATATCTTAGATCAAGAACTCATAGAGGAGGAAGAAGAAGAAGAAGAGAAGAAGCCAGGTAAATAATTTTCTATTATTTAAAATGACACGTATATATTTTAAAACATAATCTTGCTGAAATATTTTAGTGGAATGTTGTCCTCGTCACAATTCTAATGCTTCAATGAACATTATCGGGGATAAAGAAGTTACTGAATCTATCAAACAGAAGTCAAGACTTCTCTATGGTAAAGCCTGGATACGGTTTCGAAATCACTTTAAATGCTCAGATGAATTTGAAAGTAGAATGCCAACTGAAGAGGAATTTTTATCTTATTTTGGATTTCTGAGAAAGGAAAAACAGCATTCTTCTTCATCTCTGTGGACAATATTTAGCATGCTTAACTCAGTGTGTAAGGGAAAATATGGAATACCTCTTCAGACATATCCTAGACTGAGATCTATTATTAAATCCTACGACGTTGATGTTCGAAAGAAAGCTCAGATATTCACAAATGAAGAAATTGCTGAGTTTGTAAGCAATGAATCTTTATCAGGTCCATACTGGCTTGTGCGGAAAGCGCTAGTAGTATTAACTTATTTTGGAGGATTACGACATGCTGAAGTTATGAATTTGTCGCTTGAAAATATTATATCTGATCCAGAGGGTATATTAGTTATCTACCAACGAGGAAATCAACAAGCCAGGTATTAAGAATTTAAATATTTAGAAACTGATAATTCTTTTTTATAAATTACGCTTCACAAAGAATCTTACTATTCCAGTTTCCGAGTGCCGAAGGCCTGGATAGATACAGAAATTGACTGGGCATCCTATGTTGAGGTCTATATGAGAAGATTGAAGGATGATCTGGGAAAATTCACTGGAAGAGTATTTTGGACAGGACGGTTGACAAATATAAAGTTTATTTATACGTTCTTTTCCCTGAATTTTTGTTTTACTAACTTTTTTATTTCTTCTCATTTTTTAAAACTTCTTGTTTAATTCTTCAATTAAGTCAAATATATATTCCTTCAAAAATCTGTAAAATTAATTTTAACTTTAATTTATAGAGTTAAGTGTCGATTTACAATGCGCGGTATCTTAAAAAGATATAGAACCTCTAAAATTCCTTCTTTTTTTCTCCACTACAGAAATCCGCAAGTAATTTTTTTAAAGAGAACCCCAATTGGGGAAAAAATCTTTTTTAGTCCGAGAAAAAGAGTTTATCAATAACTCATAAATATGCTCAGACTAAGTTTAAGGGTACCATTATAAATCGGACATGGAACTAAAAAATACAGGGTTTCTATAAATCTCGTTGACAGACACTTCTACATGCCAGAATACATTTGTTTATCCTGTCAAACTGTTCGTTCAAGTTGTCAATTCTTATCCAGGCAGAGGAAAGGGTTTCGTAAATCTTCCTTTTGGAAAGAATATGGTGAATGAATTATCTCATGAGATCGCCAAAATCTTGGGTAAACCAAACCAAAGTGATTTTACCTTCCACTCCTTCAGAAGATCCTCTACTGTAGCATCCATTGATACTGGAACTTCAGGTTTACTGTGCCATGGGACTGGGAAAGCAGGAAGATCTAACTCTCTAGATACAGATATAAAGCTAGAAGCTGATCCTCTTCAAATAGAATCAACAATTTAATCTTTAAGTCTTCATTTAGAGATAAGGACAAAATTAAACTTGTTTTATACAAATGCTCTTTTGGTTAGAATCTTAATATTTTTTAAATGCTAATAAAAACAAGAGTTTAAAATGGTCTCTGTTTAATACTCACAGATTGTCTGGCATCCTTTTCGTACTTCCTGGAATTAAACCAAATTGTTATTATTGTGATTTTATGTTGTGATCTCATTTTGTGATATTTAGTGCATTAAGGAATGCGGATGATGTCTTAACCTTTTGTTTGACTCCTTCCAAATTCCCAATAAATCAGTTTAATTGTTAATGAATAAATTTGTGTCTCTTACAGAATAATGACTACTGACTCTTGTCCAGGTTCCAGTAGAGTAAAGATGATCTGTGATCTTCAGGAAAACACAAATTATTCAAACAAAAGACAGTTAACTAAGAGAGACTCAGGGGTGGATAATTTTAAGGATCTGACGTAAATTAAAACAGAAATTGGACCTCAAAAGGCAAGGTTTTAAATCCTTTATGATACTTTTTATTCAAAAATTTGATTAGTTTACCCGAAATATCAATTATTTTCCCAAATAAAAACCCTTGAAAAAAAAATTTTCCCCGCCGTTAACATGCCTAACTTCTTGGGGAAATAAAGGATTTTCAAATGGGGGAACGATTTTCAAGAAATTATACACCCCTGCAGAGACTTTGAAAATTAAAAATAAAATGCGTATTTAATTTTAAAGGAATGTTTAATTCCCTGAACAAAAATGTCATTTAAATTACCAAATTAGAATTCAGGAATTCCACGACAAATTCTGAAAACTAAAAAAACATTTTCTTAATCTTGTTTGTGTTGCTAAGAGATTAGAAGCAGTTACTGATGATAAAAGAATATTAAAACATATAATGATTGATATTCTCAACCTGAGGAATGGAATGGAAAATAATCTACTCCTAATCCAACAAATCCACCTGATGATACAGAAGGAAGGAGAGGAGCTGAAGGGGTTTAATGATATCATCCATGCTGCCCAGCAACATATTGACTCCATAAGCACATTATATACACTGGGTGTATCCTGGCTCAAGGGTGAAACTGATTTTGCTCTAAGCTTTGTTCAAGGTAGAACTAAAATATTTGAACAGATAAGATTATGTCACTTTCTACAAGTAACGCGCAAACATTCTGAAATGCAAAAATGTTCAATTTTATAACATTATTAAGAAATATTCTATTATTAAGATCCAAAATGTTCTATTATTAAGATTAATTTTAAAAAATACTTTAAGTTGTTGTTGATGAAGAGAGTCTAGAACCTGATAATTTCTCTGAGGACCAGGATTTATCTGTTCATGAGAATATTGGAGATATTGAAGATATAAAAATTGAAATGGAAGAGCTGGAGAATACAGTTAATAAAGATTTAGAAGATATCAAGGAAGAAGCTGAAATCACTGGACTGAAGCAAGGTCAATTTCTTTATTTTTTTATTTAAAAAAAATTAAACTTAGAATGAATTTAAAAGTGAACTCTGAACATGCTGATAATATTTGGTTTGTTTCCAAAATTTAAGTATAGAGTATTTTTTTCAATTTGAATTTGGTTTTTGAACTCATGGTACTTACTTCCGGTACTTACTTTTATTCTCTAAAAAGAATGAATTTTATTTTTAGAGATGTTAGTTAAAGACAGCAAAATAAAAAGAACAACTCGACGTAAAGACAAAAACAACAAAATTCGTAATTTTTCCTGTGATTTATGTGATTACGTGACCAGTAAGAAAATACGTCTGGCAGATCATAAGCTGGTGAAACATCAAGGTCATCGATACTTTTGTGATCAATGTGAAAGCTCTTTTACGGATAATCGTAATCTGAGAAGACACTTGAAAGATCTCCATGAGGGACAGAAATATCATTGTACTGAATGTGACTATTTTGCTACCAGTCAGACACAGTTGAAGCATCATAAAGACTCTGTACATTTAGGATTGCAGTATCCTTGTGATAGTTGTGAATATGTTTCAAACTCTAAATATAATTTGAGAAAGCATAAGATAACACAGCATTCACAAGGAGAAGGAAGTTTAAGTAATGAAGAAAGACCAAAGATCCCAAGAAGCAGGAGACGAAATGAAAATGTGTCAGGAGGGATTCAATATTCATGTGATCAATGTGATTCTGTTTCCTTTAGTAAGGTTAGCATGAAATTACACAAACAGCGACATGTTAACCAATTCTTGTGCGATCAGTGTCCATATATTTCTAAAACAAAATCTGATTTAAAGAAACACAAGTTGGTGAAACATGAAGGATTGGGGTTTCCCTGTGATTTGTGTAAATATGTCGGGCAGGATAAAGTGCATCTGAGACTGCACAAAGAGGCAGTACACATGGGTATTAAATACCAATGTGACCAATGTGAGTTTGCAGCATCCACAAATGGAAATTTGAGAGAACACATTGCCTGTAAGCATGATGATACTAACTATCCCTGTGATCATTGTGGACATGTATCAACTACACTTAATGCAAAGAAGAAGCACATGAAGAGTAAACATCCTCTTGTTGCATAGCTTTAAATATACTTCAAAAGAAATCCAGAAAAATTCTTGTTATTTGATTTAAAGTATTTATTGTAGAAATTTATAATTTATTGCTTTTTTAATTTGTTTTCTTTCAGAGAGAAGATGTTTCTTTGCTCCAGAGATGAGTTATTGGAAGAAATACAGGACTTTGCCAAATTTTTCCGTTTTCTATTAATCTAGGGTAACATTTTCTTTAACAAATTTGAACAAATAATTGTGTCTCAGTAAACAAGTAAGTATATTCGAAATATTTGCGCAAAATATATGAAGGTTTTTTCGTTAATAGGGGAATTTAAATTTTTTAAATATCTATGGGGGGGGGGGAAATGCCTGTTGAGTTGTGAGTGTTCAATTTTTAAAATACAAAAAATTTTCGATCGTGATTCTCCATAGATGTAACATTTTTTAAACTTATCCAACTTTTAGGCGTTTTATTGCTTATCCAAAATGTACATACCTGGAGAAATGTAGGATCAGGATTTAATGGATCCGCATTATTCTTGGCAAAAAATGTACGATTCCCGGGATCCAAGTGGCAAAATGGCCACTAAAATAATGAAAATATGAATTTTGCTTTCAAAAATACATTTTTTGGCAACAGAGGAGAAAATTTTAAAACCTTCCTGATCTCTCAGTAGTAATTAGTCTCAGCAAAAAATGCGAGAAAAAGTAGGGGGGGGGGGGGAATCCAGAAGTTTTTTACGGAAACAATCTAGGATCCAGTATGATAAAAGATGAAAAAACTTGTCTTTGTCATGTCCCCCCCCCCTTCAGGACAGGAAAGGGGGAGATTAATTCTGTAAGAAATACGCTCCTGAATCATTTGGCATATATGATTAGAGAATCAAGGCTGTAACGGATGATAAACGAATATTAAAGCATATATTGACTGATATTCTCAACCTGAGGAATGGAATGGAAGATAATCTACTCCTAATCCAACAAATCCACCTGATGATACAGAAGGAAGGAAAGGAGCAGAAGGAGTTTAATGATATAATCAATATTGCCCAGCAACAAATTGACTCGATAAGCACATTATATACACTGGGTGTATCCTGGCTCAAGGGTGAAACTGACTTTTCTCTCCATTTTATTCAAGGTTATAAAACAACCTCCCTATTCAAACGTAAGATGAGCTTTGTCCGCAGAAGTATTATAAAATAATTGATTTGTAATAATAGTTAAAAAATCAAAGTAAAAACTGATCTCGTAAATTAAAGGACAAACATGTTTTTTCTTCAGATAGTTCTGCTCACGAAAGCCGGGAAAGGGTCGGAGATGATGCTCTAGATATGGAAGATGATTGTAATGATATAAAGATTGAAATGGAAGAGATTGAGAATATAGTTCCTGTAGATCCTGGTGATATTCTTCAGTCTCGTCTTGAAGAAGAACAAGGCTTGAAGGAAGTAAAGAAAGGTCAGTTTTTTTCTCGAAAATGTTTACCACTAAATTTTCCCTAATATCTCTCTCCCCATCCCCCATCTTATTATTCTTATTATGGGGATATTACGGCTTCTACGGAATAATAGTTGATTGCTTGTTTGTTTTGTTAAGTGAGACTTTGTATACCGGTTTTCTTTATCTAAAGATATCTTTGTTTTACCATTGAAGAAATCAGTGCTTAGGATCCGTTTAATTTTGATGCGGATCCGGATCCGGATCCGGATCCTGGATCCGCACTGGAAAAAAATGGATCCGGATCCAGGTCATTTCTTTAAGATTTACTGAATTTTTTTAACAAAAAAAATTTCAAATTTTTTGTTTTCTTTTTTTCGCATATTTTTATCCTAAAACTTGATGAAGCATTCAGAAATTAGGAAATTTTATAATATCTCTTTTTTTCAAAATTTCTGATTTTGGTTTTAGGAGTAAAACAGTTTTTTTTTTGCAGTTTTTGGTTGATATTTTACCCCTTGGTTCCGGATCCGTGGATCCGCATATTTTTGCGGATACGGATCCAGGAAGCCAAAATGTTGCGGATCCAACGGATCCGGATCCTAAGCACTGGAAGAAATTCGAACTTTTTAAAAAAAAATTCTGAGTAAGGGGTGCGAACTGAAATATTTATATTTCCAAGCTAGTAAACATAAAACCATTTTCTTTATTTCTAGAAAAATTCAATCCCACCAACGACAAGATCTCAATGAACTTGAAAAATTCCAAATTTTCATGCACTAAGTGTGAATATAGGACTCACAACAAATATTATCTACAAAGACATTACAAAAGAATGCATAAAGGGCAAGGACCCTTCAACTGTGACCAGTGTGAAAGAACATTTAGCCAAGAATGTAATCTAACACGACACAAGAAAAACATTCACGAAGGATTCAGATATCACTGTGATCAATGTGACTACTCAGCCTCCACGCAGAGTCTTCTAAAGTTGCACATAGACGGATACCACAAGGGCATTCGTTTTCCATGTGACAGATGTGAGCATGTGGCGACTAATAAACATTCTCTAAATGTTCATAAAATAACAAAACACAAAGAATCTGACATTGTCGATGGTAGCAAAACCTTCTCTTGTGATGAATGTGATTTTGTAGCGAGTACCAAATTTTATTTGAAAATTCACAAAGAAAGTCATCACAAGGAGACGAAAACCTTCAAGTGTGACCATTGTGAGTTTGTCGCACTTCAAAAAAATGATTTAATGAAACACATAGATCATGAGCATAATATCAGTGTTAAATATTCATGTGATAGATGTGAGTTTGTGACATACAGTAAGGGTAGTTTGACAATACACAAACTAAGACACGAAGGTCAGTATTTATGTGATCAATGTCCGTATTTCGGAAGATTAAAAACAGATTTGATAAAACACAAACGAATCAAGCATGAAGGAATATTGTTTCCTTGTGACTTGTGCAAGTATTTAGGTCAAGATCAAATACATTTAAGACTACATAAGGAAGCTGTGCACATGGGTATAAAATATCCCTGTGATTTATGTGAGTTTGCAGCATCAACCAAATCTAATTTGAAAGAGCATAAAGCTTGTAAGCATGATGACACAAAATATCCCTGTGACCAATGTGAACACATTGCAAACACAAAGTATGCATTAAGGAAACACTTTAAGAGTAAGCATATGAAAGTTGTAAATTAATCTTCATCAAAAAGTTAGAATCTTTAAGATTTTCACGTGAAATAATTTTGTGATTAAAAGTTTGTTTGTATGAATCCAATGAACTATTGACATTAATATCAAGATTTAGTTAATTTTCTGTGTATTTTTACCAGTTGTGAGATTTAGGTAATTTCTTTACTGGGAAAAAATAATTTGTTTTCATTCTTTTAATTAAGATGAATTTAGTTTTAAAAGGTCCAGCCTAATGTGTGTAGAATCTTTAAGCGTCTGTTGCTCCTTAACATGTCCTAAGGCTCAGGCTGATAAGCCATAAAGATTTTCAATCTTTCAATTTTTTAAAAATCCCAATTTAAACAAAAATTTATTTCTGTATTTTGAGATATTTGAAATTTTTAAGAAAAATGTTAGATGTTAAGTATTCCTGGGAGGTCTTTCAAACCTTTGAAAAAATGTTCTTTAATCCGGAGAATGGTGATTTCTTTCAATTTATGGACAATTGGAATAACAGGTAGACATTTTGAATTAGACAGGATAAACCATTTCTAACTAATACAATTTACAAAATTCAATTTTGTTCTTGTAAACTTTCCATTTCTTATTAAGGCTCCAAGATGCAATAAAAGCTGGGCTCGAATATCCAAATAATATTCTTGCATTCAAGATAATAAGCTGCTCAAACTTATCTGCGCATGCGCAATCACAAGTTATTGCTGCGTTACAGAAAGAATATAGAGACAACTGTAATATCCTGCACTTAACAATGCACTTGTTGAATAAGGAGACGGCACTTGCTCAAGAATATAATTCTGACCCATTAGAGGTAACATTAACCCAAAAGATATATTTGAATAACTTTTTCGCTAAAATACATTTGAACTTTTTTCATATTCTTGAAAATAAGCTGAGGAACCTAAAAAAGAATTAATTAAATTACTTTCCAATTTTCCTAAAGAAGAATCAAGTTTTTTCTCAAAAGTATTTTAATCTTCAAATTTATGGTCTAAGGTCTAAACTCAAGAATTTCACATTTGGATTGACCTTTAAAAAAATGTAAGGGACTGTGTCGGGGACCAGGTAATAAGTAGTTAAACATTGTTGAATCACATAGACGTGGTTCAAACATTTCTCTTTAACTTATGCCAGTGCACAAGAGAAGTGGATGAACTACAGCATGCAGTTCAACTGCTTCTTGCCATTTATTATATTTTTTACTAGGTTTATTTTCGTATTTAGTTTAGTGCAGTAGTAAGTCCTAAGCCTTAAACTATGTAATTTTCAGGATGATTCCATCATCATAGAAGAAGAAACAATATTATTTGAAGATTTTAATCAAGTTGGCGAGTACAAGGCAACATGTGAGGAAGATGAAGATGTTTATTGTTTAGATGATGACGTGGTTGAGGTGGAAGATGATGATCAAATAAGTTGTTTGAACGAAAAAGATAATCTTGAGGAAAAAGGAGAGCTTATTTCATCACATAAAGATGTATCCAATACTTCAGATGTTTGGACAAACAAGAACCTAAAATGCTTTGTATGCAAAAAATCATTCCAGTCAGCCTATCGCTTGACAAGACATATGAAAATACATACAGGAGAAAAACCTCATAGTTGCTCCTACTGTGGGAAATCTTTCGGAGAAAGAGACAAGTTATCCAGGCATTTGAGAACTCATCTAGATGCAGAAGATCACTATTTCAAAGTTCATGTCTGTGATGTCTGTGACAAAACGTTTGCAAGGCAAGACAAACTGCAAAGACACTTGATTACTCATACAGAAGAAAAAGTATACTCATGTTCAATCTGTGACAAAACGTTTGCAAGGCATGACAAACTGTCTAGACACATGATTACTCATACAGAAGAAAAAAGGTACTCATGTTCAATCTGTGACAAAATGTTCGCAAGGCATGACAAATTATCTAGACACATGATTACTCATACAGAAGAAAAGAGCTACTCCTGTTCTATCTGTAACAAAACTTTTGCAAGGAAAGACAGACTGTCTAGACACATGAATATTCATACAGAAGAAAAGAGCATCTGTGACAACCCATTCGTAAGACATGAAAAACTGTCAAAACATATAAATATTCTTACAAAATCCAACTGTCAAGTATTATTCAAATGTGTCTTCTCTTACAGTAAGAATGATAAAAAATACAGTGTGTATGTGTAGTTTAACAAAGGTTCAATAGATTATTTTATTTTTTATTTTTTCATTTTTTTTTATATTAATCATTACTTTTCAGGGTAGATTCCAAACCATCTTGATTTTTATTAATGTTACATACTTTCTAAACATTGTATCATGAGCAAGTTATTGTGTTGGAACATTTCATAGGACGACATTTCTAATAATATTTTTAATGAACAGAAATAATTCGTTAAGACTTGAAAGTCGTCTTTGACCTTTGAAACGGTTTGATGCATTCATTTGGCAACCTAATTTTAGATATAATTTTTATTAAACAATAATCACAAAATTACCCGAGATAATAAGAATTTAGCTTATCAAATAAAACCATGAACAAAATCATTCTTATCTCTGTTAACTATGAAAGCACATAAAAAGGCAGACCACATTTTGAAAATGGCAGGGCTAGGTCTATTTTGTGATAATTTTTTCAGAAAATTTTTCTAATATAAACTTGCCAAATTAATGCCGCAAACTATTTCAAATGTCAAAGACGACTATTAAGTGTTCAATCAATTAGTAATTTATTCCGGTTTACTAAAGAAAAGCACTGTGTTTATAAGAAGTATTCCTTGCCTATGAAATTTCTATCGTATAAAATGTCTTGTCTATGAATTGTCCTATCTATGAAATGTCCTGTCTATGAATTGTTCTCTCTATGAATTGTCCTATCTATGAAATGTACTATCTATAAAATGTCCTGTCTGTGAAATGTCCTATCTATGAAATGTCCTGTTTCTAAAATGTCCTGTTTCTGAAGTGTCCTGTCTATGAATTGTCCTATCTATAAAATGTCCTTTCTATGACTTGTCATATCTATGAAATGTTCTGTTTATAAAATGTCAATCTAATAACCAGACAGCTGTGGAATAGTAAGACGACATTAAAGCGCTATACAAGTGCATTTGCATTAATTAGTTTAAACATAAATAGTTTTACTTTTAGCTTAAAAATAATATTTTAGTGAAATGGTCTTAGGACACTACAAATATTGCTGTAAAGTCCATTCTACTATTTAAGATTAAAACTTCATTCTAAAAGTCAACTTCTTAATCCACAGTTGTTGTCGGATAGCTGCAAGATTCTCAATAATGAACAGATAGACAACGGGATAACCCTCAAATCAAAACCGATAATGCAGAGAAACTCTTATTTCCTAAAAAATGGTATGGATAATAACATATAAATTATTACAATGATTTATGAATTTTTATAATGGAAAGATTCTTACGATCTAATCAAGGATCTGGAGGGTTAATTCGTAGCAGAGTCCAGAGACGTTTTTTTAAACTTCTGAAAAGAATGACAATTATTAACGAAAGTCACTAATTCTTTATATGAAAATATTCTTTGCATTACTTTTGAAATGGGTTCACAAAAAATAAAAGTGTTTAAACTCCGTTCCCGGTGAACAAAGAAAATGGGGCTAGAATTATTTGGTTTGGTGTCTCCGAAAGGGGATTTTAAGTTACAGACGATATTACACGGAGGGACGGAGAGATTTTACAGTTAATGGTTGACAACAGTTTTTTAGTTCTCACTGTAATTTAGCCAAATATTATTTATCATGTATTAATTAAAAACTGATTCTTAAATGTAGGTCCGGTAAAGTGATGATGAAAATCCAAAGAATTAAATCTATAGTACTATACCCTCCTTATTTTTGTTTACTCCTTCATATCCCGGAGTAGTAAATGGAGGGTCACATCAGATTTTATTTAACGTCTGCAGTTCTTGTAAATAAAGATTTTCTCATTCAACAAGTTTAATTTTTTGGGGGTAAATTATGATTTTTTTCTCCCTCAAACAACATAAAACTTTACAAACAGATTTTTTGGGGTAACAGAAATTTGGTTGCGTATATTTTGTTTCCCAAAACTCCCCTTGCAGTCTAAAATTTAAAAATCTAAATTAAAAATATATTTTTCACGAGAAACGACGTATTTAATATTTATATCCAGTTCAATGAAATTTAATGAAATTACTTTTTCATCAAAGACTTATTGTCTCATTTATGTTTTCTTTGGCTCACAGAGCACTTTGCATCCCTGTTTCTAGATATAGTATTGTCTGCTGTCCCTGTTTCTAGATATAATATTGTCTGCTGTCCCTGTTTCTAAATATAATATTGTCTGCTGTCCCTGTTTCTAGATATAGTATTGTCTCCTGTCCCTGTTTCTAGATATAATATTGTCTCCTGTCCCTGTTTCTAGATATGATATTGCCTGCTGTCCCTGTTTCTGGATATAATATTGTCTGCTGTCCCTGTTTCTAGATATATTATTGTCTCCTGTTTCTAGATATAGTATTGTCTGCTGTTCCTGTTTCTAGATATAATATTGTCTCCTGTCCCTGTTTCTAGATATAATATTGTCTCCTGTCCCTGTTTCTAGATATAATATTGTCTCCTGTCCCTGATTTATCTGCGAGCCTTTCTTTTTTATAAAGGTAGATGAATAACAAAAAAATTAAGTTAATAGGTTATTGATTATTTGAATAATTGATATTTTTGTCTTTAATTTGACCAGTCAAAAACCTTCACTGGACTCAGGCGTATTCAGACCGTACACATTTCAGACCTTACACATTTCAGACCTTACACATTTCAGACCTTACACATTTCAGACTGTACACATTTCAGACCGTACACATTTCAGACTGTACACATTTCAGACCGTACACATTTCAGACCTTACACATTTCAGACCGTACACATTTCAGACCGTACACAAACATTCAGACCACAATTATGTAAAATTTCAAAATTATTAAAAGTTAATCATCAAAAACTGAAAGTTACAGTTTACTCAAAATAAATTTTAAAAAGTAGAAAGGCTGGTGTTTTTTAATATACACACCTTAAATTTGTAGTTCCCTGAAACATTAAAATTATTGCTAAAACTAAAAATGTTTTATTCTCGTAGTAAATAAAAATATTTTGTCTTATTAAAATAAAGGAAGGAAGTGAGTAACAAAAACCCGGGATAATCGATGTTTTGGAAAACAATTTAAAAAATTTTGTTTTGTTCAGATTTAAAGCATAAAAAAATAAAATGCGATAAAATAGAAAAATTGGTTGAAAAATGTCTATTCTATTGTTTTCCAAAATTTCGAAAGATTCTGAAAAAATACAATAAGTTATAACAAAAATATGAGCCAATGATATACAATTTTGAAGTCATAACAGTTCTAAAGCTTAATAATTTGATAACATTTACTGCAGATTTTAATTATAAAAATTTTACGAATTTTTCTTATATCTCATTCAATTTTAAATGAAGTTTTAAGAAATTTTGGAAAGCAATAGAATTAACATTTTCCAAACAATTCTCAAAAAATTTAATTTTTTCATTCAAATTTGGTTTAGCGTTTTGTCGAACACATCATACAGGGTGTCCCAAAAAACATGAGAATTCAGTGACGAATTCGATATCGTCTTTGTTATGAATTAACATTGTAATACCTAATTTCAAAAGCCATAATATTATTATGTCTGCTAGAGTTTATTTTATGAAAAGGGTAAAAGACTGTAAAGATGTGTCTATAATGTCTCCGCAAGATGAACAGTGAAGACGGACAAGTTTACTCTGTTTGTATACTGAAATTTTCTTGTTTTACTAAGTACAACCGTATGCAGTCAAAACATTAACAAACAAAATGTAAACATAGCAGACGAAACTCTTACAGATTACAGCTTTGTCAGTAGGTATCACTAAACTAAATCAAAGAATTATTTGAAAAGACGATATCGAATTCGTCACTGAATTCCCATGTTTTTTGGGACACCCTGTATAATCCCGTTTTCTTTGGACTCAACCTAGACCTACAAGGATACGTTATGCATGTGTTATAAACTTCCATATAAAATATATAGTCAAAATATATAGTTGATATTAATTTCATTTTCATGTCAATTGAAAAAAATATTTTGGAAATATCCTAAATTTTTTAGAGAAAATCCGGGAACCAATTAAAACTTTATAGCACATGTGCGTTAATGAGCTACTTTAACCTTTTAGCACTTTGTAGCAGGGTGCTATAAATTACTTTATAGTACGGTGCTATAATATACGGCTAATTTAACTTTATTCACGATGAAATTAGTAAGAATGATAAAGTAAAATAAATAAATAAAACTTTAGATTTATGAGGCGTATGATATACACAATATTTTCATAAAGGGATTGTCATCGTAAGAGGAATTTGTACTTTTTAAACCTTTATCTGATTAAAACCATAAAGATATCCTGCTTTTCTATCTAAAAGTTATCCAGTTCTCGTTGCGGTCAATCTTTTTACGTGAGGGGATTTATGTCGCACAGACAATAAGTAAACTGTCAGGATATCCTACTGTTGCTAAAATAAAGCCCTTAAAGGTACTGCTATCATTCTGACATCTCCCCTCTTCTAATAGAGGCCCGTGTCACTTGAAATTACGTGAATCGTTCCTTGAATTTTTATTTTCTCGTGAACCCCTGAAGAACTGCATTTAACTGACCTTGACAATGAATATTGCGAAACAAAGATAAGTTTTGCAAAAATGTTTAGAAATTAATTGCATTGATGCAATGTTTAATTATTGTGATGCTTTAGAAGTAAACAATAATTAGACCTGAGCCTCTGTACACTGTACAGCTAATATACGGGGGCTTAACAATTTTTTTATTTATTTTAATTTTTTTACCGATTAAATGCTTATAAACTTTCTTTCTTTTTCACTTATCCCCCCCCCACATGTTTTTTATTCAAATCTGGAGGAACCCCAAAAAAGGTAAACATTTGAATGATTTTGATTTTTGCATATTGGAAGGGGGGGGGGGAATACCCCACCATAGACTTTTAAAACCCCAAAGAAATCTCATTTTTAAATCTTGAAACTGAATAACACCAAAATCTCTCTTTTTAATCCCACATAACAATTTTACTCTCGACATTTCACCTGCAGTGAGGGTAGACATAGATTGACTGTATACGCCCCTCTACCTGGAGTGAGGGTGGACCATAGATCCTGTACACGCCTCTCTACCTAGATTAAATCCTGTATACGCCCCTATACCTAGATTAAATCCAGTATACGCCGCTCTACCTAGATTAAATCCTGTATACGCCCCTCTACCTAGATTAAATCCTGTATACGCCCNTCGCCGAAGGGAATCGCTTGATCTCGGAAATATCTCCAGGTAGGGTTGAGAGTAGGAGCACTGGAAAAGAAACCAGATGGGACACACATGATTCTGAGGAAGGAGTCCTTGGTAGAAGTGAGGACGGACCTGAAGAACTTTTGAATGTCTCCTTCTAATTACAGATATTTCCCCCACCCTACTGAGCAGTTTCACCACATCACTGGGTTAAAATGCTAATTCTGTTCCTATCTGTAGTTTTATTGTATAAAGTTGAATAAATGGGACAAATTCAATTTGTTTTGAGCTGATACCACGAACATTTATTCACACTTCACCAGGGGGATTCTACATGGGGGGGGGGGATTCATGGTGTATAAATGAGGTTGGCGGATATAGGAAATTGTACACTTATTTTACTGTTAGCACTGTGGGCAAAAATTTGTTAGACAAGGAGAAGGAATTGTGCAGGATGGCCTAAAAAAAAAAAAAGTGTTGTTCGAAAAATCAAAAAGGTTGAGGTATACACAAATAATCTCGAACATTAACTCTAAATAAAAAGCATTTTATAAATTTTTTAGGCAAAAATATCAAAAATATATTTCTGATAATTTACTAATGATTTTAACATATTAAATTTCCTATAATTTAAGGTCGTAACTGCGTATAACGTCCAGATTTAAGTTTATAAAGGATAACATGACAGGAGAATTATAGTGTGATTTTGACTTATCCATCTAAGGGACTGGAAGCATTATTTCTAAATGACCCTCTATGCAAAGATGGCAGTGCCCAATTTACAACGGTACCCTTGAAAGCTATGTATGGTCAAGAATGAATTAGATATTCATGTTTTGTTTCTTTGAAATCTTTATTTTCGTTTGCAGTTTCTCTGCAAATGTGACTAGAGCTTAGCGTATGATCAAAAAGGTAGAAATTCAAAGTACACTGGGTTGAATATGAAGGCCAATTGGCTTTAAATCTTAGTTTTTTGTTAAAGAACTGTACCTCCCTCAGAAAATTTCATTCTCTCCTGTCTCAGACCCCCCCCCCTCCCCCCTATTAGTATGTGAAAAATGGAAATTAAAATGTGCAAATTACTGATAATAAAATGACCTTCGCAAAACTTTTGCATAATGTTTGCGAAACGCAACATAACATTTTTTTGTTACGTAACAACACTCTTGCATGCGAAAAAAAAAGAAATTTACAGAAGCAATCGGAAATGCCATTTCGTTTCAAAATTGCACTATTTCGCTTTTTCGCAACTCTGAAACGGTCATAATCAAGAATTTATAATTTAAAGTTGAGAGAGGTGGGTCAAAAACTTAAATAAAATTCCTATTTTTTCACCAAACTGATTAGTTAATTGAACGGTCAATAATTGTGATTAACTTAATCTAATCTAATCTAATAATTTATTTTTCCGTTGAAAATATGACAGGTTGTGCATACAAAATTAAATATTTATATGATTTCTATTAATTATCAACGGAAGGAGAGCAGCCATAGCAGAGCTGTTTTCAGGTTGGTCTCCTGGCAGTTTACCGTGGTATCAATTAGAACTGAATTGATGTGATACGTCGTGGGACTGGGTTTGGAGAAGACGGAGGAACAGGGGGTCAGATTTGCTCAATTAACATGTTATAAAATTGGTTCTTGATTTGAGACAATAGGCAGAAAACAGAAACAGAGGCGCCAGGAACTATTGCATTCCTAATTTTTTTGCGTTGCAAAAAAAATTAGCAAAAGTTTAAGGTCCACCCATTAACAATACCTTTTCCAAAAAAAGCAATGCCAGAGCACTGATTTTTATAAGAAGGATTTAAAAAATGCAAATTGCTTGACCTAAAAATCACTTGTCATAGAAAGAAAAATTATGTGTATGCAGTTAAAAAATGACGATTAACTAGAGCATGACCAGCAAAATAGTTTGATGCAAATAAAATTGTCACTCATATGATATAATGAACTGTTGTTATTCATAATTAACGACTAAAGGGACCGTTATCGTAGTTTCAAGTGGCCCTTCATGTAAAGATGACATGGACCGTTTACAACGATACCATTGAAACCTTAATTTGATCAAAAATGTATAAGATATCGTCGTTTTCCTGATTCGAAACATGTTTAATTCTGTTAACTTCTCATTGCTTCTTACAAGCAATAAATGCGAAATTCTCTTGCAAACGAAAATTACTAGGTTAAAGAAACCAAAACCTGGATATCTAATTCTTAATTGATCCGACAACGCAAGGACAATATTATGAATCGAGCATTGCCGTCTGTGCAGTTTGCATGGAGATTCACATGAAATTGCGCTCAACAGTCAGTTTCATTGGATCTTATTTATTACCAAGTTTCTCGGTCTCAAATTCTTATAATTTTAGTCCCTTACTTTTAAGTTTTTGTAACTGCAGGTGTAAAATAAACCAATTTAGGGAAGCATAATTATATATTTTTGCGTAAAAATATTTGTGCAAATTACGCCAAAAAAAATGCGTAAAAACGAGCAAAGATTTGTGCTCTACATGCGCAAAAGTTCGCCAAAAATAAAGTCATTTCGTGGAAACCCTACTTATTTGCATATTCTACAAAAATGGACAAAATTTGTTCGTTTTGTAAACACGGTAGAGATAGCATGCATGAATACATTAACTTTAACGTGTTAAGAATCTCAGATAAAAGAATTACAGTCTGGATTTGTCCGCTACATCATGAGTTTAATTTTAACATTATTATTTCTTGCAAACATTATCACACCATCTTTGCTTTCAGGAATAAATAACAGCTTTAACATTAATTAAGCTTAAAAGGGAGAGACCCTATGAGCATTAATTTTTCCTACTTCCAACTCTGACATTATTTTTTTTTGAAAAAGTTGCATACGCGATTTTGCAAGGGTATCCAGGAGTACCTTTTTAAAAAAACAAGTTCAAACAGCAAACAAGATATTTAAAAAAAAAACTTTATTAACACTGTTCTTGTTCTTTTGATGAACGGGATTACCCATACAGCACACTAGTGCTGTTAATTCTTTTCATTCGTTTTCTTGGTTCGTTTCTTTTCATATATTTTCGTTCAGGGTCGAAATATTTGCAAAAAAAGATCCAAAAACGATGTTTTTGGTTCGTTGTTCCATTTCGTTTTAGAATAAAAGTATTTCAAAGTTTTATAAAAGCAAAATTTTAAAGATTATAGGGTTGATATATCGTAATTTTAAAATCCTATATATTTGCAACTCAATATCGTCGACCTGTGATGTTTTAAACTAAAAAATTCTGTTATATAAAAGGTTAGCAGGTTGCAAAGTAATTTGGGTTCAAATAAGACTTAAAAAGTCAAATTAACGGAAGAATCGACAATTAATAAAGTAAACCCCCATTAGTTAACCTTGGTGCTTACATCATGTCATGACACAATTAAACTCTTGCTTTCAAGATAGGCTTGTGTACATATTAATTAATCTTTTTAAATTAATTATATCTTCAAAAAGTTGAAGGACTTTTAATAATCTAGAATTTCTAAAAATTTGGATTAAAACATAAACTTTAAACAATTACACACATGCATAGATATTTAACAGTGCCACAGTTCTCTTTATTATGATTCTGAAAGCTAATTTTATCATTGAGGGAGATACAGGAGTACCCTCAAAGGATAAGACTGTAAATACGAATTGAAAGTCTTATAATTTGATCACAAGTTAAGTCTTCTGCCTTGAATGTGGTCTTTAAATTGCTTATTTAATGATTTGACAAAGAAAGAAAGAACTGTACAATCGTATGCCATCATGAAAATAATAAAAAGTATTGTAAAATATGTTTACTGTCTCTGAAGTCTCATCCTCTGTGGGTAACACGGCATTTTTTTATTTTTATCTAAAAATATATTTTAAATGTTGTTAAACTACAAGGGACATTAGTTCCAAAACTAACACTATTTCTAACATTGTATATGGTGTAATTTTGTTCTACTCGTCTTGGATTTAAAAATATATATACTCTTGAAAAAGATAATTTTGCAGATTTGGCCCATTTCTAACACTCAGTGTTAGAAATGGGCCAAGTGTTAGTTTTGGAACTATTATCCCCTGCACTAATTTTTATAACACAAAAGTTCTCAGGATAAAAAATTCATCATATATTTTTATGTAATCATAGAATATATTTTTTTAAACGAAGTTGTTATTTTGAAGAGTGTGATTTGTTTCTCGAGAATAAAATATGCGAAATTAAAGAATTAGGAATACATTTCTATTTAATTAATTAATTTAGCAAAAAAACTATGATTTTTTTCATCCAAAAAATAGATATCAGGACACTGCAATTGGCGAACCGACTTTCCGGTGAAGATTTTTGCTTTTCATACATTTGAAGTAACAAATTTGGCGGATTTTCTTGCTTCCATTATAGTTGGTTTCCAACGTTTAATAAAAAAAAATTAGACTTTGATTACCCATTAACCTTCTTTTGATCATGTGAAATTTTGTAATCCGAAGAAATTGAGTCTTTGCCACAATACCAAATTTTCCCAACACTCTATCTTTGCATTCTGATGGTGGTAATCTTTGATATTTTGTTTAAAATATTTTAATTGTTTAAAATATCTAAGCTTAGACTACGACCTCGGATTGCAAATATGTAAGGATTAGAAAATCAGAGTTTGTTGCAAAAAAATATGGAGACCAATTTTGAAGGAATTTTTTTATTCAAAGTTTGCATCAACTAAAAAGCTGACCTTGAAAATATAAAATGAAATTTGATGGATTTTTCTTTCAATTTTGAAGATTGCCGCTTTCCCCAGTTCAGATTTCTTGTAAGAATTGATTTGATAAAAATGTTAAAATATCTTTTTTATATAAATTTCAAAATATGATTAAAATCTTTCAGGAAAGCATATTTTAAAATATTTAGCTTGACACCTTCATTTCTTGCAACTTTAATGATTAACATTTAAAGAAAAAATTGAAATCAAATGATCTTTTGCAATTGTTAAAAAAGTCCTAAAAATTGTTTATCAAATGTTCAAAGCCAATTAAACTGGTCCAATCCTTTAAATATCTAAAATATACCAACGTGAATTCAAATAAATGAAATCTATTGTGTTTAAAGTTGACTCTATTGAGAATGTGCCGAACGAGTTGGAGTGCCAGAATGCTTGCGCAAGGAAACAATAAATTGGTGCCGCATGGTTTAATGCCATTTAGGGAAGGACTTCGTTTTGAGGTTTTGAGGTTTTGAGGATTTGAGGTTTTGAGATTTTGAGGTTTTGAGATTTTGAGGTTATGAGATTTTGAGATTTTGAGGTTTTGAGGTCCGTTTTTACACATTCAAGGTTTTTTGGCTTTAAATGTACTAAAAAATATCTCAGATATTTTTTACCCAACAACATCCGATTTTATATAAGTTTGCTTTGTCACATTAAGGAAATATTTTTCTCTAACCGAAATTATTAACTTAAACGATTTTTTAAGTGAGTTCACCAATCGTTCTGGTGAATATCTTTGGTCAGAATAAATTTTTTTTGTTCCTCCCCGGCCCCCCTCCTAATATTTTGATGCAAAAAATGTTCCCAATTTAATAAAAACAATGTTCTCAATTTGATTAATCGTGTATTTACCCCTTCTTCGATCCAAGTTATTTGAAGGAATTATGATATTAAATATTAAATAAATCATCTAGCTTGTTAAAATTTAATATACGATGTATTAAAAACCTACAAGAGAATTTGAATGAAAAATGTAGATATTTGTAAAAATATTAGACTTATATAATAAAATCAGCCGGAGGGCCCGGCGTTGCCCGTAAAAAAAAAATTAGAAAAAAATACAATTTTTTGCTTGTGTCGCCTCTAGGCTACCATGAGTGTCCACAAAGTAATGTTCCTTACTTATTAATCAAAATTGTAATATTGTTCCTAATTTACTTGCATATAACTTTCCTAGTCATTTCTTTTTGTTCTTAACTTGCATTATGTTCCTTTTATTGACTAATGTTCCTGATTCATGTAAAAGTATAAATGAGGTTTTTTCATTTTGTTTGTTTCCTTTCTTGTTCCTTACTTGTAACTTGTAACTTGCTTGATGTATCTATTCCTGACACTGTGTCCATAGACTCTTAATCCTTTATTTTTGAGAATTTTTTGTTCCTCTTTTCAGAATTTTTTTATTCCTTAAAAAATCTCCCCCCCCCGCCCCCTGGCTAAAATCCGCCCCTGTGTGGAGCCTTTTAGAAATTCAAATAACCTTAACAAATTAAAGACAGACCTCAAAAAGATGCTTATCTGTACACACAGTGGGATCCATAAAATTATGGATTATTGAGATGACCGTTAAAATAGTTGGATAAACATGATTTTCAAGCTACCAGTAAATGCTTAATAAATTTAATATTCTTACACGGTTCACAATTCTATGGGTCCCGGTGTAGAAAGGTTGTGGCTACGAAAACTATTTTTATATTTACATCGAATACAGTTATTTTTAAAAACATGGATCAAGACTTTTGAAGTTTTCAGTACAAGATACGAAGATTTCAAGTTTAGAGACGACTGTACTGATTTCAAGTTTAGAGACGACTGTACTGATTTCAAGTTTAGAGACGACTGTACTGATTTCAAGTTTAGAGACGACTGTACTGATTTGTTTATTTATATAACAATTCCTAAGTTTACTGAAGCTTTTACAAACTTATGAATTAAACGTTTTAGTGACAAATTTGATATCGTCTTTTTAATTAATTCTTTGATTTAATATAGTAATACCTACTCAGAAAGCTGTAACCTGTTACCTGTAATATTTTCGTCTGCTATATTTACAGTTTGTTTGTTTATGTTTTGACTGCCCATACGGTTGAACAATATAGTTACAGAATACAAACAGAGTGAACTTGTCCGTCTTTACCGTTCATCTTGCGGAGACATTATACACACATAATTACAGCCCTTTTCATCAAATAAACTCTAACAGACATAATAATCTGATGGATTTTAAAATGCTAATTCATAACAAAGACGATATAGAATTCGTCACTAAATTGCCATGTTTTTCGGGACACCCTGTATGAAAGATGTAAAAAAAAGTCTTAGCCTTTGCTGGTAACCCTGGTTGCGTAGTGCGCTGTATGCAATGTGCATATTCAAAGTATTTTTTAAAATTTTGAAAAGTTAAAAGGAGCCAGATTATCTAACTACACATTTTGAAGTTTGTATAACACCAATATTTGTTACTGTTCTTAGTAATTCAAACTGTGGAAATTTTACTTGGATCAACTTTAAAACCTTGCCTCCGACCTGCTATCTATACAGGTCAGTTTCTTACCTCCGACCTGCTATCTATACAGGTCAGTTTCTTACCTCCGACCTGCTATCTATACAGGTCAGTTTCTTGCCTCCGACCTGCTATCTATACAGGTCAGTTTGCCTCCGACCTGCTATCTATGCAGGTCAGTTTCTTACCTCCGACCTGCTATCTATACAGGTCATTTTATTGCCTCCGATCTGCTATCTATACAGGTCAGTTTTTGCCTCCGACCTGCTATCTATACAGATGAGTTCCTTGCCTCGACCTGCTATCTATACATGCCATTTTTTTGCATCCAACCTGCTATCTATACAGGTAAGTTTTTGCCTCCGACCGCTACTAAAACAGGTCAGTTTCCTCCGACCTCAGACATGCTACTTACCGGTCATTTTAAACATTGCCTCTGATCTCCTATTTATGCAGGCCTTAAACCCTGCCTCCGACTTGCTGTAATACAATAAAAGGCAGTTTAAACCTTGCATTTGACCTGGTTTTTATAGAAGTCATTATAATATCTTATCTCTTATCTTATCTTTACTTATGTTGGTCAGTTAAACCTCTTGCCGCCAACTTGCTATTTATACAGGTTTAAGTAAAAATTCTAAAATTTTATTGATTTCAGTGGCTGTGAGAATGTCACAGAATGTTTTGGGGAATGTGCTTACTCACTTTCCGGTCCTTTACTTGATGGGTAATATTTTAATCTATTTCCGGTCCTTTACTTGATGGGTAATATTTTAATCTATTTCCGGTCCTTTACTTGTTTGGTTATATTTCAATCTACTTCCGGTTCTTTACTTGATGGGTATTATTTTGATTTATTTCCGGTCCTTTACTTGGTTGGTAATATTTTAATCTACTTCCGGTTCTTTACTTGATGGGTAATATTTTGATTTATTTCCGGTTCTTTACTTTATGGGTAATATTTTAATCTACTTCCGGTCCTTTACTTGGTTGGTAATATTTTGATTTATTTCCGGTTCTTTACTTTATGGGTAATATTTTAATCTACTTCCGGTCCTTTACTTGATATATTATTCTATTTCCGGTCCTTTACTTGATGGGTAATATTTTAATTTACTTCCGGTCCTTTACTTGGTTGGTAATATTTTGATTTATTTCCGGTTCTTTACTTTATGGGTAATATTTTAATCTACTTCCGGTCCTTTACTTGATGGGTAATATATTATTCTATTTCCGGTCCTTTACTTGATGGGTAATATTTTAATCTATTTCCGGTCCTTTACTTGATGGGTAATATTTTAATCTATTTCCGGTCCTTTACTTGATGGGTAATATTTTAATTTATTTCCGGTCCTTTACTTGATGGGTAATATATTAATCTATTTCCGGTCCTTTACTTGATGGGTAATATTTTAATTTATTTCCGGTCCTTTACTTGGTTGGTAATATTTTGATTTATTTCCGGTTCTTTACTTTATGGGTAATATTTTAATCTATTTCCGGTCCTTTACTTGATGGGTAATATATTAATCTATTTCCGGTCCTTTACTTGATGGGTAATATTTTAATTTATTTCCGGTCCTTTACTTGGTTGGTAATATTTTGATTTATTTCCGGTTCTTTACTTTATGGGTAATATTTTAATCTATTTCCGGTCCTTAACTTGATGGGTAATATTTTGATTTATTTACGGTTCTTTACTTTATGGGTAATATTTTAATCTTTTTCCGGTCCTTTACTTGATGGGTAATATTTTGATTTATTTCCGGTTCTTTACTTTATGGGTAATATTTTAATCTATTTCCGGTCCTTAACTTGATGGGTAATATTTTGATTTATTTCCGGTTCTTTACTTTATGGGTAATATTTTAATCTATTTCCGGTCCTTTACTTGATGGGTAATATTTTAATCTATTTCCGGTCCTTTACTTGGTTGGTAATATTTTAATCTACTTCCGGTTCTTTACTTGATGGGTAATATTTTAATCTATTTCCGGTCCTATACTTGGTTGGTAATATTTTAATCTACTTCCGGTCCTTTACTTGATGGGTAATATTTTGATTTATTTCCGGTCCTTTACTTTATGGGTAATATTTTGATTTATTTTCGGTCCTTTACTTGATTGGTAATATTTTGATTTATTTCCGGTCCTTTACTTGATGGGTAATATTTTGATTTATTTCCGGTCTTTTACTTGATTGGTAATATTTTGATTTATTTCCGGTCCTTTACTTGATGGGTAATATATTATTCTATTTCCGGTCCTTTACTTGATGGGTAATATATTAATCTATTTCCTGTCCTTTATTTGATGGCTAATATATTAATCTATTTCCGGTCCTTTACTTGTTGGCTTATATATTAATCTATTTCCGGTTCTTTTTGATGGGTAATATATGAAAAAGTATATTGACGTTAAGTTTTAATGTTAATTTAAGTTTTGAAATTACACATAGTATATATATTAACCCATGTTTATTTTCAATTTTTATTCAATAGTAAAAACAGATTTCGACAATTTTTTTTTTTTTTTAATAAAATTGAAATCAAAAAGAGGATTAAGAAGAAAATCAAGAGTGTGTACATTGGATAACCAAATTAAGCGATCATGATTAAGAATATCTCATTCTAAAGTTTTCAGCTCTGGTCATATTGACATTACAAAAAAGTTAGACCACATTTTGGAAATGCCAGGACTTTTGTTTTAAGAATCATACATGTTCAAGTAGATTGACGACTGAATATCACAAACTAAATCACAGATTTAAGACTCGCTACTGTCTTGTTTTGTGGGACACCCTGTACCTTGGTTAATACACATAGTACACTGAGTACAGTATCTTTATCTCATCATTATAGGTTAAACTAATGCCTCGTCCCTAAGGAGAAGTACGTTCCTGTAAATATCTGTTATCTCCGGTTAAAACTAATCTTTGCAACATTATCATGCTTTTAGAAAATGAAAAGAAATTATAATCATGACTTAAAATCATTTTAACTTTTTTCGTCTTAGCCCCCAGAGTAATATTTTGTGGTTGTTACCTTGTGCTTAATGTAATTTTAAAGTGCATTCAACTAAGTTTGTCAGTTTTATTAATAAAAAGAATTTTTTTAATAACTGAAAATTTTTGAAAGATTTCTATAACAAATATTAATCAATTTGTTACGTCATTCAACCATCGTTTTCAAACAGGGTATCTTGGTACCCTGAGGCCGAATTTAAAGAATTCAAATATGGTTGGTTCCACTTAAAATTGTATTACATTTTTCAAGATTTAAGCCGGCGCTCAATTGAAACCGGTTTCTGGGGGATTTGAGACACGGCTTAAATTCTTTAAATTCGGACACTGGATCCTGCTGTTTAATTGCTTGATATATGTACCTAGAGTATCCTGGTACCCTGGTACCTGCTGTACTAAGTTTAACACTGGGAATGTCTGTGAAAAGAATAGCAATAATATATTAGCAGGTAGAAAATTAATACAGAGTTACAAGGGTGTCCTACGAAACATGACAGTTGGTGCATAGTTTAAAATGTCTTCTTCCATAATTTGTTAAGTTGTTTGATACCAAAGAGAATAATACAAAATATGGTATGGGAGTCATCTTGAATTAAATTGATTTCAATTCAACTAAATTTGAGTAAAAGATTTTTTTAAAGAAATAAACTGCAAAATGTCTTGAATATTTAATACATTATATTGAAGAGAAGACATTTAAAAAAATATTCACCAAGTGTCATGTTTCCTGGGACACCTACGAAATAATAGAACACAGAAACTCTGAAATAGAAAAAAGACTTTAAACTCAAGTTATGACTTTAAATAGTCTAATAAGCATGGGAAACAGCAAGTGTGCAGTGTAAACAGACCCATTTAACTTAACTAGTTATTTAATAAGTGTTTAGTAAAATTAGTTGCTTTGTAACAACATCAAATAAACTTAAATATTGCTATAATGTCGTTTTTCTATTCAAGAGATTTTGGTTATTACTGTACATAAAAATCGTTTGAACTTTTGTTAACTTTCATCTACATTAATAATTTTCAAAATAAAATATATTTTTTTTACTCGCTCTTCACAGCTAACGGGACTTTTGTTAGTAATTTCAATTCATTATTCAATTAAAGACAGATAAGCCCGATTCACAACAATACCCGTCAATAATAAAGATCTTGTCGATTTCTAACTTGAAAAGTGCTTAATTCTAACAATTTCATCCATTGTTTCTGTAGCAGAAAATCGCAATTAACTTCATGGAGAAACAAGGTTGTAGATAAAAGATTTCAAATAGAATATGATCTCATGCTTTCTTGTCTATACATAGCTTAGCAGGGTACCGTTGTGAATCCTGTTTATACATAGCTTAGCAGGGTACCGTTGTGAATCCTGTTTATACATAGCTTAGCAGGGTACCGTTGTGAATCCTGTTTATATATAGCTTTGCAGGGTACCGTTGTGAATCCTGTTTATATATAGCTTAGCAGGGTACCGTTGTGAATCCTGTTTATACATAGCTAAGCAGGGTACCGTTTTGAATCGAAAACTTCACTTTGTACGGAGAGAAACCTAATTAAAATTATGTCTACAGAGTACAGTCCACACATATAAATATTCAAAAATGCAACTACGCAAACAACTCGAAAGTTGCATTCGTTTTGAGCAAATGTGTGTATATATATACACTATACAGGGTTACCCGCACAGAATGAGTCTTTAAAGACGACCAAAAACTTTTAAAATTTTATGATCCCAGGGTAAAATTAAGTCTTTTAATAACTTATTAAATGATTTAGCAAAGAAAGAAATATGTTTAAATTTACAGAACATCATAATATAAGGAAAAACACAATATAAATTCCGTAGAGTCGTCGCTGAAGTCTTATCCAAGTCTAAAGTAATAATCTCTGTTTGTCTCTGATTGGCTGATTTGCCTCGAATTTTGAGTAGGGAACTCAGGAGGAATGTTCCAAGCTTGGTTTTGATATTCTAAGTTGCGTTTTATAGGCGATTTTATCAATATAATGAAGACGACTTTCGACCAAAATATTGATTTTTATCAAGCTTTTAAACAGCATGGATACACAAAAAGATGGAAACAAAGAGAAGTTGTCAATTACAAAAATTTCTCCTTATTGGCTTGCAAACTTGTAGTTAAAAAAAAGTTACAATAAAAACTGAAATAAAAATGTCGCTTTCATTAAAAAGATAATATCGCTAACTTCCGTATCTAAAATCGTAATTTACGACCAAGCGTGGGTAAGCTGCCGGAGTAACTATGAGTACCCTGAGCAACGCTGGGTTCCTAAGCGTTTATGTATTTTATATGTAGAATATATATATTTGCTAGGTATCCCGTATATCTATGATGCTGCATCATGTCAGGATCTCTGCCAAGATACAGGATTGTATCCAGATTGTAAATATTTTATATTTGACTCCAAGTGGTCAACTTGTGTCCTTCTAAGGTTAGTAGTTTAAATTTAAGACATAATTTCAGATCCTTTTTCTGGTTCCTGTTTCTCGTTCCGGTCTCTAGTTTCTGTTTCAAGTTCCTGTTTCTCGTTCCGGTTTCCAGTTCCAGTTTCTAGGTCCGGTTTTTAGTTCTTGTTTCTAGTTCCGGTTTTCAGTTCCAGTTTCTAGGTCCGGTTTTTAGTTCTTGTTTCTAGTTCCGGTTTTCAGTTCCCGGTTGTAGTTCCTGTTTCTAGTCCCAGTTTCTTGTTCCTTTATCTTGTCCCTGTTCCTAGTTCCTGTTATTATTTCCTGTTCCTAGTTCCTGTTTCTAGTTCCGGTTTATATTTCCTTTTTACTTATTTTCTTTTGTAGTTAATGTTTTCAGTTCCTGAATCTAGCCTTGTTTCTAGTTACGGTTTTTAGTTCCTAATTCTAGTTCCTGGTTCCATTTCCCGTTTCTAGTTCCTGTTTCTAGTTTCTGCTTTTAGCTTCTGTTACTAATTCCTGTTTTTAGTTCCTATTCCTAGTTTCTGTTTCTAGTTCTTGTTTCCATTTCCTATTTCCAATTCCTGTTTCTAGTTCCTGTTTTGGTATGGATGAGAGGGAGAATGCAGTGAGTGGACCAGTTCATCCTTCCATCAACTTCTGCTCAGAGCTGTCTCCAGTGCTCCCAACAACATCTTCAACAACAACAACAACACAGTCAACAACACCCAGCCCTGGCCCTAAACCAGTTCAAAGTACTGCACTTCTCCTAGGCGGAGCAGGTACCTGGCACAGTGGTTGATAGAAAATAATGGAATAATTTTCGTTTTTCAAATTTTCATTGTTAAATAAGAATCTTTTTCATTAATGTATTTTTGAAATATTCAGGGCATATTATTTTTAAAAACAAGTAAATTACAAACAACAACATCTTTACTGACAATCGAAAGACGACAATCGCATTAATTTTTGTTATAAACTTTTGCCCATAGACATACAAGAATTTATCTAGGCTTTTGCCTGACTATTTGTGAGTAATTTTAAAGTTGTCTGACGTCGTAAGTCTTAGCTCATTGAGTGACCGGCAATGTATGGTAGTTGAACTGAGATTGCAGTATTATTAAGACATTTATAGGATTCATTTGAGACCTATCAGACGTTTTTACGGTGCATATTTGTACAGCAAGAGTGCAAATTTAATATTCAAAATCCTCGAGTTGATTGGCCATTTTGAAGGGATGATTTTGAGAATCGGTTTTATAAAAATTATTCAAAAACGATGAAGAAAAATGTAACAAAATATACTACAGTAAACTAATTAGATGTTTAGGAATATATTTCTTATTAGAAATTCGTCAATATATTAATGTTATAATCAATTGTTTCTTTTTCATCATTATATTGATTTTCTTATTCCTTATGAATAATTGTTCGCAGATTTCTTCAAATTCTTTAAATGTCATTTTTTCATAAAAATTCCAAGAAATCTGCAAAAAATAGTTTTCAACATTGAGACAGAAACCAACTAAATAAGAATTTTATTTTCTCAGCCTGTTCCTAAACAACTAATTAGTTTACTGCAGAATTTGTTGTTACAATTTTCGTGGTTGTCATTGATTCTCAAAATCTCAAAAATGAACAATCTATGAGAATTTTAAAGATCGAGTTTGCGCTCTTTCTGATCAAATTTGCACCGAAAAACGTCTGATAGGTCTCAAATGAATTGTAATAATAAATCTGTAAACGGAATACAGTTTTTGGTAAACATTCTGTGGACGCTTATTAGAGGATTGATGTCCGCCCCACACCCCCCTCTGGAAAAGGATAACAAAAAATTAATCCTTCAAAATTTCGATAATTCATAAATACAATTTTTTACACCCTCCCTTAGCGCATATTATGAACGAATATTATGCAAATGGGGGGGGGGGGGCACACAATTCCATAATATATTTGCCCCCCCCCCCCCCTGTAGAAAATCGTAAGTTGCCCCCGTAAACATTTTTAAATAGAATTATGAAATCAAACTTTTGTTTGCGCATTTCTAAGGATTTAATTGAGGTCATTTTAAATCAACTCATGATTAGGGTTTTCAGCGAAAAGGAAAAATCGTTTCGCGAAAAAATAATTCAAAAGTTTCGCGAAAAATGTGATTGGTCCATTAAAAGATTCTTTCTTATTATTGGCTGGCTCATAATCACAGTTGAACGTATGTATTGTGAACTGACAGACAGAACTTAAAAAGATATTGAAATCAAATTCTCTTTATCAAACATTTATTAAAGTAAAGGAAGAGAAATTATTTATATGACATAATACAACTTCTATAAATATTAAGCTATCAGAGCAGAGAATTCCACAAGTTCTTTTAAGCAATTAATTGTTGCAGTTATTAGTTTTAACCATGAGTTTTAACTAAATGTTTTCACAAAATTTTCTCATTTCACGAAATTGGCATTTTTGCGAAAACTTTCGCATTTTTTCGCGAAACGTTTCGTTTGCTGGAAACCCTACTCATGATCAACTCTTATCTATTTTCTACTTTAAAAATGTACACTTTACTTACTAAATAAAAGCTAAATAAACAATGCAAATGCAAATGAAAATGTTTCTACAGGGTTACCCACAAAGAATGAGACCATAGAGACGACTCCTAGGAGACGACTGTACAAAAGTCGTCCAGTTCACTGGAACTGTATGTGTAGCCTTGATTTTTCCTCAGTAAAGCATTATATCTATATATCTTTTATCTAGGTATATTAAGTACTAGCTGAAAGGCCCGGCGTTGCCCGTGGAAAATGTTTTTTGAAAAAAAAACGAAAATTTTGAAGAAAAAAATTTCGAATTCTTTTAGCCTATAACACCCTTCGGCCACCCATGAGTGACCACAAAAAATTCGATCCAGCCGTTTGGCGGGCTATTGGCAACATATATATGAATATCTATTGTCTGGTCATAACTCGTGAACCACTTGACCTACCGACTAGCCTCGAATTTTGAACAGGGAACTCGGTAGAACCACGGGAATGTTCTTAGCTTGGTTTAAAAATTCTAAGTAGAGTGGGTTAATTCTTATTTGAGTTTTTAAAGTAAATTTGGGTTCCCGATACAATACAATACAATACAATACAATACAATACAATACAATACAATACAATAAAATACAATACAATACAATACAATACAATACAATACAATACAATCCAATACAATCCAATACAATACAATACAATACAATACAATACAATACAATACAATACAATACAATACAATACAATACAATACAATACAATACAATACACAACAATACAATGCAATACAATACAATACAACTAACAATCCTGTTTAGAAACTAGGAATGGGAGTCACATAGAGAGCAGTCCTTGTGAATTAAAAAGTTTTGCTGAGCTTAAGGTTTCCAAAAATACAAATCCAGGCAAGATTGAGCAATTTTACTCATAAAAGTGTGGAATAGACAGACGACTGTCAGACTTAAGTTATGATATTAAAAAGCTTAATAAACAATGCAAATGTTAAAACCATCAAAGACACCCAAGGTTACTAAATTGTCATCTTCAATGATTCACAGTTTTATTGATTGTCACTGTGGGCCAACCTTTTTATTAATCCAATTTAATTAATCCTATTATTAATCCAATTTAATTAATTCTATTTAACTCTTTACTTTCTTGGCACTGTCCTTACAGTTAGAATCAGAAAACTATAGAACTATTTCGAAACAGAGCTGAAAACTTTCGAATTGTGGATGTCGAGTTCGATGTTTGATCTCATCTTTTTATTAATCTCAAGATTAATTTAATCTTAGGTTTATATCTACAAAAGTGCATAAAATTCAACCAATCAGAGGGGAAACCCAAATAGCCAATTAGAAGGCGAGAAATTTTGAAATTTTGGGGCGCTATCAATTAAAGAACTCTCATTGGTCAGAACAAAGTTATATTAAGTAGAAAACAAAATTGTCCACTGAGGATATTCAGATCAAGCGATCGGCATTACTATTAATTCTAAAGTTTTCAGCTCAAATCAGATAAATTCACAAACCAGTTTGTAAAGTTCTTTCCATGTTTTCGTCTCTGAAACTACTCAAACTATTGAAACTACTGGTTTGTAGATTTATCTATTCTTGTTTTGGTAGATCTCTTCATTGATGATTTTCAACATCAGCAGTTTTTACAAATAGTTAATTTGCAAATCATTAAATCTATTCTGAAAAGAATTTAAAGAGGGCATGCCCGATTCACAACGCTATCCTTACAAATTATATCTAATCAATGTTTCTGAAGCAGAAATGCGCAAAGTCAATGTAAAGAGAAACCACAATTATAATATTACATTTTCAAAGAAAAGATTATGGATATTTCATTAAGATTTTAATGATATCGTTGTGAATAGGACATGCTGTTCTTTTACAATGGGAGATTCGCTTGAAATTACATTTACAATCCCTTTAATTAGGAGCTGCAGTTCTCAACGGAGAAGTATATCTTTGCGGAGGGTTTGCAGATAATTATTTTATGTACGTATTAAGAAACTTATCATTTTGTTGATTTAGACAAACAGTTAGATAACAATATAATTTATTCAAAGAAGAATCTACATAGTACGAGCAAATAAATAATGCTTATGTCTAACATTTAGATGTTATGCTAAATCTTCTGTCACTTCTGTAGTTTAGGCTTTTAGCAAATTTAATTTGCCACAAACTCTGATTTTCTAATCCTCATATCTTTTAAACATCATGCACCTCAAACTAAAGTAAATACCACGTCACGTAAATATGCGAAATTTTTGTGTTGTTTGTTTTTCAATGTACACAATGTACACAAAGAGAACATGTTCACAATTGAAATAGAAGATGGGCGCGAAGCGCCTTAAAAACCTAGTATATATACACTTTGCTTGTCTGTTTGTTTGTATCCCATTACCGTCAAAACGGCTTAACCGATCGGGCCCAAATTTTGTGTTGAACCATAGTAATGTTGCAGAAATTTTACCTTCTTATACTCTGTTTGGTTTAATGTGTATGTCGTAGACCTTTGATATTTCATACTATGAATTCTGATTTATCAATCAGTTGTGAAGTATAAAATATCAAAGGTTTACATCATCAGGCTGTAAAGATATAGGGATTAAAAAGCAATGTTTTTTCTTTTAATGATGAATTTTCGATTAGAAAATTTTGTAATTTGTAATTTTGCTATTTCTAAAAATGTGCCCTGAACATTTTTAATAAATATATACCAGTTGCAACCATTGCTGATTACAAAATCCGCAGCAACATTTCTTAAGTAAAAGAAAGAAAGAAGATTGTATTGATTTTACTGTTTTTAAAAAAGTTTTTACTATACACCCAATTGAAGTTGGCATCTTTTTAATGACTCAAATCATTTTTATCTTTTAATTTTCAAATTTTCAAATTTTCAAACTAAAGTAGACCACACGCAAGATGTATTATATGTTTTATTTTCGAATTTTATTTTTAAAAAGCGTTTCAGAAGAATATTTTGAATTTCTAATATGTAATCGGATATATTAGTTTTTTTAATACTTGTACGTAAAGTTGGAGCGCAATGTCGCATATATTTGACCTCCTCCTCCTGACTATGGTTAATGCGATATTTTTTAAATCGATAATGACCAATCTGTATCAACTCAATATATATCCTCGACAAAATATTAAAAACATTTAGAACAAACAAAATTGCATACATTTGATTTATTGTAATTTTGAATATTCTTATAAGAGACTTTCGACGTAATTTGACTATTTTCAATTCCAGAATCTTAAAAGAAGTAGTTTTCGGATTTGTTACTTGCAGAGACAATGGAAAAGTAAAATTTAATCACTCAGCTAGAAAAACGACAATATCTTCTACAATAATGATCAGACACAGATTTAAAGGATATCGTTGTGAATCGAGTATGCCATTTTTTAAATGGAGGGCGATTTCAAATCAGTCCTTTTGAAATCCAGCCGTGGGACGATAATATAGATTTGAAATCCAGCCGTGGGACGATAATATAGATTTGAAATCCAGCCGTGGGACGATAATATAGATTTGAAATCCAGCCGTGGGACGATAATATAGATTTGAAATCCCGCCGTGGGACGATAATATAGATCTCGACACTGAGAAGTTTTATTCTTTGCCACAAACTCTGACTTGTTAATCCCTATTTCTTCGCTATCCAATGTCGTTGCCTTAGATATTATTAACTATGAATTCTGATAAATCAAAAAATCTAATTTTGAAAAATCAAAGGTTTGCACCATCATGTTGGAAGGCAAATTATATGGTCAGAAGCATAATTTTGCAAAATAGAATAAAAATAAAAAATTTTGAAATAGGATTTTCTTCTCAGATTTTTGCTGAGCCTTTCAAAAGTCTAAAAATTTTAAAGGTTTAAAACGGACCTCAAACCGATGCCCATCAGTAATCACTAGGAATATAGAGTTTATAAACCATGGTTTATTTCATTTCTCTTTTTTATTTATAGTTCTGAATGCTACAAAAATGTTCCAAATGATTGGGCTGAGGTCCCTCCGATGTACCTGGAACGATCCTCCTTCTCTATGAATACAATCGGAGGCAAGATTTTGGTTGCCGGAGGCTTGGGAACTACAGGGTAAATTCTACAGTTAGACCCACCACACTGTAGATTAGGAAAACGACATTTTTTATCAGATGCCTGAAAATAATTTAAAATCGTCTTCATATTCCATAGTTATGTGGGCCCCACTGTTAATCCTTGAAGAGTTCAGATATAGAAAATATAAATTTTTTGCATTAAGAAATAAAATTTTTACATTTTACAGTTTCAGTTGCCATGTACTTTCCATAATATAAGAGTAACATTTGTTATAACTCATTTGGCATATAAAAAGGTTTATTTTGTGTTTATTCTAATTCAGTTCATCTCATCTCAGGCGAGATAAGAATAGTTTATTTTTTATCTAAAATTACTCTACGTAGCAGCTTACTGTATAAGTGATACCTTTCTAAATGACCTTTTTTGATACAGGGTTACCCGTAAAGGATGAAAATTTAAGCACGATCCAAGCATCTTTAAATATTGTGATCTGAATGTTAACCTTAGGTCTTCAGTCTGAGGCCGAATTTAAAGCATTTGAGCAGCGGCTTAAATTTGAGACGCGGCTCAAATATGGTTGGTTCTACTTAAAATTGTATTAATGTTTTAAGATTTACGCCGGCACTCAATTGAAACCGGTTTTTGGAGGATTTGAGACGCGGCTCAAATTCATTAAATTCAAACTCTGAATTAAAGTCTTTGCATGGTTGTTTTATGGTTTTGCAAAGAGTTTGTTTTAACTCCCGGGAACCATGGATGTAAGAAAAATGACTCAATAAATTCCGAACAGTCGTCTCTGAAGTCTTATTCTTCATGACAACCCTGTATCAAAAAGAGTCACTTAGTAAGGTTTCACTTATTATGATCAACCTCAACTAAGCTTTCTGTGTTTACTGCAGTGATTTGCGGTACTCTGACCGAAGAAAGAGCGAGTTTTAGTAGAGAGTGTGATAAATCAAAATATTTTAAATAATATTTCTAGTTACATGAACTCAATGGAGATATTTGATGGAACGAGCTGGACACTATTATCAGGAGAACTACAAATGGACCGAAATATTCACTGTGCTGTACCAATTAGGTAAATAACACTTTATCATGGTCAACGTAAATTGAATTTTACATGCTATACAGTTATATTGGTTCCAGAATTTTCTCCAAAAAAAAAATCAGAACATTTATAGAATATTTGTAAGTCAAATGATAATGATGTAAAAAAAACAGATATATATATTACAAATTTTGGACTTTTTTACAGCAATGGACAAAATATAATCTAAAAATTCTTGAATCTTTTCGAAAAAGAGAAAATTTCTCTCCAAAACCTGAAAATCACTGCAAACCAAAATAATAGGAATAATTATTTCAAATAATGGATTTTTTTAGCGACCACGAGATAGTGTTCTTGGGTGGAAGTAACTTCGATAAAATCTCCTTGGTGGATAAATATGATTTGAACACGAACACGTGGGAAAATATGACGGAAATGACGTCACCCAGGTAAAGATTTGCGCATTTTTTCATTTTTCACGTTATTTCCTGTTTACCCCACAGGTTAAGAATTTAATGACGACTTAGAACTGTTCGTTTTCTTGTATTAATTCTAGATCTTGCAAATGCTAAAAAAGACGGAGAAAAGATTAATAATTAAATTCAATTTTTAAGTAACTTAAAATAACTTAAATCAAAAACATTATAGGTTTAAAACTTCAATAGGTAAAACATGTTTCTTATAGCTAAATTAGTTGAATATGAGTTTATTTTATATCTATTCGTTTGAAGTAATTTCTCTTGGATATCAAGTAGTGGATTTGCACTGCAGGGTTAACTAAAATAATGCAGCAACATTCAAACATTCAATTCAAAGCATACAATTCAAAAGTTTTTAGTTTGCTTCGAATTTTAGAATTGAAAGGGTGTAAAATGTGATAAAAATTCAAAATATATTTTTAACGATAAAAAAAATTGGCAAAAACAAATAAAAAAACTAGAAAAATTATTGGGAAAAAGTTTTAACTATTGTTTTCCAAAATTCCATACAAATTCATCAAAAATTGAATGTGATAAAACAACTTTTAAAGTAATTACAGTTCTTCAAGGTATTATTTGATAACTTAAACATTTAATGCAGCTTTACAAAGAATAAAATTACCCAACAATTTTTTAAAAAATTCACTTGAAAAAATTGTTTTGGCGATTTTTTTTCTCAATGTTCCAAAAATATTTTTTCATGATTGTTATCGTCACATTTCATTTTATGCTTAAATTCCGACGCAAACAAAATTTTTTTTATTTTTGTCTGAAACATCGAAATTCCCGGTTTTTTACTCACTCAGTATATTTTTGACTTTTTAGATTTTCCCATGCGTGTATCCTAAAGGGGACGGATATCATTGTAACCGGAGGATATTCTGATGGATATCTGAATACAACTGAAGCTCTGGATACCCTGAGCTGGACCTGGAGCCCCCTTCCCGATCTTCAGCTCTCCCGGTCCTACCACACCATGGAGCTGGTCAACGATAAGATCATGGTGTTCGGAGGATCAGATGCTCAAAACTCCTCGGAAACATTTGATGGGACTGCGTGGACTGTAGAAACCCTGGCACACAAGCATATCTATCATGCTTCAGTAACAGTGCCTTGTGCATAAATATTTATGATTCTGGCATTTTTAACACTTTAAGAAACTATATATTTGTTCAGAGCTGGGAACTTTTAAATTGTCGGAATGAGTTAAACTTGTTTACTTTGAGTCAAACTTATTCTCTTGAGTTTACCCGTCTCTCATTGGTAGAAGTTCTAAAATTTGACCAACGAGAACTCAGAAATCTTTAAATTCTCCCAATGAGAAATCAGTTTATTATATCAGCTGATGAATTTACAATTTACATATTTACAAATCTAATAGTGAAACTCCTAAACAACATATTTCATTATTGAGTCAAGCTCTGTTTCGTTAACCTTCATCTCTTTAAAAGTTCCTTGCTCAGATCAAATCCATAAATCACCTCAAAGTGATCTAATCACTCTAATGCAACAATAGTCAATAGTATTTTTTCCAACAACAAACCATTATAAGAAGATTTTAACTCTTTGAAATACATTTGTATTGATTAAAATTACAATAAAAGTAGCATAGAATAGAACATTGATTCCACTGCAAATCAATAAAAAACACAACATGTATGCTTGACTTTAACTTTAAAAAGGTGCTTCCAGAGGGGGCGAACAATTTAAATAAAAAAAAATTATATAAATGTTCTCCAGAAAAATTCAGTTTAAAAAGAATAATACAATAAAACTAACGTACAATTGAAAAGAACTTAAACGAATGCTATTTTGTTTAAAACAGAGAATTTATTTAAAAAGTATTTCAATCCCAAACTTGATTTTTAAAAGCATTATTGGGGTTTTAAAATCCATTAAGAATTTTTAACTCGTTTACTGAATTAAATGTTCATTTATATTAGTGAATAACGAATGGTCACATTTTTTGCCGTCTACATGCATTGAAATTTAGATTTTAAAATAACGTGGTTTATATTTTTAACTATTTAAAATTCTGTGAAATCAAACAGCTTCAGATTTCAAAGATATGCTTCATTAGTTTACAAAGATAATGGGATTAAATATAGAGTTGTTAACAGGCGCGCAACTAGACATTTGGTTAGGGGGGGACTAGGGGGAAATTTTTTTTGGCCCCCCCCCCTCTAAACATTTTTAGGGGGGGCAAGAAAAATACTAACAAATTTGCCCCCAATTAAAAAAAATGCCCCCAAATAAATTAAAATTTCAAATTTCACTAACACATTTGCACCCATTTTCCCCCATTGGGAAAAAATGCCCCCAATTAAAAAAAACATTTTCAAATTTGCACTAACACTTTTTCCCCCAATTAAAAAAAAATGCCCCCAATTAAAATGAAAATATCTAAAAAATACTTAATAAACGGCCCCTTTCCCTTTCCAAGGAAAAAAACAAAGATTAATTGGCACCTTAGTTAACCTTGTCAACCTGTTCTGATCTACGGCAATAGTTAGGCTCGGAGACGAAGGAGGTCTGTGTGTGTGTATATCAATTGCAACTAAGCTCAATAAACTAACATTCAATTATCTTTTTTTTTATTTTACGATGAGAGCTATTAAATTTGCTCAGGGTCAGGATTCATGAATCGCTAAATTGCAAAACAGGGTGGACTTCTTAAGGGAGGGACATGCCCCCCCCTAGTTGCGCGCCTGGTTGTTAACGGATAACAGCAAACACACCAGATAAAATTGAACAATAGGCCCGTTGGAACACTAGTGGGGGATATATATTTTCCCCAGACAAATCTTTCCAGGTTGGCCGCAAACACACACAACAGAGTAACCCCTGTCTCAAGAAAATCGATAACAAAAGCTTTATTTCCTGAAAATAACATAAATTATAAATTGGTTACTTGTACAAATGTCATAATAAATATTAATAATAGAAAAAATCTTACGATTTATTAGCGGATGATAAAGGGGTTAACTTATTGTTGATCAGTACTAAAAGACGTTTTTAAACTTCTGAAATAAATGACTGTTGAATATTAACGAAAGTCACTAATTCTTTATATGAAAATATTCTTTGTTTAACTTTTGAAACGGATTCACAATAAACAAGAGTGTTTAGACAAAGAAAAGGGGGCTAAAATTATTTGGTTTGGTGTCTCCGAGAGGGGATTTAAGTTAAAGACGACATTACATGGAGAGATCTTAAAGTTAATGGTTGACAAGAGTGTGTACTGTGTAGTAAGGGTGGAAAGTGTTAAGTTCCTGAAGCAACTTTTATAATATTTAAAGGGACTGCAATCGTAATTTTAAGTTACCCTACATACAAAGATGACAATGCCCGATTTACCCGATCGACCCTTTATGCAAAGATGTCAACGGTACCCTTTAAAGCTTTCTCTGGTCAAGTATGAATTAGATATCCATGTTTTTGTTTTCGAAAACTGTTTATTTTGTTTTGTTTTTTTTTTCTGCAAAAGTGACAGGCATATTTCTTGCTTACAAGAAAAAAAAAAAATTCTAGTCAAATCTTCCACATTTTGATCAGATTAAGTAAATCGGACATTACCATCTTTGCATAGAGTGTAACTAAAAATTTTGCTTACACTCCCTTTAACTAAAAACCTGTTCTTACTAGAAGATAAGAGCTAGTTAGTTCACTAATTACCTAGTTCAAAAATGAAGAAATATTTCTTTTTATTTTTTGTTTTTATTCCAGGGTTTACTGTAGCTTCAGGTAAATATTACAATGATAAAAGGGACTGTACGCGTAATTTTAAGTGATCCTCCATTCAAAGGTGACAATTCCCGTTTCATATTACTACCCTTAAACACTTTCTTTGATTAAGCTTGAAAACAGAATAAGATATAAAGGAATTGAGTTTTTGCCACAAATCCCAATTTTGTAATACCCAAATCTCAACAACAAGATGATGCAAACCTTTCATATTTCAAATTTATACTTGCTTGATCCACTAGAATTCATAGTTTGAAATACCTACGGTCTACGAAATTTGGTTTTAAAGAAATTGGGATTTAAAAATCCGAGTTTGTGGCAAAGACTCAATTCCTTTTCTTAATTTCGGAAACAGATTATTTTCAATTTCTCTACAATAGCACATTCCTATTGCAGGAAAACATATACAGTGAAACCCTTAATAACGAATACATCGGAAGAATTTATCAAATGTCGTCTTGACAAGTTTTCAATGAGTTTTATACTACATTACGTAAATTTCAGTATTTGCGAAAATAAATAAATAGCCATGAATATGCGGGAACAGTTTTAAAGAGTTCCATATAATCATTTAATTAAAAAACTAATTATCGACAACATTCCATTATCATAAAGTGAAGAATACGACATTTGATGAATTTTTTCGATGTATTCGTTATTAAGGGTTTCACTGTAGAATTATCAGAATGAAACATTTTTAACTTTAGTAATTTATTTTAATCAAATTTTGCAAAATTTTTAAATTTTAATATGATATCAGATGGAAACATTTTGAGAATTCTATATTTCTTGTTTTCTTGATCTTCCATTCCTTGTCCATCCTTCAATCATACTTTGGCTAATTTTGAAAATAAAAATAAATGAATTTTTTGGATGTTTTCTGCAGCTAGCCAAATTGCAGAGGCAGAACTATTTTTTGGAGCCTTGTATCTATATTCTATATATTGAGAGGGGCAAGGTTACTCTCTCCCTTGTTTGTATTTATCAGAATGAAACATTAAAACTTAAAAAAAAACGACAATATCTTTCACATTAATGATCAGATAAATATTTTAAGAGCTGTAAATGTTATGTTACGCTTACAGTCCTTTTAAAGTATTAATTCTATCAAATTTTCCTTTAAAAACCTTTTCAATATTTTATCTGAGTTCAAAACTAATCTATCGGCAGATAGATTTAGACAGACTAATGTGAAGGATTGACAACAACCAACTTGACTCCTGGCTTTTCTATAAAACTAACAAATTTTGTACTAGATTGTTCTCTCTTCCTAGAGAACAAAATCTGCGAGTTTTCTCCTTCAAACTTAGGTAAAAATATATTTTAAGTGATGTCGTATTCTGTTTTTAATCTTTTTGAACGGCATAGAGACCTAATTTAATTACTCATGGAGCCTGCAGTCGGTCAAAATCCTGAATCACCGATTGTAGTTTATCGCCCTCTCTTCAATAAATTAAATTCTACCCTGGGAGACTTTGAACAGTAAACAAAATATAAAAATGTTATTTTTAATCGATTTTCGGCAAAAATGCTTTACTGCTTGTTAATCACACTTTAAATCATCAAAAAGATGATTCTAATTATTGAAAAATTGTTTCGCTACCAAATGCAAAAGACCTAATTGTACAGCGTGATATTCCTCTTGGGTTGATCCGAACATCTTTTCTTCTTTGTACTGCTCATGTTGAAAAGATCAGATTGAATATTAGATTTATTGCAGAGTTCAATCCAGAAAACAAAAATCTAAAATAATATAGAACTACGAAAAATATAGATGTATTTAGTTTAACAAAGACAGAATTCTTATTCCTTTACATATGGAATCTTAAGCATATAAACTGGATCGTTTATTACATTTACACTAGACAGTTATACTAGACATTTATAATATACATTTATAATAGACATTTATACTAGACATTTATACTAGACATTTATACTAGACATTTATACTAGACATTTATACTAGACATTTATAGTATACATTTATACTATACATTTATACTAGACATTTATACTAGACATTTATACTAGACATTTATATTCACAAAATAATATTTCTAAGGCAAGTTTGGCATAAAGGAAACACTTACCATAGTGACTCCTCGAGAAATTCACACGAACTAAATAAAACGATGCTACATCTTTAAAAATAGATGTGTTTAAAACCTGCTTCTCGTCTTAAGTTATACTGTAGTTGTTGACATAAAAGTCAGTTAAATAAAAGAAATAACGGCTATTCGGTAACTTTATTGAAATTAAAATATAAAAGTTAATTGGTATCTAACGACTATTCTTGCTGTTTGACATTACTTTGAATGTATCAGATTTAAAAGAAAATTATCTTTTGTTGTAGATTTTAAATGATTTTTGCAAAATTATAAACATTTATTTTGTTAAAGTTGATTCTGTTGAAAACAGTGCCAATGCAGCAGATTGCCAGGCTGAGTGTTCAAGGTGAAACAAAGTTGAAAAAAAACTAAAATTTAAAAGGGACAGAAGGGGTATAGGCTAAATTAGCTCTTGTTCGCGACCCATGAAAGTTATATCTGATGTTTCTGTCTCGAGAAATTGATATAAAACGGTGTCAAATACATAGCCGGACGTTTCACCTTCTTTCCTTGGCGGCAAATTACTGAAACTGCAGTCAGGGCTGCTTTTTTAATACAACATAATTTCTTTAATATTAATATTAATACGAAATGAACTAAACATTCTAGTAATGCGTAACACTAATAATTTGATAAAAAAAATTATTATTTATTATTTGTAAAAGATAATTTAAATTGCATACATCAAAAGAATTTACAATTAGTTTAAATCGAACATTTCTTTCAAGAATTCTTGCCGATTGAGCTGGCTTCGGGTTAGTGTAGGTCGTGAGGACTTTCCTGCAGTCTGTTTTTCAGGCTGGTCAGCTGTAAAACTAACTTCTAAACCATCGTTCAGTTTGGTTGTTTATGGTGGGTTCATTATTTAAAATTTCCTCACAGACATTCAAAATTTCTAAAGGAAGCCTCGGGGGTTTTCTGAAGCTTTTGGTTCCCTTTCCAATGTAAGTATTCTCTAAATAATTCTGGCAGTACTGGAAAAAATCTCTATCCTGGAGAATATTTTTTCCGCATTTTCCGAAAACAAAACAGCCAGGTTTCTCCATGACAAATATTGAAAAACTGGACATGTGTAAAAATGTTGTTTACATCAACCACTGTACACTGTATACAGTGCATATCCAATTTAGACTGATTTTTTGTGGAATTTTTTTTTTAATATGCAAGTCTCGGCAAACCCTATCTCAACATAAAATATGTTAGTTTCAGCAAGCTACCAGAACTGTAAAATCAAGCATTTGCCGCTAAGACAAGAAGGAGAAACGTCCGGCTATCGTCAAATATATACGAACATTCATTTCATACAATTTCTTATTGACATAGAAGATTTAAACAGATCATATTCAGAAAATGCGCAGCCAATCTAAAAACGAAGATATCTCAGAGAAACCTACTTGTAACTTAGGTTTTCTCCAATTATAATTTCATCATTTTTATTTTTATTATAATAGATATAATTGATATTATTATTTATAAGTCCGTATTACGTCACTAGAACTCCCACCAATGAGAGTGCAGTATACTGGTCACATGTATCACTTTCATTTTTCCTTTACAGTCCCTTTAAGAGGGATAATACGATGAATACGAAAATAAGTTTTAGCCTTGAACTCTAATTTGTATTCCCTATATCTAGTGTTTGTATTCCCTATATATCTAGTGTTTTCTGCGCAAGCAAACTTTTGCGCAAACCTACTGTTAACGCAACTCTTATTTTTAATTCATTAAAAAAAGTAAGTTCAATGGAATTAAAATTTTCAAAATTATATATATTTATTTTTAAGGAATGTCAACTGTGGAAGTTTTACCTGGATATCTTTCTCTGAATTACCCCCAGCCTGCTACCTTTTCAGGTGTCTTTAAGTTACCCTCCAGTTCTAGAATGTTCGATCCACAACGCATGTAACCTTTATCTGGTCTTGAAAGGATGAGATAGAGCTGAAAACTAATTGTTTTGCGGATCCATGTCACATGTGACAGAAATAATTAAATAAATTGTAAAGAATTTGACACTTTTTGAGATAGAAAAAATATGACATTTTCCTATTGTTTCAGTCTTGTTTATCACTCTTTAAATTAAGGGTCACTTACAATTCTGTGTAAAGTCCCATTTTTAATAAAATTCATTTTAAAATATTTAAAAGAAAATAGTTTTAAAGTTCTTTTTAACCATTAAAATTTAAAAAACTAAAGACAAAAATGTTTTGTAATATTTCATCCAGAAATATATATATATATAACATATACTATTACTATATATATATATTATATAAAAATACTAGATTTCGATGCTTCTTTAAAAAATATGTAATTTCTTCACACTGTACATTATTTTTGATTTAACAAAACACAAAAAGAAAGATTTTCCAGCTGGGACAAGAAACACAGTTATTACATTTCGCTGAACACTTTAATTGCTGTAGAGTAAAAATAGAGCAGTATTTTGCCAATTACTCCTTTTAAACCTACGCTAGAAACAAGGGCGTTGGAATTTTAAAATGCATGTGCCTAGGTCCATAACAACATTGAGTTGGTGAGCCAAAGTTCAAGGTCTTTCGACACTTTAAAGTCAAGGCTGTCTAAAAGTTTGAAGTATAATTTTCAGAGTTTCCTATGGAGCTCTGTGAATTGATACATTTAGATATATTGTTCAGGGACTGTGATAAAACCAGTGAATGTGAAGGAGAATGTGAATATTCAGTGTCTGGTCCTGCCAGTCTAGGGTAATTATACTTAGTTTTGTTAATTGGTGTGGATCCTATTAAAGGGAGTGACCGGCAAGGCATGGCGGTTGAGCTGAGAATACAGTTTTCTTCTAAGGATTCATGTATTTTAACGGTGTATAATTTTTCAGCAAGAGTGCAAATTCAATTTCTAAAATCCTCATAGAATGGACTGGAAGAAGTTCGTAGTAAGATTTTGAATCCACTAGAGACCCATTTACTGTATTATGTAAAAGATGACTTAAACTAAATTTTTAAATACGATCTAAAAACGATTGTTTTTTCATCGTTTTCTGATCGTTTTGGGTCGTTTTTTTCCCTTACAAAATATTATAGTCAAAAAACGACCTAACACTAACCAACTGAAAGCACATCACCCAGAAAACTGTGGAATAGGAAGATAGCAATCTTATCTTTTTTTAATGTTGTTTTAAACCAAATAGTTTTACCAATAGCTCCATCAACTTATTATTGTGTTTCATGTTCATTGTTTCATGGAACTATTTCAAATCATAATTTGAGTCTAACTGTCGTCTTACTTTTCCATAGTTTCCTGGGTCTCTCTGTAATTTTATTTCAATTGGTAAGTTTTAGCAAGTTATTTCAAGATTAAATAAAAATGATCATTAATCCTTTTCATCCAAACCCAATACTGTGGCCTTATTTTGAACTAAATAGTATTTTAATCCCTCCCCTTCTTCCCCATTTTCTCCCCACCCCCACTTTCCGAACATATTTTTTCTTATTTTGATGATTTTCTCATTTTAAAAGCTCGACACCAACCTGAAAAATAAATAAAAGTTTTAGGCAAAGATAAATCTAAAACAACCTTCAATCCTCTAACTCCATTTCTATAATATACAAGGTTTTATGATGTTCTTCCTTGTCTGTTCAAAGTTGAAATTTCCTCCAAATTTTACAACTTTTATCCATCAAATGATCACATTATCCAAAGTTGAAAACTCACCACAGCGGGTAATGTATAGGAAGTTTTTTCATCTGAGCTGTTCTTGTTTGAAATGATATCGCTGTGTTCCATTCAAAGTTCTTATAAACATTAACAGATTTTTTAAAGTCTTTTCCACAAACTCAAATCTTCTAATCCATATGTCATTGCAGCCTGATGATGGTGAAAACTTTGGATATTTCAAGCTCATATTTGACTCTAACAGAATTCTTAGTTTGAAATATCAAAGGTCTAAGCCATTGGGTTGCAATGACAAAGGGCTCGAAATTTCAGAGTTTATGGCAAGAAATCAGTTTCTTTATTATTATTTTTTAAAATTTTTTAATTTTAAACATTTTTGTTCAGGTCTCCTGTATACCCTGGGGATTGTTGTAATCAAATAACATATGATTATGGATGTCAACAAAATTTCTTCAACACTATTGCTGGTAAATTATATTTCAACAAATTTCAGTAAAAACAGAATAAAATGAGTTTGCCAATGTCATGGGCTTTCCTACAGAATTGTAGACTGTAGAGTGACATTCAAAAATGATTTTCTTCCTACTTTTAATAAGAAAAAATACAGTGAAACCCTTAATAACGAATACATCGAAAAATATCATCAAATGTCATATTCTTCACTTTCTGATAATGGAATGTTGCAGATATTTAGTTTTTTTTAATTAAATGATTATATGGAACTCTTTACATTCTGGATTTCACAAGATACAGTAGTACAGTGGTTACCAGAATAAAGTGGAATTAGCAGACAATCTTGGATTAATCCAAAATACATGTACTTCTGTCTTGTTTAAGTTTAACATGCTGACCGCTTGAAAACATTTTACAAATTACAATGTACACTCAATGAACCAATGAAAAAATATCCATAGTCCTGAAGTTGTCCATAAACTCCTCATATTTTTGGGTAACACCGTATGTACTATGTACATTTTTGATATCATTAAACTACCAATAAACCAGAGATTGAAATTTATGAATGAGTGAAAAACAGATAAACCAGTTTAACTAGCTTATTAATTGATCTTATTGGTAGAAACAAAGCTTGTGACAACCTAATTGTTTCTTGTGACTCATTTGGGTTAAAACTTCAAAGCTTGAATCAGTCGTTATACCTGGTGTGCAATTTGAAACGCATTCATTAATTTTCAACCCCAATTCAAACTGCATTCAAAAACTTCCACCTAAGGTTTGTCTGGTATCTTTATTTCCAACACGTTCACGTTTATCAATTTTTAGCACAGTTTTAACCACGTTTATTCATTTCCATCTAAATTGTTTACAATATAATTCATTAATTTCCAACGCAGTGTTCACCGAATTCATTAATTTCCAGCTCAATTTGAACCGCATTCATTAATTTTCAACTCAAGTTTCCAACTGCTTTAATCAATTTCCAACTGAATGGAACCGAATTCATTAATTTCCCAATCAACTTTCCAACCCCATTCTTTAGTTTTAAACTTTTAAACCGTATATAGTAAATTCCAACTGATTAAAAAAAACACGATTCATGAATTTTCAGCTCAACTTAAACCGCATTTCCAGCTCAATTTTCCAACTCAAATTTCCAAGTGCATTAATTAAATTCCAGATCCGTAAAACCGTGGAACAGGGAAACGACTGATAAGTGATGATTTTAAAAAGTACAATTAACATGAAACACAGTGAATGTGCAGTGTACACAGACCCTTTCAGCTTAATATGTTGGAGTTTAACCTACTGGCAAAACTATTTGTTTCCTAGCAAATAAATACACACAAGGTTGCTAAATGTCCACTTCCTTTTCCATAGGTTTAAGGTTTCACTATAGTTTTAACCGCATTCTTTAAATTCCAACTCAATTTTTCATCTTCATTCATTAATTTCCACCTGCTGAGGTTTGCCTGGTATTTCGGATGCTGGAGTGTGTCAGTATCTTTGTCAGAATAAGAAGGAGTTCCCTGATTGTGAATTCTTCCTTTACGACACTAATTCTTTAAGATGCTTCCTACTCAGGTTAAAGACTTTAAGATGCTTCCTACTCAAGTTAAAATCTTTAAGATGCTTCCTACTTAGGTTAAAGACTTTAAGATGCTTCCTACTCAGGTTAAAATCTTTAAGATGCTTCCTTCTCAGGTTAAAATCTTTAAGATGCTTCCTACTCAAGTTAAAATCTTTAAGATGCTTCCTACTCAGGTTAAAATCTTTAAAATGCTTCCTACTCAGGTTAAAGACGTTATGATGCTTCCTACTCAGGTTAAAGACGTTATGATGCTTCCTACTCAGGTTAAATCTTTAAGATGTTTCCTACTCAGGTTAAAGACTTTATGATGCTACCTACTCAGGTTAAAATCTTTAAGATGCTTCCTAATCAGGTTAAAATCTTTAAGATGCTTCCTACTCAGGTTAAAGACTTTAATTTGCTTCCTACTCAGGTTAAAAGCTTTTTTTGTCAGATATTTTTTCTGCTAATGGAGGGGTCATTAAAGAGGGTATAGGGAACTTGGAATTTCTTTTTTTACACTATGCGTGATTAAAAAAGAACTATAAAATGTTATAGATATAGAAAAAAGAAGTGAGAAATACAACTTTCAGTTGGTAATATGATGTAATTAAAACTGAAATGAGTGGAAGCAAGTTTTGGGGATTTTTACGCTTGCTCTCAATATTTTTAATTCCAATGAAGAAAGTTACTATTTTTAAAAAATATAGTAAAAGAGAATTTATTTCCCCCCCCCCCATCTTAATTATATATATTTATGAATACCCTTGGGGGTAACATGGGCTAAAAAATTCAGTTTTCTTTCTTCTAAAATCCTATTTTTTTTGTTTAGTTCATGCCATGAAGCTGATTTCTACAACAACTGTGTGAGTGGTCCTGACCATCCATCCTTGTATTTATGCTCTGGAGGACCACAGCCCTCAACATCAAGTTCACCACCTCCATCATCAACAACATCCTCGTCCTCAACAACAGCCAGCAGTTCACCAACAACAACAACATCAAACAGCTCATCTAATACAACAACATCAGTAGATACAACAACCATAACTTCAACTTCTTCAACACAAAAGCCCATTAATGATACAACAACATCTGCTGTAAGCACTTCAACTCCATCCTCCAACACCGCTGTTCTTATCGGAGGCTCGAGTGGTAAAATATTTTTAAAAACTAATTACTCTTATTTTTGTTTATTTTATGGTAAACAATTTTCAAAACTTTTTTCTAAAATCGAGGTCTTTCTTTACTCGTTAGCACAAGATAAATTTAACATCAAATAGTCCTTCGTGTGATCGGCAATCATTGAGCTGAGCGCTTACTAAAATCACGTGATTATTTGTATATAGGGGTTACGGAAGTGTATCCCTGTAACCCTAATATTGCTGATCAAGAGGCTATCCTAAGAACTGGATTAGGTAAAAACTTATTACATTTTTGAAACTTTATCTGAAAGAGACAAAAATAAGGATTCAGTCTATGCCACAAACTCGAATTTTCTAATCTTCATTGCTTTGCACCCTGATGGTGTAAACTTTTGATATTTTTAACTTAGATTATTTGATGTAACAGAATTTATAGTTTGAAAATCTATGGTCTACGATCTACGACATTGGGTTGGAATCATATAGAGATTAGACAATCAAAGTTTCTAGCATATAGGATGACTTTCTTTGTCTGTTTTTTGTGTTCATAAATTATGGAACTACTTTAAATTAATCTTATAGATTCAAAACATATGGTTCGTAAAATCTATTTTTTTGAGTAATTTTCTTGGCTTCTGGACACCTTAGTTGGACATAGAAAAATCATGCATTCAGGCAGTTTGCACATGCCTGGTGTTTTAATAAAGGGCGTATACAGGGGGGGGGGCCAAGGGGCGAGTTCCCCTACCTAGATCTATATTAGAACTCAGAGCTATCACACTTTTCAAATCTGAAACTGAAAAGTGAAGAGTGTTAAAAACACAAATTTGCTGTTTTCTTTCTGATGGTAATTGTACTGTATAGTCTATGTGTACTTTTAAAGTATCCAAGAAGCCAAATGTTTTGAATTTACGGTTCAAATTATGCCCCCCCCCTAGAAGCTCTTCCGGGGAGCAAATTTTTTTCGCGCATATTTTCCCCCTCCCTCCTAGATTTATTTCTGTATTCGCCCTTGGTTTTAATTATATGAGTTGACTCTCATCTTTACTTTTTGAGTGATGCTTAAGAAGCGCCATGGTTGAGGCCCAGGCACAAATGGAAATTTTTATACATTGGTCGTCGTATGTACCAACACAATAAAGACGACTTTTGTTTTGATTTTGATTTCTACCAAGCATAAAACAGTATAACATGAAAGCAAAGAGAAGCTGTCAATTGACGCTTCTCTTTGTTTACTTGTAAACTTAAATAGAACATTCTTCATCATTGTATTGATATAAACGCCGACCACGGTTATTAATATGTTGTCTAGGTGCCGCAGTGCTACATGGAGACATATATTACTGTGTAGTTAATATATTGTCTAGGTGCCGCAGTGCTACATGGAGACATATAATACTGTGTAGTTAATATATTGTCTAGGTGCCGCAGTGCTACATGGAGACATATATTACTGTGGAGGATTTTCAGAGGAAGCTGAAACATTTGGATATTTGTAAGAATAATAAATTCATGCATTTTATTTTCTGATGACTTAAAGGAATTAAGTTTTTGCCAAAACTTTTTATTTACTATATCTTTGCAACCCAATGTCGGAGACTTTTGATATTTTAAACTATAAACTCTGTTAGATAATAGGTTAGATATAGGAATATACAGGAGTTTTGAACCCATTTTAAAATCTTTTGTACATTAACTTTTTCCTTTAGAAAGATACAGGGTGTCCCAAAAAACATGGGAATTCAGTGACGAATTCGATATCGTCTTTATGAATAATTCTTTGATTTAGTATAATGATACCTACTGAGAAAGATGTAATCTGTAAGAGTTTCGTCTGCTATGTTTACATTTTGTTTGATTATGTTTTGACTGCAACCGGTTGTACTTAGTAAAACAAGAAAATTACAGTATACAAAGAGAGTAAACTTGTCCGTCTTCACTGTTCTTCTTGCTGAGTCATTATACACACATCTTTGCAGTCTTTTACCCTTTTCATTAAATAAACTCTAGCAGACATAATAATATTATGGCTTTTGAAATTAGGTATTACAATGCTAATTCATAACAAAGACGATATCGAATTCGTCACTGAATTCCCATGTTTTTTGGGACACCCTGTATCATAATTTTTAAAAAGATAGTATTTTAAAATAATTTTCAGCCTCAAACTATCTCTAGTTTATAACGTAAAACCTAGGAGAAATACGAATACATTAATGACACAGTCATTCGATCACGTTAATAGTGATCTAAAGGTTGTATGATCTCACGCAACAATCCCTGAGTATTCTTCCAAATACTTGTTTAAAACTATAGATAACAACAAGTTCAGTTTAAAATGTACATGTCCAGTATAAATGAGTTAAAATCAAATGGGGTAAAATCGAATTCCAAAGAGTGGCGACACTTTAAAGGTCCAGAAATTTATAAAATGTTTCATAGCAGTATGGATAAACCTGCATAATTTGCAATAATTTCTAGGAAGTCCTGCTTTAAAAGTTCTAAAGATGGTTGGACTGAGATTGGTGAAATGAACCTTGCGAGATCTTTCTTTTCATTGAATACAGTTGGAGACAAACTCATCGCAGCAGGAGGGGTTGGAGAAAGGGGGTATAGCCTTTTTTTAAAGTAATTTTAATATGGTGTACAGGGTTACCCATGGTCAAGTTTTTAAGACAATGGCGCAACACAAAACGTCGGGGTGTATGACTTTTAAACGATCTTGATAATAACCTGGAAATAGATTTATTGATATTTCGTTTTTATTTGTATGCGTGAGCTTGTGCCCACAACCCTTATCCAAAAATAAATTATTAAAGTTAAAAAATAAGTAATTATAACCCAACCGAAACCCTAAACATGAGGTTCAGCTGTGCACAAAAACTTTAAAATCTGATTATTTGGCTAAATTATTTTCTTACATATTATTTACAAAATTATTTACTTATTTTAGATTTATGGGTAACATGGCTATTTAGATATATGGATCGATGACATGATATCGTATATTTAGACTGAGACATATGGATGAAAGGATATCGTATATTTATACATTATTTCGTTGTTTAGATATATAGATGACTTGACATTGCTATTTAGGTATATGGATGACACGGTTATTTAAATATACGGATAAAATGATATCGTATATTTAGATATATGGATGACATGATATCGTATATTTAGATAAATGGATGAAATGATATCGTATATTTAGATATATGGATGAAATGATATCGTATATATAGATATATGGATAAAATGATATCGTATATTTAGATAAATGAATGAAATGATATCGTATATTTAGATATATGGATGACATGATATCGTATATTTAGATGTACAGATGACATGATATCGTATATTTAGATATGGATGAAAGAATATCGTATATTTAGATATGGATGAAATTATATAGTATATTTAGATATATGGATGAAACAATATCGTATATTTAGATATACGGATGACATGATTTCGTTATTTAGATATATAGATGAAGATGACATGATTTCGTATATTTAGATATTTGGATGATATGATTTCGTTATTTAGATATATGGATGAAATGATATCGTATAATTAGATTTACGGATGACATGATTTCGTTATTTAGATATATAGATGACATGATTTCGTATATTTAGATATATGGATGACATGATATTGTATATTTAGATATATGGATGACATGATATCGTATATTTAGATATATGGATGACTTGACATTGCTATTTAGATATATGGATGACTTGAATATTGCTATTTAGATATATGGATGACATGATATCGTATATTTAGATATATGGATGACTTGACATTGCTATTTAGACATTTGGATGACTTGACATTGCTATTTAGATATATAGATGGATGATGCATGATATCGTATATATATATATATATATGGATGACATGATATCGTATATATATATATGGATGACATGATATCGTATATTTAGATATATGGATGACATGATATCGTATATTTAGATATATGGATGACATGATATCGTATATTTAGATATATGGATGACATGATATCGTTTGATGGCTCCTGGTCATCTTATGGACGATTGTCTCCTGCAAGGAACAAACACTGTGCAGTTGCAATCAGGTTAATGAATGCACTTTCTTAAGAAATTATCAGGCTTATAAAATATTCCTGTCTAGGGCTACATAAATACTTTGATGCGGTGATATCAGGGAAAAGCCTAGCTTAACCCAGTTTAATATATGAAAGATTAATATGAAAAATTAGTACTTTTTTTTAGAATTTTCTTAAATGAAAATAATCTTGTGTTGTTACTGATTTCGTCATGTTTATGCGAAGATTTGAAGTTTTTATGCACTTGTTTGTAAAATAAAAACTATTTTCAGTGAAACAGAAATAGTTTTTCTTGGAGGTGTGAACGATGGAGAACTTGATAATGTTGAGATGTTTAGTGAAATCCAGGGCTGGACCACTTTACCGCAAATGACATCCACGAGGTTGATTTTAATATTATTTTTGAAAATCAATTAGAAAATTTTAGTTCAAAAAACGAAGAAATCTCGTCTTTAATCTAAAAACTCGTTTAAGATTTTAAAAATAATTTTGAATCATAAAATAAAAAATTTTGTCATTTTTTAATCTAGCTTACAATTATGGCTTCCGACAATAGTAGTTTTTTAGCTGATAAAACTATTCCATATCATTTGAGTGGATTCTAAAGAATAAATAATCGAACAATTGAGGGATTTTTTTAAGGTAGGGTGTACTATAGGGTGTAGCATTTTGGCTTCTTTGCTTAAAGAGATCTTAAAGAGACTGAAGCGTAATTTCAAGCAATCCTTCATGCAAAATTAACAATGCCTCATTTAAAAAAATTAAATATGACTTATCATCGAAGCCATACACAGGTCTGACGTTTTAGTAACTGTAAAACGGCGGATACAGTCCAAACTAGGACCGCAAAGGTTGGACCAGGTGGGATATTCAAATGTACACCGGTTGTGGGTGTTCAAAGAACTGTTTGTGTGTGTATATCTCTGTAAAAAATGGTTGAATTACCGAAAAGGGGCGTGTACAGTTTAAACAGTTTAAACTCAACTCAGACGATATCTCGAGAATGTCCAAAATGTCCAAAACAATTCAAAATTTAGCATTTCTGTTGATTAAAAAGGAAAAGTTCAACATCCTTGATCAGTCCAAGGTGTAAAGGGTGAATCAGATATGGCACTCTACAAGCCAAGGGTAACTTATAATTACGCTTACAGTCCCTTGAAAGCAAGTCAGTAAGTGACATAGAACGTATTTGTCTAGGTATTCGCATGCTTGTGTTGTATATAATGGAGAAATTATTGTGTCTGGCGGCCATTCTCTCCGAGCAGATCTAAATATTGTCGAAGCTTTGAATCTGAGTTCTCTAGAATGGAGATCCCTGCCATCTTTGAATAAAACCAGGTGAACATTATAACATTGGATGACATTTTTTTTGCTTTTCTCAAAATTTTAAATTTCTTATTTTTTAACAGTTTTCATTTTTTTATTTTAGTTTTTAACAATATGCATAAATTAAAAAAGCAAATAAACAGGGTGCTCACACGTCTGCAAACACCTAGTCACAGTTCTAGTTGTACTTCATTCTCTACACTACACTCTTGTTTTCCAATGTTTTTTTTCATGTGCTTCAATTTTTCATCATGTTCTTGGTTAAATTTTGAAAGAGAAGTTTTTTGGACGTCCCGATAACCACCAATTGTTTGCGGTTCTGGAATTTTGTTATAGATACCCTGTTTCTATACTCTACACTTGAAATGCAGTGTAATGGTGTTTTATTTAATTTCTTATAAAAATAACAATTGAATTCATACTGTTCAAAATTAAATTAAAATTTTGGCTTTTGTTTAAAATCAAATCAAAGTTTTGGCCTGTGTTCAAAATCAAATTAAAGTTTTCGTTCTGTTCAAAATTAAATTAAAACTTTAGCCTTTGTTTAAAATCAGATTGAAGTTTTGAACTCTATTAAAAGCTAAAACTCTGTTTAAAACTGAATTAAAGTTTTGGTGTCTGTTCAAAACTAAAACTCTGTTTAAAACTGAATTAAAGTTTTGGTGTCTGATCAAAACTGAAACTCTGTTTAAAACTGAATTAAAGTTTTGGCCTCTGTTCATATCTCTTCTATTTTAAGGTCGTCTCATACAATGGAGGTTGTGAACGGTGAACTGATGGTGTTCGGAGGAGTTGGAGGCCAGGATAGTCTTGAGATATTGGAGGCAGAAGAATGGATACTGGAGGCGCTGGAGGGGAAACATGTTTATCATGCATCAGTTACCATTCCATACGAATAGCTTCATAATATGTATTTTAATAAAAAAAATATAAGAAATGATAATTCAATAACAATGTCTATGGTCTTTATATTTTTTTTTGGTTCAGAAATGTTGTTAAAGATTGGAAAATTCAAAATTATTTGGTTACAATTCTTAACGACCTTTGCGGTTGAGCATGCAATATTTTAGTTTAATGTTTGTAGAGCCTGTTCTATAGTATCTTTGGTTTAATGTTTGTAGCGCCTGTTCTATAGTATCTTTGGTTTAATGTTTGTAGCGCCTGTTCTATAGTATCTTTGGTTTAATGTTTGTAGCACCTGTTCTATAGTATCTTTGGTTTAATGTTTGTAGC